CAAGCCCTGCCATTTGTGTGTCCACCTATCATGAATGCACTTACCTGTGCAAAATTTACCACACATCATTTTGCACATTTCGAGTCTAATTTTCACATACCCATGGTTTTAAAAAAGCAAAACTAAAAGTAAACACATTTACTGAGTAGAAACTGTGCACCATGCATGAATCTTGAACTGCACATGAGCAGGCTGATCTGTTAGCCATTTGCTAAAATTACAGTTTGAGGTTTTCAAGGATCAAAATCCCACGAATGGCAGGGCTTTACTGTACTCAGAGTTAAATACAAACTATATGAATGCAGCCAGGGGACAGTTTCCAATTGTTCATGTGACAACATTGTATACCCGATGAACAGATTTCCTATTCCCATTTTTTGCACAGTTGAATTTACATTCCTCCTTAAAGATGCCACTGGAGAGATTTAAAAATAGATCTGCTAAAATGCTACACAGATGGTTGAAAGAAAACGTGACAGAGCAGTTCAAAATTATAAGACGTAAATAGAGAAAAGGAAAAGGTCCTGTTGACGTTGCCCATGGCTGAAGAGAATTGTTATTTGACACAGCAGATTCCACAGTCAGAAAAGTAACCTTTGTATTCATGACAACCAGATAAGATAATGAGGTGCCTAATAAAAATCTGAGTGGGCAAGAGAAAACTTGTCATAATCAAAGGCTTTTTTACATAATTGCTGCTACATATTATATATGTAGGTATACCGAAACTATAAATACAACTAACAAAGTAATATAAATGAATTTAGATAAATCACTGTAAATAGTAGCGATAAGCCCCATCCCATCAGCAGGGGGGATTGAACAACGAATGGTACAAACACCACGTATAACAAAGGGCATAAACAGATAACCTTGTGAAAGGAGAAAGCAGATAGCATTGTAAAGGGGGCATTTGCAAAACATTACTTCACTATAATGACCTTGGGAAAATGAACAATCCCACAGTTTCACAAGGTACCTAGCAAACAACACCCACTCAGTATGATGCAGCAGTCTGGGGAGGGGCATAAACGTCAGAGGGAAGGAGGCAAGCACTGATGTCAATGTTGCATGCAATCATTTTAATGCAGAATGTAAAAATATCCTGCTCCTAACAGGGAAAAATGGAGTGTCTTGAAGTCTATCTCCAGAGACCTCTTTCAGGCTGTTTGGTAAGGAGCTCTGAATAAAGATCGATTTGTACTGCTGAACACCGGACTAAGATTCCTCTTTAAGATCTCTTCCTACAACAGACCCTCTGGTCAAAACATCAGGAACAAGGCGACACAAAGCAGAGCAGTGAACTTCAGTAAGGCATTCAACAAAGTTCTGCATAGTAGACTGGTGAGCAAGGTTAGATCACATGGAATCCAGGTAGAGCTAGCCACTTGGATACAAAATTGATTTGAAGGTAGGAGACAGAGGGTGTTGGTGGAGGGTTGCTTTTCGGACTCGAGGCCTATGGCCAGCGGTGTGCCACAAGGATCAGTGCTGGGTCCACCGCTTTTTGTCATTTATATAAATGATTTGGATATGAATATAGCAGAAATGGTTGGTTAGTTTGCAGATGACACTAAAATTGGTGGTGCACTGGACAGCGAAGATGGTTATCTCAGAGTAAAATGGGACATTTATCAGACGGGCTGATGGGTCAAGGAGTGGCAAATGGAGTTTAATTTAGATAAATGTGAGGCGTTGCATTTTGGTAAGGCAAATCAGGTCAGAACTTATACACCCAGGGAGTGGGAGGGGGCATTAAAATGGTTCGCGACCGGAAGGTGTTATCGTTTGTCGCATACAGAGCGCAGATACTCTACAAAGGGGGGAGGTGTAGGGGAAGGTGCAGCACTTCCTGCAGTTGCAGGGCTCCCCACTAGTCGCACCACCCCTGGCACCTTTCCCTGCAACTGCAGGAAGTGCTACACCTGCCCCTACACCTCCCCCCTCACCTCCATTCAAGGCCAAAGCAAACCTTTCATATATGACAGGGGTTCACTTGTACATGTGCCAACTTGGTCGATTTATCCGCTGCTCCCGATGTGGCCTCCTCTACATCGGTGAGACCAAGCGGAGACTCTGTACATGACAAATGACAACACCTTCCGGTCGCGAACCATATTAACTCCACCTCCCACTCCCTGGGTGACATGTCCATCCTGGGCCTCCTCCAGGGTCACAATGACACCACCCACAAACTGGAGGAGCTGAACCTCATATTCCGCCTCAGGAGCCTACAGCCCGATGGCCTAAACATGGAATTGACCGGCTTCATCCCATGTCCAATCCTCCCTCTCATCCCAGCCTCCTTGACCTGTCCATCATCTCTCCCACCTATTCGCCCCTCCCACCTCACTGACCAATCCCCACCACTCCCTACCTGCACTCACCTATCACCATCCCACCTACCTTCCCCAGCCCCACCCCTCCTCTCTCTATTTATTTCTGAGTTCCTGTCCACCTCCAACATTTTTGAAGAAGGGTCCTGATCTGAAACGTCAACTTTCCTGCTCGTCTGATGCTGCCTGGCCTACTGTGTTCCTCCTGTTCCACACTTTGTTATCTATATTTTACTGTAAATTGTCAATGTGGTTTCAATTAATGATTTCATTTAAGTTATAAATGATCTATTTTCATGTAAATTCAATGCTCAGTGATGTTTCCTCATAGTCCTCATGAACTCATGCTATCATACAAATATTTTTTTAAAAAATTATGTGTTTCAAACTGATAATAATGCAGCTGGGCTAAAGTCTTTTATTCGCAGTAAAAGTATGCAGTCAACTTACATGCCAAGTATAGGTCTAAACATGCATGTTGGTGCCAGAAATATGGTATTTTATTTGCCATCATGTATGCCAGGTTGAATATTACACCACAACCTACAACAATCATGATTATTTTGCCCTGGAGACATATGATGTCATAAGATTTTAAATACAGGGCCAATGAAGCATAGCCAAAAAATCAGACAAATTCTAGGAATATTATCTATCACAAGTACATACCATGTCAGCCTTTGCATTGGCTACTTGTAGTTCTCTCTCCTTCAACTCAAGTTCTTTATTTAGTGCAGCCACTGATTCTGAGGCCTCCTTCAGTTTTTCGAGGCCAGTATTCATTCTATAGAAAAAATAAATTTCTATTTTACAGATGGTTTGGCAAAACATTTTGGTTCAATACTCTGTTTGAATTAATTATGTACTGAGATAGAGCATTCCAAATATTCACCACTCTCTGACAGAAGAAATTCTTCCCTCATCTCAATCCTGAATGACTGCTGTTATGCTCTGATACCATGTCCATTTTTCCAGACTCTCCAGCCAAGGAACTGTTCAATTCATTCTGCATTTCACTATGTGACAGACTATGTTACTGCTGCTTTCAATAAATGTTACTGCAAACAATAACTAAACTCCTCAGGAATGTGCAGGGCTGGATGAACACAGCAGGCCAAGCAATGGCCTGCTGTGTTCATCCAGCCCTGCACCTTGTTGTCTCGGATTCTCCAGCATCTGCAGTTCCTACTATCTCTCTCCTCAGGAATGTGTTTGACAAATATCTTGACAATTGAGTCTAGACAAGACTGCCACATTTTGTCTGAAAAGACTAGTATGAAAAGGCATAAATAGAAAAAAAACACAAAAAAAATCTAATACTAGATAATGCAATGATGCACACGTTTATTTAAAAGGCAGTTTGGCCATTAATCACTCAAAGAAGAGCAACAGGTTTGAGAAAAGAAGGTTACAGAATGACAATGGTCAAGCATGTGTGGGGAAGAAAAGAAATTTCAAGGCTGGATTAAGAGGAAGCTGGTTGATTTAATGTGCTTTGATACAAAAAAGTCAACAGAATGTGCTAAAATGGGCACTTGTTACTATTGTGTTCATCCCACACTATAAGCACACGTGATTTATTATCACAATGAAGTTACGCACCTTCAAATAATGGGAACTTCAAAGCCCTTTCTGGATTTAAAAAAGCAAGAGCACACCAGGAAAGTCATGCGCTCAGTCAGGAACTTGATTTCAGGTCATCGTATTAGTCATCTGGCCGCTTGCTTGAAATCAGAGTCCTGCTGAATATTCTGCTTGAACTTTCTTAGCTAGCTGCGAAAGTACTGTCTGTATACCAAGTAATCTGCCTTTTCCTTCTTTTCATCATTCCTTGTATCCAGACCTGGGACATTGCCAGTAATACCTAACCCTGCCTTGGATTATTCTTTAGGTTTGGTTTCATATGAGCAACGTATTCCTCTGAGTTTTTTGTAATTTTCAAATACGATTTTGGACATTCCTGGTTACTTGAAACAATTTTACCAAATGATTTAGCAGCCAGAATGGTTTCCTTCAATCCACTAACAGTCATGACCTGTGCAAAATGTAGCTAAATCACTGGTTTCAAAAAATAGATATCAAGCAATGAACAAGAAAAGATATCTCCTCCGGAACACATATTAATTGCTGATATCTGATTTGGAGACTGCATTAAGACTTCTGGTGCTCTGAATCCTCGAGTTTCTGCTCTTGAGTAACTTGATGGCATCTTGGGAAAAAGTGCATCGAGATCGATCTGTTGTATAACAACCATATGTCATGTACAATAGATGGATGGTGGGTGGGCCTCCATCCTAATCCATTTGATGACGATATGTTTTGCCACTATTATTTTCTGAACATTATATCTGCATTCTCTGCATGTCTCATCAGCTTACCACTTGTAACTTCAAAATCTTCAGTGCTATGAAGCTTCAAATTTCTTTCCAAGTACACATGAATCTCCCTTTCTATGATTAGCTTGTGTGAGGGCCACAGTCTTTTAATGGGCTGCTTGTCTGTGGTGTGTTGAGCAATTGTTACAGTTTTTGGAAGTTTTTTCTGGAGGTGGTCAGTGGTTTATTATTTGAACAATTCCCCTGTGAGGTTTCAGTCTTTACAGTATGATATTTGTCATGCACCCAGAAAAGGAAGTCCATATTTTATGTCAGCTATACTCTGGGATAAATCTAAGTCCACGATTGCGTACCATTTCAGATGACAAATGTACAGGAGGTTGCTTGACGTGATGCCACATTGAATGATGCTGATGAGGTAAATGTGTCTCTTGTCTCACTATCCCCAGGTCCCGAATAACAAACTCTAGCAGGTGTGCCATGTATGGAATTCCAAAACGTATTTGAGGAAGTGTCACATAATGGACTCGTCAACAAAATTGTAAGTCCATGCAATAAAAAGGACACGAATATGAAGATGGCTAAATAACAGGAATCAGAGAATAGGGCATTTTTTTTGCAACTGGAGGAAGGCATACAACGGCGTTCCTAAGGGGGTTAGTACTAATACTATTAAACATACTTTTTTCCTTGATTTCAGTGAGCAGATCACAATCCCAATATTTATAAACAATATGAAACATGGAAATATTATGAAATATGAGGAGGATAATTATATAGTTCAAGACGATACAAACAGGTTAGTAGAATGGGTAAACAGGTGCCAGATGAAATTTAACGCAGGGAAATGTGAGGCTCTACATTTTTTTAGGAAGAAAGGGGAGAGGAGAGGCCACAAATCTAAAAGAGGATTGGAAAGCAGAAACTGTTGCAGCCTCATGCCTAGAGATAGTAGGAACTGCAGATGCTGGAGAATCCAAGACAACAAGGTGCAGAGCTGGATGATCACAGCAGGCCAAGCAGCATCATAGGAGCAAAAAGGCTGACGTTTCGGGCCTAGACCCTTCATCAGAAAATCTAGGCCCGAAACATCAGCCTTTTTGCTCCTATGATGCTGCTTGGCCTGCTGTGATCATCCAGCTCTGCACCTTGTTGGCTCGCAGCCTCATGCCTGCCTCCCAGCCATCGTTAGGGCAGGCAGGCTCCTCCAAGACTTGATTGTGGTGTCAGGAAAATTCCTGACTCACAGTATCCATGTGCTTGACAAAAATCTAGCCCACTGTTCTCATTAATGAAGCTGTCAAGAACCAGAAGACACTGAATTAAAATGATTAACCAAAGGATCAATGGTAAAATTTTTGTATCATGGGGAATTGTCAAAATTGGGAATGCCCTGACTGAGAGCAGAGGCAGATATAACTGTAGCATTCAAAGGGGAATTAGATAAACATGTGAAGAGTAAGAATTTGCAAGATTTGGAGACAAGGGTGAGGTTGCAGAACACATTGAGTTGGTCTCACAATAAGTCAGCAGGAATAAAGTGTGCTAAATGGATTGCTTCTGTGCTGTACCCATTCTATGATACTTTGCCCCACAATCCAAATGCTAGGCACAACATTCACACTACTCTACAAAGCAAAGCCAAGAAAAAATACATAAACCAGCCCATGTTACATCTTCGTAGATGTTGTGAATAGCATTCCTTGCTCCTTCCTGCCTGGCGCCTTCTTTTTCCATCCACTTCCTGGCAAACTATTTACAAATAATACACTGAAGGGAAGTTCAGGTGTGAAAGTCAGTTCAAACAGCAATATTTTATGGTATGAATTTTATTTCGATAAGAAGAGTTTGATGTTGAATTCCTACCTATTAGCTAAGGTTTGGACCTCAGAATGTTTCTCTTTGTAGATTGCTTTATATCCTTGAATGAATGAGAGATAAGATTTTGGCGTCACATGGGTAGATCGGCGATATCTTTGGAAATAGTCCACACATTTCTCAGCCACACCATCTTGGAAGGATCCCATGCACTCAACCACTTCTCTTTTGATCTCAGTGGTGCAGTCAACTCCAAATGAAGATAAGAAATGGTCAGACACTGTGAAAAGCAATAAAAAGCTCCAATTTATTAGAACACAAATTGACTTGTCCTTGGGTAAGTCAGAAGGTAGAAATAAAACAATGCACTTGTTAAGTTTTGTCAACTTCATACTGCAAAGAGATAATTGACCTTCAAAAACCACAACTGTCTTCCCTTGTGTTGCATATGACTTTAATCAGTGGAATGTTTTCCCTCGATTCCAATCGATGTCAATTTTGCTAGATTTCCTTGGTGCAAAACAGCTTTATTTCTTTCACACACACAGTTCTGAGGAAGGGTCACTGGATCCGAAACATTAAATCTGTTTTTCCCTTCACAGATGCTGCCAGAACCGCTGAGCTTTTCCAGCAACTTTGTTTTTGTTCCTGATTTACAGCATCCGCAGTTTTTTAGGTTTTTCTTTAGCTTTACTTCTTTGTTGCTTTCCCTGCCACATTGCTGGTCCCTTGGCCCTGAAGGAAGACCCCTTCTGTCATTCAACTGTCCTGACATCCATGCTATCACAAACCTTCCTTTTGATCTTATCTAATTCTTTGCTCAAACCTACTACATCCCTAAGTTTTTCCAGTTCTGAACAGGGTGAAATCTCTGCTCTTCCTGTACAGATGGTGCCTAAACTACTGAGTATTTTTCCAGTATTTTCGGCTTTAGTGCAATTAAGCAGCCATATTTCTGTTCTCTCCGGCTGTTCTGAAAGTTATATTTCTATTTATGTATGCATGCATGATGTGGTATAATGGGATTCATGTAAACTATGATGATATAACTGATAACATAACTGCAACATCAGTGAGAGAGATGTCACCAGTCCACAATGAGCACGTGACAAGAAAGATCTTAGACAAGAGAGCTGTGTTTGATAACTTGCTATGTACAGATATAAATAAAGGGTTGTCAGGGTACAAAAGGAATAAAAGAGCCTTACTCAAAGACATGGAGGAAGCAGCCTCAGGGACAGTGTACGAGCAGACATTCACACTCCCAGATTCTTCTGATCAGTATTTCAATGCACAGGTAGCCGTATTGGCTTAAAGCACAAGACAAAGCATGATAGCAGCCATGGTAAAAAAAAATCCACCAGAGCCAAGACCTGAAGTTAAAACAGGGCTCAAAGGACACAGCTGGAAAGGGAAGACTCTGAAGCCAGGACAGGACCCCAGAGGTTTCAATTACAGAGCTACAAAATGGGATAGGCAAGGGTCACCGACCACCTTACAGGAATGAAATCCCAGGTTGAGATGAACCACATGTCTTTGGTAACATTATGGGGTTCAAGAGAAATCTAAAAAGTGCCTCAACACATAGAAAAATTCAGTCTTAGGCCGATGAGATACAACTATGGTATTGTTTACATTCCGGGCACTGTACATGCAATGATGGATATTCTCTGAAGAGCAGCAGCGAATGAAGCAGAAAATGTAGATCTTATTCTTGTAGAAGTAGTACAGTCTTATTCTACGGTTCGATCAACAATTTACCAACAACTTCGTTCAAACTCAGACAAATTTTTGCTGCTGAAAATCTAGCAACGTGTGCAGAAAGGTCAAACAACTCTGTCTGCAACAGTGGTCAAAATATAGTCCAGAAGACCATGTGCTGATTCTAATGAGCAGAAACAACATTTGACAACAACAGAAGATTTATTGGAGCAGGACCACAGAATGGCTGTACCACAGTTCATGTGAAGAGAATCACAGAATCGTTACAGTTTTGAAGCAGGCCATTCAGCCCATTGAGTCTGCACCAACCCTCTGAACAGCATACCACCCAGACTCAAACCACCTACCCTATTCCCATAACCCTGCATTTCTTCCGGCTAATCCAACTAATCTACATATCCCTGGGCACTATGAGCAATTCAGCATGGCCAATCCATCTAACCTGCACATCTCTGGACTGTGGAAGGAAACCACAGCACCTGGAGGAAACCCCATGCAGACACGGGGAGAATGTGCCATCTCCATAAAACAATCGCCCGAGAGTGAATCGAACTCAGGTCCCTAGCACTGTGAGACAGCAGTGCTAACCACTGAGCCACTGTGCCACCCCTGGAATTTCTACACAAATTCTGTGGGGCACATCTATGTATCACAAAGTGCATCAATCTGTGCAGGCACTTCAAATAACATATGGGAAAACATTTTTTCATGCCAACCTCTGCCATACTGAACCAAGTATTTCTAGAGCCAACTATTTCAACAAGATTTCCAGAAAAGTCATGGGAAAAGCTAAGAACAGCTCTTTGATTTTAGAGGGAAGATGTATTTAGTTCTAGTCAACTATTATGCAAGACGGACTGAAGCAGCAAGAATTCAATCAACCACAGTGATCACAGCAGTGAAAAGGATCTTTGTGAGATCTGGTTTCCTGGAAGAATTACTATCAAACAATGGACCTCTTTTAGTGAATGAGGATTTCAGGAAGTCCACTTTGGAGGCAGACATCATCAAGTGATAAGTTCTCCATTCTATCCTCAGTCAAATGGAGAGATGCACAGAGCAGTCAAGACTGTGAAGTCACTGATTTGTAAGAATTGAAAGTGAGAATTACCATTACTCAGTTACAGAGCAACACCAATGAGTAGTAGGTATGTGCCAACAGAACTGTTAGTGGGGACGAGCTTGAAAATGGATGTTTCAGTTTTATAACACAACCTCAGACCAAACAGAACCCCTCAAGACATGAGAAGGTAAACAGCTAGAGAAGAACCAAAGCAAAGAGCAGCAGATGTGATGCGACTTTTGATGCAGGGTGAAAATTCTGTCAACTTTGCAGTCAGGGCAAAAAGGGACAGGAAAGTCAGAAACCATGGCATCAGTAAAACAGATAAACTGAGATTTTATGTAGGCAGAACACCTGAAGAGATATCCAGGAGGATGAGGAAGGCATGATCTAACTGGAGCCAAGAAGTGGGACCAAATTTGATTATGACATGGTTTTGGGACAGCCATACCTATAATGTATCAGATGGTGTGCAGAAGCGTAAAACAATTCTAGACATGGTACATCCCTATTACCCTGGTGATGAACAAATGAATTAGATAGGGTTCTGTCGGAGTTCCAGAACATCTCAATCATGAGATTTAGATGTGTGTGGGTGGGTGGTGGGATGCAAGATGGAGATCACAGTGATAATGGTGACAATGATAATAAATGATGTTAATGATTACAAAGAGTCTGTAAGTAAATAAAAGTAAACTACTGGAATAATGTAGACATTACAGAATGATAAACTTGGGAGATGTGGCAGTCAAAATTTGTGGAATTCAAATTCATGCTTCCCTTAGTTTATGTCACACATTGGCATATTTGAAGTCTGTTTTAAGCTAAGTGAACCATCTTCAGTGCTCAGATCAAAGGTTCCCCGTCAGAACATTTCCTTTCCTGTTCTACAATACTGACTAAATAGATACTTGGAATAACTTTTGTAAACTTTAACCAAATAGAATTTTGGATAAAGAGTAACTTTTTTGACTTTCTCTATTATAGCCAGACTCACCAGCAACAAGAGCATCTTTTGGCCAACGGCTGAACCAGTCCATGGTGCAGCCCGAAATAAGGGCTGGAAACTTCAGCGCTCGATTTCGGAACTTCTCTCCCACCGGTGAAAAGCAAAGTACTACGTGAAGATTCTGATGAACTCTACTCATAAAAAAGTCATAGAGGTTTTCACCAGTTGGTGGCCTGCGAGGATATTCCTTCTTCATTTCAGGTACTAAGTCACTAGTCATCTCATCCAACTCATCTCGAGCAAATAGGTTAGAGACCTAGGATCAAAGTAATAAATATTAAGTTGATGATTCCACAATAACAGCAAATATTAAATTACAAAATAAGAAATAGAACCAGGAGTTCATCATATGGCACTTCAAAATTGTTTTGCCATACATAGGGAACGTGTGCAAACTCCACACAGACAGTCACCTGAGGGTGGAATCGAACCCGGGTCCCCTGGCGCTGTTAGGCAGCAATGCTAACAATGGAGCAATGCTGCCCTCTAAAATATTTGCCACTCGTATTGGTATTGAAGAAATTGTAATGGTACAATGCATGATATCCATTTTGTTCTATAATTGGAATCAAAATCTAAGATCTACTCTGCAAACAATACGCCTAGTATGTCCCATTACGTGCAAGGTTCACACTAACCACCCTGATGCAGGTGAAATTACTTAATCCAGGAGCTTCTCCATTGGAGTAAATAAGTAGATTTTTTTGTTGAGTAACCACTTGGATTAGATGCTTCACGGGTGTGACTCAAATATTAGAATTTTAGGTGTGCATGAACTATTACTGATTAGAGGACTCGTCCAAATCTTACATGGTTCATCTTACACATCAAAACCTAAGGGCTGAAAATGCCACTAAAACATGGAAATCAGCTGACTTTGTGTAAAGAGGTACAGTAAGCAAGTTTACAGGAAGGGAAAACCAGCTTGTCAGGACTAGCAGCCTCAGTTTAATAAAGCTACAAACATATTATCTGTACAAAACACCAGCAGATTCCCATTTACTTTTGTTACAGATGCACATTTGATCACTAGGCACACTTTGTACAACATTAAATATATTATTTTAAATTGTGCATCAGTCTTGAAATTTTAAATTTTTCAAAACAACACGAGTGAATTACATGCAGACTAAATATTTAGCAATAATATTATGGAAGCTAAATCATATTGTATTATATTAAGTACTATACACACCGTATGTATTCACTTATGTCCAAATGTTAAATTAATTTACCTCTCCAGATGATAAAACATTGTTCATGTATTCAAGAAAAGATTCATCTTTTATCTCATTATCTGTAAATGTAAAAGTCGTTCCTTTGCCTTGATGACCTGCAGTCTTGTATAAAACCTTCAAATCTTCCATCAGGTTACAGCTATTGTATGATCTGAAGTAAGATTGTAGAAACAACTAACTTCTTTTAAAGAAATAGTAAATTATGAAACATCTAAGTATTAAGCTAAAACACTCAATCAGCAAAATAACGTTCATGAGGATTATTAACATCATTGTATCCTCCCCTTTTTAATGGTTAAAGTATTAATTTCAGTATATGTTCAGTACAGAGTGATGTGTTAAAATTATGTACATATGAAAATTTGAAATTTGAACACAAATTTGACAATATTGCCACTTAACCTTATGTTTTATTTAGTTATAGCATCATTAGATGAAAAGCGTTAAAATTCACCATTAATTATCACGAGCAAACCAACATTGAATATTGCTCTATTCAAAACTACACTGCATTCATTTTGAAGTTTTAAGATAACAAAATAAGAAGTTTCAAAGCTGTTGAATATTACTTTCTAAATGATTCTCGAATATTTCATCCTCATTCATTATTATTGTCTTATGAGCGGATTGAGTCTCTTGAAGGAGTAAGTATTCAAATAAATGTTGAAAGGGCAATGAGAAATTCTTGTACCTTACCTTGTTAGTGTGATTTGGAATGTCTTGTATCCGGCAATAAAGGATGCCAGTTTGGTCAAACTTTGCTTGCCTGACCCACCTACCCCAACAAGCAATGCATTCCCACGAGGTGTGCGGATAATGCGTGAAATCTAGTGATAAAACAAATAATTTAAATAAGTTGTTTATGTACGAGTTCAGCAAGAATGCTTTTCTCCGGGACAGAAAAATACAAATTTTGTGTGCTCTACTCTCTGCCTAAGAGGGATGCTAAGATAAGGAACACACTACTTGAAAGTGCGGTGGAAGCATATCCCAAAGGAACTTTTGAAAGGCATGTACTTGAAGAGGTCCAGTTTTCAGGGTTATAAATATGAGTCAGGGGTGTAGGTCTAAATTGGATAAATCGCACAAGCACATTAGGCTGAAAGGGAAAAAAAAACAAAGAACTACAGATGCTGGAAATCAGAAATGAAAACAGAAATTGCTGGAAAATCACATCAGGTCTGACAGCATCTGTGGAGACAAAGCAGAATTGACATTTCAGAAGGCTGAAATGCATCCTTCCGTGTAGTAAAATTGTATGATCCTATGCACAGGAGCAAAGATAAAGCGAACTAATTGCAGAGATCTGCATGGACAATTCCTGGTGTTCCAATGATTGGCACCACTTTCACTTACATATAGTCTTGATGACATCATGATTTTCTAAAGTGTTTCAAAGATAAGGCACGGAAAAAATAGTATGTAATTAGTGCACAATAAGATCTGCAAAAGATTGAGACAATCATTAATGATAGCCTGATTTAGATATGCTGAGTGAGAGAAAAGTGCTAGAAGCACTTATCTACCATTAGTTTAATAGTACTATGAGTTATTTTGCACTATAGCTGAGACAGAGCTTCGGATTAACATCTTAGTTGAAAGATGCTATCTTGAACATTACAACTCTCTATTATAGTACTGTGTTCATGTGTTAGCTAGACTACACACTCTTGGGTATCTGGAGTGAAGTTTGACTCGACAACCTACTAAATCAGAGAAAAAATGCTACTACCGAATCAAAATGGGAAAGTAGAAACATCACAGTAATATATTTTCATCAAATCAAACTAACTCATACATTGAACTACCTCGCTTTTTTATTTAAACCAATGAATGCCATCATCATCACACTTGTCTCAGCCCATTTCTACCCTGACTTGAGAGCTTAAAGTATGTGTTTTGGAAGTGAGGGATAGTTAAGCATGTTCTGTATCTATAAAAGGTTTTCAGTACTGAAATGGAGTCAAGCACCTGCTGAGGCGTTTTCCTTTTTTTTATGCGCAAGGTCATTAACACTGAATTACAGGTCATTAACACTGAATTACAGGCACACAATCTATGCAATTTAACTTACTTCATAGTGGAGAAGGAGAGGGAGACAGCTTGTGGCACTGGGGGCGGGGCACTAAAGAATGACCATGTCTGCCTGAGTAACATGCCTAAAATCTCACTTCACAAAAAAAGGTATAAAGTGTGTGAGATAACAAGGTGTAGAGCTGGATGAACACTGCAGGCCAAGCAGCATCAGAGGAGCAGGAAAGCTGACGTTTCGGGTCTGGACCCTTTGATTGTGTAATATAACTTGCCCTCTGCCATCGCAGAAATAGCTCCATGAAACTTGCTCATGACTATTCATTAACTTCAAATGGGAAACTCCTAGTCTCCAATAGTATAGCAATCTATTTCCTTATATCTGGACAGATATAATTGCTGTAGAGGGAATACAATGAAGATTCACCAGACTGTTCCCAGATGGTGGAACTGTCATATGAAGAGAGGGTGGCCAAAATGAGGCTATATTCTCTGGAGTTTCGAAGAATGCAAGGTGATCTCATTGAAGCCTATGAAACAGATAAAGGGATAGAGAAGGCAGATGCATGTAAGATGTTTCCCCTGACTAAGGAGTCTAGAATGAGGCAGGGCACATTTAAAATTAAGAGGAATGCTATTTAAGTCTGAGATGAAAAGAGCTTCATTCCCCCAAAGGGTTGTGAATCTTTACGAATTCTCTACTCAGAGACTCTGAAAGCTCAGTCTTTGGGAATATTTAAAGATGTGTGTTTAAACAGTCCACATTACAGAAGAAGAGGTGCTGGAGCTCTTATAAGGCAAAAAGTCTTCAGGATCAAGTGTATCCCAGAACATCATGGGAAGCTAGGGAAGAAATTGCAGAGATATTTGTATCATCTACAGGCACGGGCAAGGTGCTAGAGGACTGGAGGGTGGCTAAGGTTGTGCCTTTACTTTAGAAAGGCTACAAAGAACTTCAGAGAACTATAGACTAGTGAGTCAGACGAGGTGGATAAATTGTTGGACGAGATTCTAAGAGACAGGATTTACATGCATTTGGAGAGGCAAGAACTGATCAGAGATAGTGAGCATGGCTTTGCGTGTGGGAAGTTGTGTCTCACAAACTTAATTAATGGTTTTTTAAGACCTTATCAAGAATATAGATGAGGGCAGATCAGTAGACATTGTCTGCATGAACTTTAGCGAGGGCTTCAACAAGGTTCTGCCTGGTCGAACCTGGTAGACTGTTTCGTAAAATTAGACGACATGGGATCCAGGGAAAGCTAGCCAACTAGATATAAAATTAGCTTGATACCAGGAGACAGAGAGTTGTCGTAGAAGGTTGTTTTTCAGACTGGAGGCCTGTAACCAGTGGTGTTCTGTAAGGAGCGGTCCTGCGTCCACTGTTGTTTGTCATTTATATAAATGATTTGGATGAGAATATAGGAAGCATGGGTAGTAAGTTTGCAGATGACACCAAAATTGGTGGTAGAGTGGTCAGTGAAGAAGGCTAAGAGAACACCCTGTCTTGAACTGCTGGGCCAATGGGCCAAGGAATGGCAGATGGAGTTTACAGTCATAGAGTCATGGAGATATACAGCAATGGAAACAGACCCTTCAGTCCAACTCATGCATGCCAATCAGACAAACTAAATTAATTTAGTCCCATTTTCCAGCATTTGGCTCATATCCGTGTAAACCCTTCTAATTCATATACCGATCCAAATGCCTTTTAAATGTTGTAATTGTACCAGCCTCCACCACTTCTGGCATCTCATTCCATACATGCACCTCTGTGTGAAAAAGCTGCCCCTTAGGTCCCTTTTATATCTTTCCTCTCTCAAATTAAACCTATGCCCCTCTAATTTTGGACTCCTCACTCCAGGGAAAAGACCTTGCCTATATATCCTATCGATGACCCGCATGATTTTATAAACCTCTACTAGGTCACCCCTCAGCCTTCGACACTCCAGAGAAAATAGATCCAGCCTATTCAGTCTCTCCCTATAGCTTAAACCCTCCAACCCTAGCAACATCCTTGTAAATCTTTTCTAGTTTTACGACATTCTTCCTATAGGAGGGAGACCAGAATTACATGCAATACTCCAAAAGTGGCTGAACCAATGTCCTCTACACCCACAACGTGAACTCCCAACTCCTATACTCAATGCACTGAATGTAGATAAATGCAAAGCGTTACTTTTTGGTAAGACAAACAAGGGCAGCACTTACACAGTTAATGGGAGGGCCCTAGGGAGCGTTGTCAAACTGAGAGACCTAGGGGTTCAGGTATATTGTTCCTTGAAAGTGGCATCACAGATAGACAGGCTGGTGAAGAAGATGTTTGACGTGCTTGCCTTCATTGGTCAGAGCATTGAGTATAGGAGATGGGACGTCACGTTGCGGCTGTACAGCATGTTGGTGAGGCCACTTTTAGCCACTGTGTACAGTTCTGGTCGCTCTGCTATAGGAAGGAAATTATTAAATTGGAAAGGGTGCAGAAAAGACTTACAAAAATGTTTCCAAATCTAGAGAGTTGGAGTTATAAAGAGAGGTTATATAGGTTAGCATTTCTTTCCCTGGAGCTTAGGAGGTTGATGGGTGATTGTATCGAAGTTTACAGAATCATGAGGAAATATAGGTAAAGTGAACTGCACAGTTCTTTTCCCTAGGGTAGGGGAGTGCAAAATTAGAGGGCATAATTTTAAGGTGAGAGAAGAAAGATTTAAAAGGAACCTGAGGGGTAACTTTTTCACACAGACAGTGATTTGTATATGGGATGAACTTCCAGAGGAAGTGGTAGGTGCAGGTACAGTTACAACATTTAAAAAACATTTGTACAGGTACATGAATAGGGAAGGTTTACAGGGATATGGGCCAAATGCAGACAAATGGGACTAGTTTAATTTGGGAATCCTGGTTGGCAAGGATAAGTTGGACTGAAGGTTCTATTTCGGTGCTGTATGGCTCTGTGACTCTATGAGAGATTGATAAATTATCAATGGCATAAAGGGTTCTGGGGATAGTGTGGCTAAAAAGATTTTGAAGTGTTTGATCAGGCAGGATTGTATTCAATGGTGGAGCACTCTCAACAGGCTGAATGGCCTAATCCTACTCCTATACTCCTATGTTCCACGAGTTTATTCGTTTGTGTCCTATATTTCAACTATTCTGTATAATTTCACATCATTTATTAATTTAATTCAATTTGATGCACACCATCTACCTCAAATAGAGTAATTAAACTTTCTGTAGCTATCTAATGCCATTTCAAAAAATTTCAATCACTTTCTCTTAATGATTTTACCTTCACTAAGTGAGTCATGGCATCCTTAAAAAAGACCATATCCAATCCTGCTCCTCGGATGCTGTCATTATACTGCTGCAAAAACATATTTAGTCGATTCTTCAGGTGATCAAAACTTCCAATAGGCTCATAAATCTTTGGCATATCCACATCAATGTCCTCAGGTTCATCTCCTAAAGCAAAAAGTTTTCTTTTATGATTGTATAAACTTAAATAACTTTCGGACTTTCATTTTCCATATTAGGGTCTGATAGCAGCATTAAGCTACCAAAGCCCAGAATCCTAATGGTTTCATGCTCAAAATGCACCTTGGCCTTCTAAAATCGAAGGGAAAATTGTACCTCAGTGTAGAGATGCTTTTGCTCAGCACATTTGCTGACCCCAAAGCCTCTGCTGAGACCCGAGGTCGCATAAATTAAATTAATTAGTACACACCTTTATCATGTAGGGTGCCTTAAAGCATTGGCTGCAATTGGAAAGCCTGGTATATATGAACATAGAAAATTTAGAGCAGGATGTCATTCAATCCATCATGTCTGTGCCAAAGCAAAAAGGAGCTATTCAGCCAAATCCCACTTTACATAGCTATGTAAATTACAGCATTTGAATTTATATCAAACTACTTTTTAAAAATACAGGGTATTTTAATAGAGGGTTTCTGCCTTTACCATCATTTCAGGCAGTGTGTTCGAGACAACCATTGCCCTGCTGAGTGAATACATTTCACATCAACTCCCTTAAATTCCTTCTGCCATTTATTTGAAATCTATAGCCCCTGTTTACTGACCTCTCTCTGCTAAAAGAAATAGATCCTTCCTATCCAATCTACTTAGGTCCCTCATAAATTTACACATCTCAATTAAATCTCCCCGGAGTCTCCTTTATAATACAAATTTTAAAAAAAACATAGCTTGTACAAAAATTCAGTACAGCTAAAATTTTTGATGCCTGGCAACGTCCTCTTAAATCACCTCTCCATTCTCTTCAATGCCATCACATCCTTCCTGTAATGGGGTGATTAGAACTGCACAGAGTACTCCAACTGTGGATGAACGAGTGCTTTGTACATTTTTATTATAATCTCCACGTTCTCCTACTCTATGTCCTAGATAATAAACAAACATATCCAGAACGGCTTCTCACCCGGGTTTCAATAAAGCCTGTTGCAGCAGGAAACATGGCAACTGGGTGTATTGAATTGTGGGAGAGGCGTCATGCCAGTCTCTCAGCAGCTGTAAAACGTTTTCTAAATAAGTCAGCAGGTAGAAGGGGATGGCATGGGATTCCAGGCTATCAAGGGCTGGATCCCCATTAGATTCATTAATGAGCCAATTGACACCTACCAGCTGCCACTGATCCTGGCATCTGATTGGCTGGAAGCTTTCACCAGGCAGGACTTCCACTGCTGGGGTCTTATGTCAATGAAGGTCCAATGGGGCAACTTGCGTCTCTGGAGAACACAAGACAGTCAGGCCTTTCCCACAGCACTGACAGGAATTCCAGGCCAGTTCTCCAACTGGTGAGCAAGACTCCATCGTGCTGACTAAATACATCACCCTACCTACCTGTCCAGCATCCTTCAGTAATCTGCGGACAGTCCCTCTTTTTGTCTACACATTTTAGTATCCCACCACTTAATGTGTATCTTCTCGTATCTTGTTCCCCTGCTTAAAATTTCTCCTCACGTTTCTCCATGTTGAATTTCATTCACAACATTTCTTTCCACCTACTGATACTCCTCTGCAGACAACAACTTTCTACCTCATTATCAACCACAACCAATTACCTTAATATCTGCCTTTAAGTTTACAACATTAATACTTACCATGAAAAGCATGGGACTTGATACCAAACCCTGCAGAATCCCTGGAAGCAGTCTTCCAGTTCCGAAAACATCTATCAGCCACTATTACTTGCTTCTTGTCACTGAATCAATTTTGGACCGTACTTGTCCTTGCTCTTGGATTCCATTGCGTTCTTACTTTTTTGACCACCCTGCCATGTGGGATCTCCTGAAAAGCTTGACAAACTCAGTGTAGACTACTTAAAGTACCACAAACATGCCATCAACCTTCCTTGTAATTGTCTCAAAAAAATTTAATCAAGTTAGTGAGACTTGAGCTTCCCTTAACAGTCCATGCTGAGCTTTATATTAATGCATGGCTTTCTAAATAATGATTTATACTATCTGTCCAAACATTTCTTGAGATTTTGCATACGACCAAGGTTAATCAGACTGGCCTGTAATCAGAGTCTAATCTTTCCTCCCTTTTTAAACAATGGCACAACACTGAGAGAGGGTTCTTGTGGTGCAATGGTAGTGTCCCTTCCTCAGTGTAAGAAAGTCCAGGTTCATGTCCTACTTACCCTGGAGATGAGTGTTAAAAAAGTTCAAATGAGTTAATTAAAAATACTTGTTTTCGAGCTCTTGTGGTGCAGTGGTAATGTTCCTAACTCCGGGCCAGGAGGTCTGGGTTCAAGTCCCACTTGCTCCAGAGGTCTGTCATAACATCTCTGAACTGGTTGATTAAAAATGTTGAAAACATTAATAGTCCTCCTGTACCAAGCCTCCAGCTGGATCAAATTGGGAAATGATGGTTAATCAATTGGGTCTGGTGATTTATCCAATTGAAAGAGGCTAAACCGTCATTAATATTTCTCACTCATTGTATTTACAACTTCCAATACTTCACATTCCTTTTAATTAACTACAGACAGTCCCTGGGTTGCAAACAGGTGCTGTTCTTGCATCCTTTTGCAAGTTGATTTGTATGCAAGTCGGAAAACAATGCTGGACAATATAAGGTAGCCATTCACAAGTACAAGGGATGTTTGTATGCAGGGACTTTAAAATTACACCCTGCATAAGACTGCGTTCATAAGTTCGATCATTCGTAAGTCAGACACTCATAAATCAGGGATCCCCTGGACAAGGTCTACATTTAATTTTCTTTTGTGCAGGCACAAAACATTCATAAAGAACAATGCCTTTTGGTCTCTACTTGGCATGTATCTTTCCTTTGCTATCCTGTTGCTTTTTACCTACCACTGTTATTTAAAGCCTTTCCTTACTTCCCTTATTTCCTTTTTTAGTTTGACCTCTGCATTTTCTATATTTAGGTTTTCAGTGTAAGCCTTCCTTCTTTAACATTATAGTCAACACTTGTGCTGATGTGCAATAAGTCTAGATTTAATAATCCTACAATTCCCTGTAGAAATATTTTCTTACTCCACTTGAATGCCTCCTATTGTTCTGAAATTGATTTACCTTTAACTACCCTTTTCTAGTCTAATTTTGCCAAATCACATCGGTTTATCAAAATTGGTCTTTTCTCAAATCTAAAACTTCTTGTCTTGCACTATATTTGTCCTTACACATACCTATGCTAAATCTTACAGAATTATGACCAAAATGTTCTCCCATTGATATCACACACAATTGCCCAGCTTGGTTTTCACAAACTTTGTCCAGAACTGACTCCTCTTGTTGGACTTGCCCTGGTCTAGTAGAAAGTACTGCAGGGGTAACTTAATGAGTTAAGGTTGCCTGAGCCCTCCCAAAAGACCAGTTTCACTTTCCCCTCATCTCCTTGACCCCGTGGATTCTTTTTTTGGAGAGCTAGTTTTCTTCAAAAGAAAATTTTGCAAAACCACCGTCAACCAAATGCTGAGTCTATTTTGAGGACTGGAGACATAAGAAATTATCTGTTCCAATACCCAGACCCCTTATACTCAAATTCTTGACAGGAGATAACGTGACAGATGCAAACCTTTCTTTTCATGTGAAATGCATTTTTCAGTTACTACACAGTACATTTTAATCATGCTGTTCATATTTGTGAAAGCAAATATACACAATCGAGTTGAAATAAAAAGTACCTTTCTTCTTCTAGGTGATATTGGCTGCTATGGTTAAAGGCTGAGGCTGTGGGTTTCAGTTCTGCATACCTTTTTCTGAAAGGCTCAGAGGACTAAATTGACACTTAGCTTATGAGCATTAGAGTTAGTTATCCTAACTGACTTAAATATCTGGATCTTTTTACTGTACGAAAGCTTAAACACCAAGAAGATTTAATTATGTTCCTTAAAATATTTAAAAGATTAAATTCGGTCAAGGTGGCTGAGTTATTTCAGATAGGGTCAGGAAGACTCGGGATATAAATGTAGGTTCTGTAGGCACAGATTGGACGTCATGAAGTATTTTCAAAGGAAATTGTTTGTTTAAGGAACAATTTGTTAATGTGTGTAATACTTGCAAATTCACTGCAAACATTCAAAAAGGAACTGTGTGCGTTTCTGAGCGTAGTCAACGCAAGTATGTTTAGTGAGCTGGGTATTAGGAGGTATGTTTCTCCCAGTCACCATACCCTTCTAGGTTGATTGCATGATGAGTTAGAAAGAGCCTTTTCTCTTAACTGGCCTTTGCTTTGCTTCCTCTGTGTCTTTGCCTCTCTGAGGAGATTGTGTGGCTGGTTACTTGTATGCTGGTGCAGTGATTTGAGGTTGGGATTTAGTGGGGTTCGTGGTGAGCAATGTAACAGTATGGCAGAGGCTCAATGAACCAGCTTTTACATGTTTCATATCTTCATTACCTGTGGATTCAGGTGCATCTCGTAAGAAGTCAACGAAATAAGCATTGACTCCGACATTGACTGCAGCCAGAGCTTTCTCCTGAAGTTCTTTCTCAACTACTTTGGCTAAAGTTTTGTCAAACCAGGCTACATCCTCTTGGGTCGTAAATCGATCAGCTATAACGCATTTGCATTCATGTTTCCACAGCTTTAGAGTCACCTAAATATACAATAGAATGCAAATAATTTATGAGCAAAGAAATGTAAATTAATAAAGTGAAATTTATTTTTAATGATCTCCACTTGTAATGATTATTTATTTAAATTATGGATTCACCTTTGCCAAAATCATAATAATAAAAGCATAATCATTGAGGTTTGTTTCTGTTGCTAAGATCAGTATACTTCAGATTACATTGTATTATTTCAGGATGGGAAAGTGTAATTTGCATTCAAAGTGCTATCTGTTAGTGTTTGTGAGATAGCAGAACATGTTTACAAGTTACACATTCTGGTTCAAGCTACTCCACTTCCTTCACTTAAGTATAGAGTGGCATGAAGTGATCCATTGATACACATGCCTAACAGAGGAGAGGTGTCTGTTAAATCAATGTGAGGAGCAGGTGAGGTTTATAGTACAAAGTTTACAGTTTACAATACAAGACTACTGCTGCTGCATTAGTTCCACACCACATCACCACATAAATCCCGACTGAACAGCAATGACTTAAATCAGAGTACTATAATTCAATTCAAAAATTTCATGGTAAATCATAAATCATTTCCAGAAGACTATCTAATGATACATTCATTTTTCAAACCCATACTTCATAGGTTAAGGGATTGTTTTAAAATCTATGTATCTCAAATGTAGTGATGTAGTGTAGTGTTAGTTTTTCAAATTTCAACACTGGAACCAAATTCCACTGCAAATGATTTCTTGAATGATTTGCAATGACTGTCATTGTTTATAATCAGCACATACTTTTTAGTATTAGCAGATCCATCAAAAAAAACTGTTCCCATTTCAGCTTCACATTTTCTAGTTCATGTGTGGTTTTCTGCTAATATAGTCAAAAAGTCATAGCCTGGACATGCACAATGTCCTGAGATGTATTCCTCGCCCAAAATGAAAGCAAGTTCATAGGAGATGAATTTTGAAATGATACTTACATTTTCATCATTGACAACCTCTGAGGTGCTATTCAACATTCCTTGCCAAATCCGTGAGAGATCTCTCAGGTTAAAGATGTAATGAAACTTGGCTGGAGTGGGCAACATTTTCACTTTGGTCATCTGCCAAAGTTTGCGGGTCATTGGTACCAGTTTGGTTACCAGAGTTCTCACTGCTGTAGAGAAGCCCCGCTCACTGCAATAGTGGCCACGTCCAATAACACCTGAAAACAGAAACATCAAAACTCAAACTTTTTGCTTATTTATTTTGATAGAATTCGAGAATTCGAGAAAAGGTTTTTCCTCATTTTAAAACTAATTAGAAGGTGGGATAATTAATATGACATGTGGTGTTCTTACCAAAAATCTTATCGATTGAGGAATTTGAAGGCAATGTGCAGTTAAAAATTGAGAAATGCCTCTTCAAGCGCTGGGGTATGTCATTTCTGCCTCCTCCAGCATGGATCATTGCAGCAAGGAACTGGACATCAGCAATGTTTGTGAATTCACCTGGTTTTTCAAGATTATAAAAACCATTCTGTTCCATCAGCTGTCGTACAATTTCATTGGTGATCTAAAATGAGAGCAATGTTAAATGTCTTGGGGATTTATTGCGCAGTTGTGCAATGCAACTCTATTCAGAAATAAATGTAACTGAGAAAAATACTTTCTTTTGTGAACTTTCAAACACATCAAAATAAGGAATGTAAATGGTGGAGAATGGAATATTTTTCAAGAATTCACTATCTTGGATAGTGACTTGTTTCAGACAGCACAGTAAACAGCAGGGGACAGCTGAAGACTTAAGAACACGGCAGAAAAAATAATCCCTGTGGTGATTTTCAGTAAGGAAGGCTACTCCAGTGAAAGGTAAAAGTATTTCAGACCTAGTAAGAGAAGTGTTGCACCAGGGCAGTTAGCAACTCCATGAGGAATAAGAATTAGTAACTGCAAAGCAGTACAGCCTGTAATGCAAGGTGCTGATCTGTGGGAGCCCAGTCCCAAAGTGAAGTTCAGAGGTGAGAAAACAGGTGTCAGAAACTCCAAAAATACAGCTTAAAATCCTTAGTCCTGACTCATCATTCCTCAGAGTATAGAGGCCATTTAAATTTAATAGCTGTGAACTTGATTTTCCAGGGCTCAGGAATCCTGACTCTTAAAGGGAGCCAGAAACTGCTGGCTGCAACAGCTGAGTGTTTTTCAGAGTTCTGCTTGTCGGGGAGAATGACAGGATTTATTTGCCCACCTTGCAAACACAAAGATGCTGCAGAATTCACATCCATTCCCATGATCTTCAATCCCTCCCACATTCTTCAGATGCCAATCCTGCTTCCAACCAAGCACATTACTTAATGACCATCCTCCCACTTTGCAGTAATTGTCCCCTGTCTCTTCTTAGCTCCTGTGAGTACCCATGATATTCCCAGCCACAAACAAAGGTATCTGTTCCCTCGGAGACAGCAAGATTTGCAGATGCTGGAGTCAGAGTCAACACAGTGTGGAGCTGGAGGAACACGGCAGGTCAGGCAGCATCAGAGGAACAGGAAAGTTGATGTTTCGGGTTGAGACCCAGTTCTGCTGAAGGGTCCCGACCTGAAATGTTGACATTCCTGTTCCTCTGATGCTGCTAGACCTGCTGTGTTCCTCCAGCTCCACACTGTGTTGACAGTGTCTGTTCCCTGCTCTGTGCTTCCATTAACCATCAGGGTCATGCTTTCTGTAGGTTGACAAACTATTGTACAATCATTTAGGGTTTAAAATGAGCAACAAGAAATTTTACTTAGTTACCTGATCTCCCCATTCATTAATAACAGGCATATTAATGTCATCAATGAAAACAGTCATCTTTTTCCCAGCAGGCGGACCATATGTTGTACCCATACGTTTATCAACGTAGCTCTCAATTGTGCGCTGCAACACAAAGTCAATACGAAATTATTCATACTCTTTCACTATACTTTATGCAATTATAATTCATACTTGGTCATGAATTTTATTTTTAACGCATTATATATTTTTAATTATTTTTATCAATATTAAATCTAAAGTAGCTATTCAGCTGAAAATTAAGAACAAACTTCACAGATCCTGATAAGTTTCTATGCTGCATTGTAATTTAATTCAAATATACCTCACTAGAAAATCGGGAACTATATTTCTATGATTTTAACCGAAAGATAGGCATGTTGGTTACACATGCTTATCATTTTGGGGAATATAAATGCAGGCGTGATCTGTAATTTACACCTGCTTGATCCAGTATTTTATCAGATATACCTCTGTAGGCATTTGAGCACAACACAAAAAAAACAAAGTTACAACCGGGTGTCAATGTTGGAATATGAGGAATTCTACAAATTGGAAAATAGGCAGCACTCTCTCAAGCAACAGAAAATGTCCGTGGCTTGAAGTGCAGATTGATTGATGTTACTGTTATCCCATGAGACACCCTAGAAAGAGCCTGAGCCTCAAAGCATAAGTATCATTAACACTGTCAAAAGTGATGAAGGGCAGACTCCTTATTCAGCACATCTCTGTCCATAAAGAGTTGTATAAAACATCCAGCAATGGGCACCTTTATTTGTTCATTGAAGTTAACAAAGTGCTGCAAACTACACTGCTTGGCAGCACTACCACATTCCCACTTCCTCTGAAAAAAATGCCTCGGACAGAATTTTAGTCTCCTGCCAGTGGGTTTACAGGTGGGAGCAGCATATAACATTCCTTGAGTGGCCTTTGGCTTCATTCTCACCCAACTTTGACCTGTTTTGCAACCTTAAGTAGGGTGGGGGGTGCAGGTCTTAGGTGGCACATCTATCGTTGCCCCCAAAATGAAGCCCTTAAGTGGCCCAATACTGACATGGCAGAATTTTCTGGCCAGTGGGAGGGATTTGAGGACGGGAGAAACCTGGTAGATCACTGTGAGTGTAATGAAGGAGGGATGCATCTCCATCACCAGCTCAGCTGCCCCACCAACACCTCATCCCAACTCTGGTATTTCTCCCCACTTAGCCTAGATTGCTGCAATATTTATAGTCCCAGCATTAGTCACTGCTTTTGGTGCTGCTGCTGGAACTATAGAGCTCTCTGAGGTACTACATCCTCCAGAGCGAGGGACGGAATTCCACAGTGTTAAATGTTTGTTGGACAGTCAGCATGAGCAGGAATGCCTTGCCAAGTGACTCTCCTGGGCATAAAACACCACTACTTGTAAAACTGTGCCTGTAAAATTAATTGCACAATTTTTACATTTTTCAGAGATCTGTAATTATCTCACTCCCCTGGGTAATGTGCATGTTATAGGAGAAAGGGACTTGATAAAGAAAACAGTAATATGAAATCAGAGATAGTAGGAACTGCAGATGCTGGAGAATCTGAGATAACAAGGTGTAGAACTGGACGAACACAGCAGGCCAAGCAGCATCACAGGAGCAGGAAGGCTGACGTTTCAGGCCTAGACCCTTCATCAGACCCTTCATATGAAAATATGAAATCATTTATTGAAAAGTAAATAAAAAAACTATTCCACTTCTGTATACAATTACAACAAATTCAAAAGTATCCCCCCCAATTATTTGGTTTGTTAATACTGTTGCTTTAGTATTAATACAGTGAATTGTGATTACTTATAACACAAGGCGACCAAATATGAAATTATTTCTGACCTGAAACATTAGTGGAGTTGTTGCTGATGAAAAGTTGAGACTTTTGGTCATATGAGACTCAGGGTCATATTTTGACAGGTATCCTTTGATGATCACTGTTTTGGCTGTGCCTTGTTCACCAATCAGCAATACAGCCTATGAGAAAAAGTACAGAGATGTAATCATTCTGCCAGCACAATCTGAAGCACAGATTTTAATGTAAGAGTGAAATTTACCTGTGGTCAACATTTTGACTATTTGATTTCCATTGCTCAGTTCCATTTACAATTCCTCAAAGTGAAGTAATCTGTGCCTACATGTAGCAAGATCTCAATTACATTCAGACTTAGGTCAATGACAGGCAAACAGAATTTGCACCACAAAACTGTTGGATGATATCCAGCTGTCTCCCCTTGACATTCCATGACGTTAGCATCGCTGAATATCTTATTCAAATTCTGGATTTGTCACTGACTGAAATTCAACTGGACTAGTCACATAGATGGTTAGCAGAATCTTACATTTTATTGACTAAGTCTGAGTTATAGATTCAAAGAATCATTGAGTCATACAGCATGGAAACAGACCCTTCAGTCTAACTAGTCCACAATGACCATGTTCCCAAACTGTACCTGCATCGACCATTTCTTCTGGCAGTTTGTTTCATATACAAACCACTCTCTATGTTAAAAAGTTAACCCTCATGTCCTTTTTAAATCTTTCTCCTCTCACCTTAAAAATATGTCCCCTCATTTTGAACTCCCCACCTGGGGGAACAGATCCTTACTATTCACCTCATCTATGTCCTCATGATTTTATAAACCTCTATAAGGTCACTCCTCAACCTCTTACGCTCCTGCAAAAAAGTCCCAGCCGATCCAGCCTATTGTTAAACTTGAAACCCTCCATTCCTGCCAACATCCTAGTAAATCTTTGATGAACTTTCTCCATTTTAATATTACCCTTCCAATAGCAGAGTGACCAGAACTGCACAAAGTACTCCAGAAGAGGCCTCACCAACATCCTGTACAACTTCAACATGATGTCCCAACTCCTATACTCAAAGGTCTGAGCAATGAAGGCAAGTGCACTGAAGGCCTTCTCAACCATCCTGTCTACCTGCACATTTATGCACTTATTCGGGACACTGCCCTACCTACACCAATAGCAATAGCTGTGTCACCCACTTTAATATCCTGTAGTACGTGCCTCTCTCCTCATTTCACAGGGAATACTGCTTACAATAGGGCAGAAAGAACGATGATGGATGGCATGTCGCCCATCACTCATTTCCTCACTCCTTATCAGCAGAGAAACCTTATTCCGATGGACCCAAGCAATGCATGAACTGGTATTGGAGACTGCCCTTGATTTAATGTTCCTATGAACCCCTGAGCAACAGCTATCTCCTTTGCCTTGACTTAAATCAGTCAGAGCATTGAGCATAGGAATTGGGATGTCTTGTTGCAGCTGTACGTTGGTGAGGCCACATTTGGAGTACTGCATGCAGTTCTGGACGCCCTACTATAGAAAGGATATTATTGAACTAGAAACAGTGCAGAAAAGATTTATTAGGATGCTACCTAGACTGAAGGTTTGAGTTATAAGGAGAGGTTGGACAGGCTGGAAGTTTCTTTTCTTGGAACACAGGAGACTGAAGGGGTGACCTTATAGAGGTCTATACTGTAAAACCATGACAAGCACAGATTAAGGTAGATAGCCAACTGCTTTTCCCCAATGGCAGGGGAGTCTAAAACTAGAGGTGATAGGTTTAAAGTGAGAGGGAAGAGATACAAAAGGGTGCAGGGGGCGATTTCTTCACACAGAGAGTGCTGAGTGTCTAGAATGGGCTGCTAGAAATAGTGGTGGAAGCAAATATAATTTCATCATTTAAGAAATATTTAGACAGGTACATGGATGGGATGGGTGTGGAGGGGCATGAACCAAACACAGGCAAATGGGACTAGCTTAAATTGTGAAAACTGGGCGGCATGGGCAGGTTGGCTGAAGGGCCCTTTTCCATGCTGTAGACCTCTATGATCGAGGCCTGCTGCTAACTGTGTCAAACAGCACGGCAAGATAGCAGTAATATCCAACTGGACTCAGAGTGAGTGAGCACAATGAGAGCAAGTGCAGAACCCACAGCTTCAGGCTGGTCCATCCCAGGAGACGAGCGCAAAGTGTCTTTGTAGCAGCATTACACTGATAGCAGTTGGTGCAGCTCAAGGCGCAGCACTGAAGTGCAGAAGTGTTGGATTTCAATGTCCATGGGTGCACATGGCCAGTATGCTGGAGTATGTCCTGAGATGCTGGCTTTCAGTTTCCAACATAGAGTTTGATCGGGGCAAATAGCAAGCTGAATCCGCCAGGCACTTCACTCTGGCTTTCTTGTTGCGTTCTCCCTCCATCTTCAAGCTTTTTTGGTGAGTTTGCTAAGATTTGAGGCTGAATGCTAATTAGGCAAGTTATGGCATTAATAAGGTATTAATCCCTGTCAAATGGCATCTCGCTACTGCCCAGCAACAAACTCACCACTCCACTTGTGAATAGCATAGAAGACACTGCAAAATGACCTCAGCATTGAAATTTCTGCCTGACTTGGTCACACATCTTGTCATAGCCCACATCACTCACACTCCTTTCAGATTCTATTTGATGTGTCTACAATGGCAGATCAGAGACTGGGTACTCTGTAGCAAGTGAATCACCACACGGCTCCTCAAAGCTTCTCCATCATCCATAACGCTAAGTCGGAGTATGATGGAATAACCTCCACGTCTCTTGATGGGGGCAAATGTAGCAGTCAGTAAATTTAACATAATCCACGACTTTGTTGGAAGCCCATCTATCTGCTTAAAAATGCAGATACCATTGGTGAATTTGGGTGTATGAACTGCAGGATGCACAACAGAATGCAACTCACTGAGACTTCTTCGACATGATCTTCTAGAATGACAACACCTACACCTAGAAGGACAAGAGCAGCAGGTGCATGGGAGCATTATCACTTTCAATTTTCCTTCCAAATTACACACCATCCCAAATTCTGACACTTCCGGCCCAACAGAAGTGTTAAAATATTTTCACCACAAAAATAGTGGCTCAAGAAAAAAGCTCATTATCCTCTTCTCAAGCCCAGCCGGAGATGGGCAATAAATGCTATTCTTGCTATAATCTTTAAAAGTGTTAACAATTTGACAAAAATTGCAAAGCAAATGAGGAGCATTTATAAGCATTATTCACTCTTTCAATTGCTTATCCACAGTAATTGGTTAATTACTGCCCAGAAGATATGACATAGAACAGAATAGAGTAAGTTAATATTATGTGAAATTACCCTACCTTTCCCTGCTTGGCTATTGTATGAATGAGGAAATTTGTCCTCACATTGTCTACATTAGGAACAAGGATAGAGCCATATTCTGGATTGCTGTCAGTGGGATAAATGTATTCTTCTACATTTGTGTTCCAATGCAACCATTTTCCTGTTTAAAACATACACAGAGTTAATTACTATTCACCGAAAACAAGTATTTCACAGCTTTCTTTGGAACTGAACAGCTTTGATCATTTTAATCACTTTGTCGTTTGGTAGTACTGAACTTGAGTATTGATGAGAAAAGATGCATTTTGACAAAGATTTTCATCTTGCACTCATCGGGACAATTTAGAGGAATTCCCCTTGGCTTTCAAGGGGAAAACCAAAATTTGTGTTGCATGAGAACAGCTTGATGAGTGGACTGTGACTGGTACAGAGCTTGTCATGGATAATACATCAATTAATAATAATTAACAGTTAACTGCCAAGCTTTGTTTAAATTTTAAACCTGATAAATTGATTCTGATCGGTCAGCACATTGCCCTGAGAAATGAATTCATCACCTATTTTGATGATTTGAAAAAGGTACAGTGTGTGTGCATATTCTTTCTGTCTGAAAGTATATGTGCACACTGCTGTATTTATTAACGAATGCACTGTAATCACCTGCAGAAACCCCACCACCCTCATGACTTAACTCATGTCGGGGATCGTTCCTTACAGTCTCTAGCAGTGGTTTCTCACTAGAATGATTACTTCCCCTGCTTGCCCTCTCATCTTTAACAGCAGGTTTGGATACCATCAGTGCTGGAACATCACCATGAGACCCAAGATTTAAAATTTATTTTATTTGCTTCTGCTAGGAAATTTGCAAACCTGCCACCAAATCAAACGCAGGGTTTAAACCTCATTTGGTCTCTGCATTTTTTATGGTAATTTTCAACTAGATTTGGGTCCACTCAAGCCTCTTGTTTGTTATCAGATAAAGGAATGTTGTTGATGGCAATTCTAAAGAAACCGGTGCCTCAGAATGCCAAATGTGACATTTCCTTTAGCTGTAGGCTACTCAAAAAGAGGTTTCATCATGGGAAAGTATAAGCAAATAAATTTCAGAACAAAGCCAGTCAGTGTTTGCTGCAGATTAGAGTTAATTAGTGACATTTGCCTGACGTAGAACACTTACATTTCCTTCAAAATGCGAACAAACATCCACTGTGTCAACTTTTCTACTCATATTCATGTTAGAGCATCAGTATTTGAAAATGCCCTAGCCAATGCTCCAACTGTTTAGAGTTGTTCATTGACCAATTTAGTTTAATACTGACCATTAACATGGACAACATAGTCAAACATTGTGTCTTCACTCTCCTCAGGGATGCATGGCAGATCTAACTTTATAGTCTCATGCATCCGTAGCCAGTGCTCCATTTTCCGTCTATCCTCTAATTCCAGTAAGGCCCCTATACTCCACATCAGCGAGAATACATACAATCTTTCCAAATGTTCTCGAGTCACTTCTCCACCTTGTTCCTAAAAAAAAGGAGGTTAATCAACAAATCGTCATATTGGGTACAAAACATTTTAATGACACATAGTTTCTACACAATATATAAATCTGTGACATTTATAAGTGATCTATTAATCAATTAAAAGAAAACCCGCACATTTGTAATTTTGATTACATAACTGAGATTCTTGATACACACACAATGGACACAATATAAAGCTCCTCCTGGGAGTGCTGGGTAGTTGAGTTGGGGACAGGCCACATCGTGTAGTAGGAAGGCTCAGGAAGAGAGCCTGTTGCTTTCCTGACAGCCCACAATCCACAATTAAGTTTGTCACAGGAAGGATCAAGAATGGATTTCTCACCCAAAGGACAACTGAGCTGCGATCTACCGTGGACAGGGACTGGAGGCAAACTGCCATCTGAACCCTGGTGAGCATTCCTGTGGTTTGGTGGGGAGATTCCTTCCTTCTCAGGCATCCTGTGCTTAACAAAGAGACCTGTTAGGAGGAAGGACCTACAGAAAGACTACCTCTACTCTTTAGACAGATTTCCCTGCCACTATTGCCAAAGACACCTTCACTGGGCTGCAACCTTGCTCCACTTAACTACATTTCAGGGCTTCAGCAAGAATCTTGCCCTTTGGCCTGACTGCAGTAACACTCCTGAGGGCATCATCCGTGCTGGGGAGCAGTAGCCTCTGCTGTCAGCAGCTCTACGAGGCAGGCAGCTGCCCTCCAGGAGCCACAAATCCAGCCACCAATATGCCTATTTAGGATTTAATCCTATCATATATCCTAGAAATGGCTGAGATGAGTGCCATTGGCTCTTCAGGTAACAAACTGACCCATTGCAGTGACCAGTAAATTACATTCAATATGACACCATATGACTGATGTATGTTATGCCTTATAACATACATACTTCATAAACATTCTCAATGATCTCCCAAGGATGGTAGTGTTGGAAAATGTTAGCTATTCAACAACAACAATTCAACTTGTTCCAATCATAGAGTCACTGAGCACAGAAGAGGCCCTTTGGCCCATCAGGTCTGCACTGACCTGCCTACACTAAACCCACTTCACAGTGCTTAGCCCATGGCCTTAAATATTATGACATTTCAAGCGCTCATCCATGTACTTTTTAAAGGTTGTGAGGTTTTCCACCTCTACTGCCCTCCCAGGCAATGCACTCCAGATTATCAAGCTTTAAGTGGACACAATTGTTCCTCATATCCCTTCCAATCCTCTGGTCCTTCACCTTAAATTATGCCCCTCCACCTTAGTGTTCCTTTAACTAAGATGAACAGCTGCTTTCTATTCACCTTGTCTATGCCCCTCATATTCATATACCTCAAACAAGCTCTGCCTACCCTCAGTCTTCCCTGCTTTAAAGAAACTATCCCAAGCCTATCCAGCCTCTCTTTACAGCTCAAATGTATCATTTCAAGCAACATCCTGGTGAATCTCTTCTGCACCTCCATCAGGACAATCACACACTTCCTATAGTGCAGAGACTAGAACTATACACAATACTCCAGCTGTGACCTAACCAAAATTTTGTACAACTCCAACATTACCCTCCCTGCTCTTACAATCTGTGCCACAACAGACTGATAAAAACAAATGTCTCCTGTGCTTTCTTAACCACCCTATTAACTTGTGCTGCCACTTTCAGGGATTTGTGAGGAAACACTCCAAGATCCCTCCATTCCTCGGAGCTTTCTGGTGTCTTACTATCATTTCTTCCAAACTGCATCAACTCGCACTCATCAGGGTCAAAATCTAAGCACTCCCTCCCTAAGGGCATTGTGGGTCTACCTACAACACATGGACTGCAGCAGTTCAAGAAGGCAGCACACCAGCTCCTTCACAAGGACAACAACTGTTTAGATATAAATGCCGGGCCAGCCAGCAACACCCTCGTCCCAAAAGTAAATATTGAAAAAATTCCACCTGCTACTAATCTGCCCAATCAGTTTATGTCTTCCTTCAGTGAGCCTTCTTTCTGTCAATGATCTGGCCAATCTTCATGTCTTCTGCAAACTTATTTATCATCTCACCCCACATTCTCACTTATCTTGTTTGTATGTATAAACAAGATAGGTGAGAATGTAGGGTGGGAGCGCTTGAGGGTACACACACACATATAGAAGGGTCCCAGCACTGATCCCTGTGGTACACCACTGGACACCAGCCTCCAGTTACACAAACAACCTTCTACTATCACCTTCTGTCTTCTGAAACTAAACCAATATTAGATCGAACTTGTTAAGTTGCTCTGGATCCCATGTGCTTTTACCTTCTTTAATAGTGCCCATGTGGGACCTTGTCAAAGTTCTTACAAAGTATGTAGATGAGAATAGTGCAGTTGATGTGTAAACTACATCAACTGCACTATTCCCATCTATATACTTTGTCGCTTCCTTGAAAAATTCCACTAGATTTATCAGGCATGACTTTCCTCTGACAAAGCCATGTTGACTATCTCTGATTGAACCTTGCCTCTCAAAATAAAGATTAATTCTCTCCTTCAAAATTTTCCACAATGCTTTCCCTACCACTGATGTGAGACTCACTGGTTTGTAATTCCCTTCTTGAAAACTGGAACCATATTAGTTGTCCTCCAGTCATCTGGTACCTCCCCTAGGACCAAGGAGGAATTTAAAATCTGGGTCTCTCACCTCTCACAGCAGCCTAGGATACAACTCAATCAGACCTGGGTATTTAAATACGCCAAAATCTCCAATATCTTCTCACCCCCTATATCAATCTCCTCAGCAACCTCACAGTCCATCTTCTCAAATTCTGTACCTACATCCACCTTCTCCCCCAGTGAAGACAATTGTGGAGTACTCATTTAACACTCTACCAATGTCCTCTACAGATTTCTCCTTTGGTCCCTAATAGGGCTTACTCCTTATTATTTGCTTCTTCTTGACAGATTGTAGTATACCTTGGGATTTTCCCCAATCTTGCCCACCAGTGTTTTCTCATGCACCCTCTTTGTTCTCCTAACTGTTTTTTTAAGTTTCCCTACACTTTCGATAGCCTACTAGGGTCATTACTAATTGACTCCCTTTGTACTTGTTAGAAACCTTGTTTCCTTTTAATCTAGTCTTGAATATTCCTTGACATCCAGGGTTCTCTGGGCTTGCTGCTCCTACACTTCACTCTGAAGGGCACATGTTGGGCCTGTACTCCCCCAGTTCCTCTTTGAAAGTCTCCCACTGTTCTGCTGTATAGATTTACCCTGAAGTAGCTGTTTTGAGTCTATTTTGGCCAGACCCAGCCTTATTTTTAGAAAATCTGCCTTACCCCTACCCAAAATACTTTTTTGCAGTTCACCTTTTTCCTTTTCCATAACAAACTTAAATAGTACACTGTTGTGTTAACTATCACTAAAATGTTTGAGGTCACAGTGAGGGAACAGCTGTCCTGAATTAGGTCCAGCACTGCGGTGTTCCTTGAATGACCATCTACATGTTGATACAAAAAGCTCTCATGAATACATTTCAAGAAATCTGATCACTCTAAACCTTTTATACTATTCTGTTGCAATTTGGGTGGCATGTTCAAAATATAAATTGAGATCATGTATGAAACTATAAACCAATCAGTAATTTTACATAGTCTGAACAATGTATTTAAGATTTACTGTCTCTATTTTTCATCTTGAAATATCAAAATTACAAAGATGCTTTTCCTGTGCCATGGCTTATTATACAATTGATCGCTGTGCTGACTTTTTACAAACTGAAATACTGTCATAGAGTTACTGAATCAGTTCCTTTTCCCTGCTGGTTGACTGATTAGGTTGCTGAGCAAAAACGATTAAATAAAAGCTCCTGGCCACAGAGCTGTCCATCAAAGATGATAAGGAATAATTGATCCTGTTCTCCTCATGGATCTGACCCATACCTTCATCCTGGTCACAGCTAGCAACCAAAACTATTAGTTTAAGATGTCAATTATCTCAGATGCTGGGAAATTAACTGGTTGGCTTGATTCATTGATCGATGTCAAATACTTAAAACTCCCTAACAGAAGTTAAATGCTGTGATAATAGAAATCTGAAAGGACTGAAAATACGCAGCATGACAGGTGTATCTGTGGTGAAAGAAACAGAATTAAGATCTCGAATCAATTATTTTTCAACAGAACCGGAAAATGTTATGTTTAAAAGTACATAATGAGACATGGAGAGGGAATGAAAGAAATGATATGTGACAATGAAGACAGGAATGATTAAAATGGCAAAGGAGATGGTGCAAGGTAAAAGGATATGGTAATAGAACAAAATACAGAAGGGTTAGGCTTCAAGAAGAGAAATCCACCTTGCATTTGAGGCCCTTTAGTGGACAATAATTGCAGGAATTCAGGGCATGGGGCTAAGTCTGGCAGATCACATAGTTAAACATACTGTCATTCATGGCAGAAAGAAGTCACAACACCAGAACAGATGTAATTGAAGCAGAGAATCTGACAGAATGGATTTTTTTTAAGTTCACAGAATGTGGTATTGCTGGCTGGACCAACATTAATTGCCTAATTGTCCAGCGGACAGTTAAGAGTCAACCTTTTGCTGTGGGTTTTGAGTCACATATCGGTCTGACCAGGTGAGGATAGCAGTTTCCTTCCCTAAAGAACATTCATGACCCAGATGAGTTGTTCTGACAATCAACAGTAGTTATATGGTCCTCATTAGACTTGTAATTCCAGATTTTTTAATAAATTAAATTCAAATTCCACCATTGGCTCAACAGGATTCGAACCTAGGTCCCCAGAACAGGATCTCTGCATTTACTGTCAGCGGCAATCACTTGCTAACAAATAGGATTGTCCACCTAGGAAATTCTGCATCATTGGCCCTGGGTTCTGTGGGGCTTCATATGGCTGATGAGCCTGATCCTAAAGCCACATTCCTGATCACACATTTGACAGCTGTTTCCATGAAATGAAACTAGTCCTTGGCCTTGAAATCATTGGTGTTCCTTTCTCCAGTTCCTTTTCTATGATTCCTGATCCCTATGGGTGTTTTTGAAGAATTGTGCTCGTTCATGCAGGAGCTTCCTCCAAGTCAGTTTCCTCTAACAAGGATTTCCCACACATAGACATCTATGTTACATTTCTTGAGGGAAATCTTCAGGGAGTCTTTGAAATGCTAACATTATGCTTTCCTTGATAACAAGGTATAGAGCTGGATGAACACAGCAGGCCAAGCAGCATCAGAGGAGCAGGAAAGCTAATTCCTTGTTTGGTTGCCTTCCTTCAGCTGGGTGATGAAGATTTACTTTTGCAGTTGGATAGCAGGCATCCTAAGCACATGGCCAGCCCAGCAGAGTTGGTTTCAAATGTCCTGGCCTCAATGCTGCTGCTATATGCAGCTTCAAGGACAGTAACGTTAGTATACCTGTTCTCCCAGGTGATGCCAAGAACCCATCTCAAACAGTTCTTGAGGAGGCAGCTATACATCAGCCAAGTATCTGAGTGATATAGAAGAGTCGAAGCATGGCTGCCATATACACAGGGAGCTTGGCATCAGTACAGAGGTCATGGGCTCAAAGACTGTTATCTTTCAGCGTCTGGAGGTGGCATTTACAGATTGGATACAACGCATTGATGTCAGCCTTAGATGCGAGGTAGCTTCCCAGGAAATGGAAATGGTCCATGCTTAGGAGGGTTTTTTCATTGATCTTAATGGAAGGATAGACAGGAACTTGACCTGGATCAGGTTGATAATAGATTTGAGTCTTCTTCAGTTTGAGACTGAGACTAATTCTTTGGTATGCTTCTGTGAAGGCATTAGGTGAGGCTTGAAGATTCCCTTCCAAGAAAGCAGAGCCGACATTGCCATCCACATACTGAAGTTCCATAAACAAGGTCAGTGATATTTACTTCTTGGATTTCAATCTGTTGAGGTCGAAAAGTTTTCCATCCATCCTCTGGATAATGTCCATACCACTATGGTGCTTATTCTTTCCAGGATGAAGGTGGTGATGAAGATGGAGATAAGGGTGGGAGCAATGGCACATCCCTGCTTGACCTTGCCTTGACTTCAAAGGATTCTCTCATATTACCATTAGTGAGGACTGCTACCAACATCTTGTCATGAAGGAGATGGAGGATGTTGATAAATTTTACTCAACAACCAGCTTTTGACATGCTCTTACATGGCACTTCAAATTGACTGAATCAAAAGCCTAGGTTAGATCAATGAAGGCTGAGCAGTGAATATCATGTCCATAGCTCTGAGGTTTGGTCGGAAGCCATACTGTCTTTCAGGGAGGATTTTCTCAAAGACTGGGAGAAGGAACCTTGTGAGGATTTGGGAGATGACCTTCCTGGTGATGGACAGTAGGGAGTTTCCTAACAAATTCCCAAAATTCACTTTATCTCCTTTCTTGAAGATGATGGCGATGGTAGCATCCATTAAAGCAGCAGAGATTTCTTCTCTGTCCCAGATTTTCAGGAACAGTTGATGGAGATGACAGGTAAGCTCTGCTCCTCCAAGTTTGAAAATCTTTGTTGGGTTCCCTTTTACCCCTGTAGCTTTTCCATTCTTAATGTGTCAAACGGCAGCTTTAACTTCTGCCACAGCAGGCGGAAGTCAAAGATTATCTTTAATGAGGAGTTGCTGGATTTCCTCAAACATACCCTTGTCAATGACTGCATCATGGTTTTAGAGATTATTGATGTGTTCTCTCCATCAGAGACTGACATTTTCTCGGTCTCTGAAAAGCATTTCAACCTGACCCTGTGCCAGTTTGAGGTCAAGGGTGTTGAGTCCATATCTTTCCTTGCAGCCCTGAAGGAAACCTGGGTGTGATCGCTGTCGACAAGGAATCGCATCTCCTTAGCTTTCTCAGTCCACCACAGGTTCTTGGTCTCTGGATTAATAGTCTAGTGCTAATATCACCAGGCCATCACTTCCCCATTCACTACTTTCAGATCGGTCCTGCAGCAGGTTCTCTATTCCCATTGGCCTTTTTATTAAGACCCTGAAATCACATTCCCGCTTTCCCCTCCTGTCATGACGCTGATTTTGGACTCCAGGACTTAGAATCTGGTACCACCAGTCCTGACCAGTGCTGTACTTGACAATACGGGGATAACAGTGCTGCTAGCCAATTGGATTGATTGGCAGCTCTCTAATTCAGGACTTCCACTTGTGTGACTGGCAAAAGTCCCATCTCCACCCAATTAGGACTTTTTGGAGTGTTAAATCGCTGTAGTACTGCTGTGATCAACAGGAATGAGTTCCCCAACATTCAAAAATTTCTGGCCATTGCTTTATAAACTATCCCGAGAAATGAAGATAAAGAAATCTAGCTGGGGAAGAGTCACAGTCACACATGCGAAGGCAAAAGTAGGGTGAATGTTGAAAACAGAGTTGTCAAATTGTCCATTTCAAGAGGAAAGCAGGAAATAACACGAATACAATTGCTGATAATTAAAAACGTCAATAATAAAAAATATCTGGAATTAAGAGTCTAATGATGACCATGAATCCATTGTCGATTGTCAGAAAAACCCATCTGGTTTGCTAATGTCCTTTAGGGAAGAAAGTCTACCATCCTTACCTGGTGTGGACTACATGTGACTCCAGATCCGCAGCAATGTGGTTGGCTCTTAACTGCTCTGTGAGAAATCAGGAATGGGCGATAAATGCTGGCCTAGCAGCAATGCCCTCATCTCGTTAATGAATTTTTAAAAAATGTACTGGAGGGAAGTTGTGAGAAAGGGGACCAAAGATGGACTGAACCAACGAACGCTCCACGTATTCATAAAAAGGAAATCATGACTAGGACCACATGGGTTTCAAGTAACATTTTAATTTGGAGCAAGTGATAAAATGTAAAAAATTTATTGTTCAATGTGAAAACAAGTTCAGTCAGGTGGAGGGAGGTGTCACCCAACGAGGACATGGAACCTCTCTCCATCAAGAATATCTAAGACTCTCCAATTCTTCCCTGAAGCAATTTCCATCCACCTATATCTCCCTGCCTCTACAGACTGAACACATACTGAACAACTCCTCTTTCACTCTACAGACTGATGTACTTAGCGGATAGATGGAAAATTAGAGACAGTCATCCGAGACATAGGTAAAAGGATTGCAGGTTAAAGCGAATAGATGATTTTGAATGAGTTCATGTAGGAAGATCAAGCCGTCAGAACATAAAATCATGGATTACATATTTCAGTCACAATGGAAGAGAGGGTAGGGAAATCAACAATTTGCATCAGTGAAATTGCTAATTCCATTGATTGTGATAGATGCTTCCAATTTGCTTATTCAAATTTGAAGAAATGAACGCATTTGACTGTATAGATAGTGAATATTTAACAATCTGCAATTACATAGCACCTTTAATGAAGTAAAACATCCAAAAGTGCTTCAGAGGGGTATGAGCAAACGCAATCTAACAGGTTTCACTAAGTTTATAGGTTGTGACTATTCACACGAAAAGTTATAGGTAAAGTTACCACAGTCTCAGAGGCCATAGGACTGCTCTCTCAACAGAGGGATGCAATTGGTTGGCACAACTGAAGGCCACCACACCTCACGTGAGGGGAGAGAACGAGAACGCAGCACCTTTACGGTGCCTGCAGTAAATACAGGAGGTCACGCTGTTCATACTACACGCATGGCCACTATGTACTGCTACAAAATTGGCATATATTTGTTTACTGAAACCAGCACATGTACAGTTAAACAGGTTTCTCAGCAATCAAACAGGCATAATGGCTAACCAACGTTGCATGATTATGTGCAAGAACCTCGGTGATGGGGGAAAGAGGACAGTCTGTGAAAAGGGGTTAAAAGAGGGGTACTGTGGACCGTCTCTCCCCACAGTCTTCGTCCCCCTCCCTCCCTCCCCTTATACACACATATGCACACACAGAGTGCAGTCGCACTCAACTGGACAACGTTTGAGAAGTGTTGTGAAGAGGAAAGTCTTGTTGACCAGATAGAGAAAAATTAGGATAGTTTACCATAGTCACAAAGGATATTATTTGTGACTCACAATAGAGTCATTTCAGCATTCTGTTAAGGACCAAAAGATGATCGGAGGAGTTATTTGAGGAATTCAAACATAGAAGTTGTGGAAGTGTTTACACCATCATTGAAGTATGCTAGTGGCCTGGATTTTGTGGTGTAATTATTGTGAAACGTGTTCATCCTCATTCCTCTAAAACTGTCAGCTATGTCTAGAACCTGCATTGATGTGAACTTGAAACAAAAATCCAGATACGTAGCTGATTTTGATCCTTTGATGCATTGTATATTTGCCTCATTAACAGCAGAAATAAAGGTATTGTTCAGAAGAAGTTTTACATAATCTTACTGAGCAAGTATATAATTATGATATAGTTTGGAATAATTTACTCACCCTTGGTGGAATGAGGCTATCAAGCATGTTAATACTTTGCGTAATAATAAAAGCCTCCAACATTTCCATCTTATATTCCAGAGACTGGACACTAAACCTATACAGTTCAGTAAAGGATTCTGCAAACAATTTCCGTAGAATCTCGGCTGCCTGTTGGGACCTTTTTTTCAACCAGCCCTAAGACAAACAAGTCAAAGAGTAAAGCTCCCACAATTTACTAAGTTATGTAAGATTTTGATATGTCATATACCACAGGTAAACTTTACTAACTATTAAAAATGCAAAGGGTCACAATTCAGGATAGTTGATATTTTATAAATACAGGTGCAAAATTTGTGATGGGATACATTAGGTGGTACTTTTACCTTCAGCAGAGACATAAAATGATCATTAGCTAATCAGTCACCCTTTTTATTAACTTTGACCTGAATTGATCCACTGGCCCAGATTTTCACATAATTGAGACTCCATCGATCTTTAAAAGTGGTCGGCAAGACCCAAATCCAGGTACCCTGACAATTTCTGACAGATAACATTTTACTATTAGGAAAAGTGGATGACCAGAGGAGGGATGGCCAAACTAATCTGGCTTTCTGAACTCAGAAAAACACAGCCCACTTGTGCTCTAGCCAGGCCAGAGCGTGTGTTAAGAACTTCTACTTGGAAATGATAATGAAGGGTAAATAATGTCTCTAGAACTGTCAAGCTATGAAGTTATTTAAAGCCTCAGTCTGTGTTAGTGAAAGTTAAAAAAAAGTATTCTAGCAATTACAATTTTGTTGACTTTGCTGTAAGGATTATCATTATGATATTGTAATGCTTGGCATTTTTCCACAACCTATCATTTTATCAGTTCTGAAATCAAAGTTAGATTGACAGCTCAAAGATGTTATTAAAAGATCATGACCATGTAGCTTTATGTATCTGTTTGATTGATAAAGGATTTAGTCATAGAGGGGAGTCAATTATTTTGAATGAGCTTTCATGAAAGGGAGTTTTATTTCACTATAGCAAAGGTTGTAATAGATATTTACACTTTTGTTTTATTTCATCTCAACATGGCTTCTGAGATTTATCCATGGTCAATATTGGTGATTTGGTATGAAGGCTATACGGGCAAAGGGTAATGGGTCTGTTAAAATGAGTTGGCGTTAAGACTGTAAGGACGCATGGTTGTGAGCATAAGGTTTATGCATTGAATACAACAAATCATAGGTTCAATGGGGGTCATGAGTTGGTATAGAGGGGATGATGGATCATTGTGAGTCTGTGGTGAGAATGGATTGGCATGAGTTACCAAGGATGGAGCATGGGAAATGAGAGCTAGAGGCTTAATATTTAATGAAACAAATGGGACAAAGTTACAGAAAACTAAGTTGAACATTTTAAACAGCCCACCTTAGCCTGATCCCATCCCATACCCATCCACACCTGGAAATAGGATCCTGCTATTTGGGTGAATTCCTCCTGAGGTGAATGTGGTGAGCTGGGACATTTTCCAACTCCTACAACCTGATTTGGAATGAAAATCCTTCCATTATCTCCTGCTTTACAACCCCACCGCTGTCTGAAATTCCGGTGAGCAATTTTTGCATTTACACCATTACTCCAAATCTTTCAACAACATATCGATTGTGGAAATTGAACATCACATGTTATAATAAAAATAGTTCAAATTAAATAATAGGTTGAGGACATTTTAGTCCTTCCACAGATACTTCCATTTCCAGAAAAATAAAGAAGATAAGATGTAAATACCTCAAGGATGGGGCTGAAATTCAAGACCGAAGAACTCATGAAGACCATGCCATTTCGAGAAACAGTTGCAGGAGAGGCATTGTCTATGTTGTGTGGCTCAAACACAATTTTACAGTTTGGAGCCATGGGAATGCGATCACCATTTGCCAAAGTAAGGGTTTTGTTATCATCAAGCACGGAGTTTAAATTTTCAATCCAAATGGCATCAACAGGACCATCCAGTACAATCCAAACGTGTTCTCCTGCAGCACAGACAGTGATAATAAAACACTACTGTCTTATGTTAATTCATTCAACAACATGGAAGAAACAGTAATGTGTGTCTAATCCAGAAATATGTGTTACTTGGAGGGGGGTAATTAGACTGGAAGGTGTTTTCACTGTTGCCCTTCTCCATCAAACTGATGATGGCTGTAGCACTTGGAAGTGCTGCCAAAGAAGACTTGGCAACAAGCATAGCGCATCCTGTAGATAATACACACTGCAGGCACTGTAATCAGTAAGCTGTAAATTGGATATTTGAGCTATTTGTTGCTGATAGAATCAGAAAACGTTGGACATACTCAGCAGATCTGTTAACATCAAAATCATTCTGATAAAAGGTCATTAACCTGAGAATGTTAACTCTATTTTCCTCTCCACATATGCTCGTAGAACCAGAGTACTTTTAGCATTTAATTTTATTTCATCATTTCAGATTTCCTGAATCCACAGTAATTTGTTTTGTGCTTGTAAATTTTAGAATTTATGTTGTAACTTGACGTATACCATAGATACTTTATTCAATTCATTTGTCCATTTGCTCCCACAAACAGACTGAGTTGCTCCAATGGAAGTTATCTCACACAGTCCTTTATTTACTTTACATGATGGTGTGAACACAATACTAAATAAAAACTGAAAGAACTGTGGATACTGTAAATCAGAAACAAAAACAGAAGTTGCTGGAAAAGCTCAGCAGGTTTGGCAGCATCTGTGAAGAGAAATCAGTTAATGTTTCAGGTCTGCTCTCCCTTCCTCAGAACCCGAAACATTAACTCTGATTTTTCTTCACAGATGCTGTCAAAATTGTTGAGTTTTACCAGCAACTTCTCTTTTTGTGAGTGTAACAATTCTTGTATTTTGAACAAAATATTTATGTCATTATTGTATTTGTACTTACTAAGTCTCCAAGAAAAAGAATAAAGTAGAATATAAAGTTAGGCTTAGGCAGGACCTGATACAAATCAATAACAACTTCATTTTATAATAACATAAATATTTAATTTCAAATACAATTAAAATTGGACTCACTCAATACTAAAAGCACAAATTACCTTGGTGTTAAACTATAACAGGAAGACATTTTACACTTAACCGTATCTGTCAGCTTAATAATGAACAAAGGATTTTTTCCATTCACTCATTCACACAATCTTTACTCTTTTTCTGTTTCACAACGTTCTGTGTCTAATAGAACTTGCACTCTGTTTTACCTCATACTTATCATAGCTGGACGTAAAATCAATGACTTTGAACACAACAAACTAACATTTTGCCTGTTTCACCCATTTTGTAGAGAAGACTTGTGATTTGCAATCTGCTGCCGTTCACTGTGGTTGAAACAGGCAGCATGGGAATCATGCAAGTGAGGCTGCATTCTTCTCCTGCATCTCCATTCCTTTCTGAAGACGGGCAGACAGGCACAAGGTGGGAATAATGTAGAACGTAGGATATTATGGGGTATGGTACATGGAGGCAATAAGTAGTTTAGGTGAACAATTTGCTGAGGTAAGGACATGGTTAGTGCAGTGCAGACAGTTTAACCTAAAGACCTTGACGATTTTATAAGATTCAGAGGTCACGAAGCAAATCCAAATAATCATGTATCACTTGCATGAAGAGTTCCAGGGTATAGATAACACTTGGTGCAAGCAGTCAGAACCATTAAATACAACAAAAAGCAGAAGCTCTGATAAAATTGAAAGGAGTGCAAGGATTGAGACATCCAGGAGAGGATACAAAACCGCAGCTTGCTCTTGCATAAAATAGCTGACTTGAAGTTTTGCTTTTAACCAATGTTGCATTTAATGAATGGAGCATGAAATGTATAAATATATTATTTTGAACTACAGCTGGCAGACTGCTCTGGAGGCTGCCTCTAGAGATCACTCTCCCACACTGCGTGGTTAGGAGCTCTGAATAAAGATCAATTTGTTCTACTCAATACTCACGACTCCTCTTCAAAATCTCTCTCCAACACTCTCCACAATGCCACATTATGTAAAGCACAGGAGAGTAAAACTATTCTGGAGATCTTTGCTGATGAAGCTCCAGATCTGTTCAGATACATAAACTGCATCTCTAACATCCCAAAAACATACTCAACGCTTGCCCTTGTGTCTTCCTGTGTCTCCCCTCTGCATCAGTAGTCCGGTCCTCTTGGTTCCTCAGAAATCTGACATCTCATCTTTACAAAATCATCACTCATTCTGTGTGGAGGGGTGAAAACCTTTGGGAGGTCGGACTATCACAGAGTGTAAGAATCATGGCAGCTTGAAGGCCACCTTGCACAGGCATGCAAGTCAACCTTCAGTTGCCCAGATAAGAACTGAACATCCAGGAATTGGACTCCATTCCAATCGATAATTCCTTCAGGATGGCCTGCAGCTTTGACTACCATATGAGCGCAGTCAATAACACCCTGCACCATGGGGAATCCAGCTACTGCAGCAAGTGACTGTCTTCATTACAGTCAAAGTGGTTATGTGACAGCTTTGACAAACATGTTATTGGACACCTGAGAGATATATTTGTAGCGAGCAGATTGTGAAGTCTTGCAGCGGTCTGTGACAGATCCCTGAAAGGAGTTAGAGATGAAGAAATTTCAGATTGTGGTGATATTTATGGACACAGGCAAGAGCTGCCCATCTTGTCGCCTTGGAAAAGGTCATTATTTCCACGTGGCTGCAGATGTCAGCAAAAATGTGTTATATAGGTCTGAGTCTCCTGAACATCTGTTGCTCTATCATGTCATGGAAGCACATATGCCCTGTGCAGGATGTCTTGCCTCCTTTTGAACTAGAGCTTTGTGTCCATTCTCTCTGTCACCAACAGTTTCTGTCAATATTGTTAATGTGGTTCCTGGTGCTGCTAGTGCTACTTACTTAGTGCTAGATGCTGTTGGTGTTGGTGTAGCTGCTTCTATTGGTCTTCAGAGATCCATGATATAGCTACAGAGGTTGTTCCGTGAACTTGCAGCCAGGAGGTTAAGGTCAAAATGAATGAACCACAAAGCAGGTCAAATGAGTGACAAAATGTCGAAATTATTTGTGAAATCCCATTCTCGGAACAAGTGCTGTGAGCACAAACCTTACACTGTGCCGACCACAGCTATGCAGTTTCACTGTCTTTCAAGATGGTTGTATGATTGTGGTTCAGTTTGGTACTCAGTGGTCATTCTGGATCTTATTGTTGTTAGACGATTGCTTACTTACCCTTCTTTGCTCTGAGAGTTTTTCTCCATAGAGTTGAAAAAATGCCATCTGTCCAGTCATTTGTGGCTACATCAAGTCGGCCAAACATCTGTGGGGCAGTAATTGCTTTTGGATTCATTCTCATCTCACGGTGTGGTTTACCACAGTCTGTGAAATGAAGACATAATGGAGATAATGCTACAAATCCAGAAACTGCTTTGCATTTTGTCATTTATTGATGTATTCTCATTCGGGGTAGATCTTACAAGCAGAACTTCAGGTAACAGAAGTATGTATCCAGAACACAGGTATTGTAGTCCTGTTGTTTGGTTGATTTCCCATTCATTAATTTTAATAGATTTAAAGTCATACTCAGCACCCTCTGTACTTGAATTCTACATACACATATCAGTCACGAAACTTCCAATCATTACAAATAAAATCTCACACACTATTATCAGAATCCCAAATGTAATGCAATTAACATTAAAAAGGATTACAAAGTTTATTTAATTCCTCCTTCTGCTTCTATAAATGGCTTGCCAAAGAACAACTTATTACATAAAGTAGTGATTGTGCTGTTTGAGAAGGATACGATGACAGCCTTCTGTCCTCTTCTTCTCCTATTTCCCATCCACTCTATATGCATTGCTCATGGCTATTGCTCATGGCTGAAATTATGGCCTGTCTCTTGCTCCTTATCTCATACTCCCATCGGCTTAAAGAAAAACATAGACAAAAATAGAAATTGGGCCATGAAGTTTATACTGGATGAGAAATAGTTATCCATCCGGACACACTTTCCAGCTATTGCTCTAATCCTGTACATTATGGAATTTCAAATACACAAACAAGTACTTTTTAAATATCACAGGGAATTCTGCCTCCATTTTACATATTGAATATATTCCTACTACTCTTTTGGATAAAATATTTCCCAATTTTTACCTCAAATCCAAGCACTCTACTTGCTACCTTTTCTCAAAAAATTGTTTGTCACATACACTGTATCTAGGCCTCTCATATACATCAACTAAATCTCTTCTCACATTCTTCTTTTCCAAAGATAACCAGCCCAATCTCTCCAGTTATTCCTCATGCCTATAATTATCTTTTTGCAAATGTTCTCCTTATTGAGGGGTAGTATTTTTTTGCTGGAGGTGCAAGCAAGTGCATCTGTAATTTGTATCACACTCAGCAATCTTAGCAGGAGTCCATCCTCCAATAGTGACCTCATCTTCAAAATACATATTGCACTTGTGAATGAATGGTGCTCTCTCTTCTCTTGAAATGAGCTCATCCTGGGTCTATGTGGAGTTCTCCATGTCTTCATTTCAGTGACTCTTGACCTGCTCTCAGTCGTACTTCACCTTCACTCTTAATCCTAACTTCCACTTAACCCTAACCCTCAGCTTTGACTACTCATATGATGATGCTCAGGCTCATATCCCTTCTCCAAAATACACCAAGTCATAACAGATACTCCAACCCGTTCTCTTTCCACCTCCCGCATATTTCAATTACATGCAAAACTATTAAAATTACCTTCCTGCCACATGCTATCAGCACTGCCATCCCACTGCCTCACTGACCCAAGGATAACTGGACACCTTGATCTCAAATCTGGAATCTTTACATTGTGTTTCCCATGTCATTCAACAACTCTTGCCCCCAACTTCTTTGCTCAGTCCCTCAGTCAGCATCAAATTCTGTCCTTTGTCTTAAATTTGGACCAAGAACAGTTGAGGATTCAAATCTTATCTTCCAAACAAACTTTTGAGCCCTGTATTTCCAATACATTCAATTCTCCAATTGAAACAAATCCTATACAGAGAAAAGAGTTACTGAAAGATGTCATTAACTCTTGATTCATTTCCACCTCACCTGTCATGGCTTTCATCAATGTATGAATACAGGTGGTTTTACCAGCTCCACTGGGTCCCAGAGTCATCATACCATGCCTAACCATTTGTGTCTCAAACAGCTGAATAACTTTAAGTTTCCAAGGAGGATGACTAACAAGTCCCGCTTCTTCAACCTAAATAAAGTAAAATATATTCTGAATAATTTAGATTTACAAGGATAATAAAGAAATGTTAATACATTTATTTTCCTAGTCAGCACTTTGACAGTTAAGGAATAACAGTCATTTTAAGTTTATGCTGCTGCTGAGGTTCATAATGTAAACGTTATTCATTCTAATTATTACATGTCATATCAACTCAAACTCCAATGTGATCCGTAAATATTAACAGTCTCTTTCAACTTCAGTCATAGCTATTACTGCAGGACTCAGACCAAATACAAGATCACAGTGGAAGCTCTGAATTGAGTGATGAATCAAACATTTGTTCCTTCTTCATTAAGAAAACCTGCATTTATATAGTGCTTTATACCAAATGTCTTAGAGTACTTACAGCCAATGAAGTACTAGTGAAGATGCGCTGTTGTAATATAGAAATCTGTGATAAAAGGTGTATTTTATATTTGTTTAGGGGAGTTTTGGATTTTTAAATAAAGCTGGTTGGATGTGAGTCAATTCTGTGAACGTTTTCTGCTTAAAAGGTCAGGAAGTCAATTTGAACAGTGACTGAAATATATCCATCCCAAGAAGATTCGTGGCTTCAGTCATGTGCCTAGCAGACACCAGTGGTATTAATGGACAAGATATTAGTAAGCCAGAGGTGTGGAAAAGTGTAGAAAATAACAAAAGGTGACCAATAAAAAAAATGGGAATATGTAAGAGTCTGTAAAAGATAATAGTAGAACATCTAGAAATTGATGACGTGATCAAGCAGAGTCAGCATGGCTTCATAAAAGGGAAATCATTCCTGACAAATTTACTATAAATCTTTGAGAAGATAACAAGCACGATAGATAAAGGGGAAGCAGTGGATCTAATATAGTTGGACTTTCAGAAGGTGTTCGATAAGGTACCATACATTAGGTTACTTAATAAAAGTCCATGATTTTAGATGTAGTCTATTAGCATGGTACGAGCATTGGCTAACTAACAGAAGACAGAGAGTTGGAAAAGGGGGGCTATTTTCAGGATGGCAACCTGTGTCTTGTGGAATTCCATGGCAGGCAGTGTTGGGGTCACAATTATTTGTAATATGTATATTAATAACTTGGGTAAGGAAAGTGAATGTACTGTAGCAAAGTTTGCAGATAACACAAAAATAGGTGGGAAGGCAAGTGATGAGGATATTTCAAAAATTCTCCAGAGGGATACAGACAGGTTAAGCCAGTACACAAAAACTTGGCAGACAGAATATGATGTGGGAAAATGTAATGTTGTGCACGTTGGCAGGAAGAATAGAGGGAGATGACTATTATTAAATTGGGGAAGAACTGCAGGAAGCTACAGAACACAGGGAATTGGCAGTCCTTGTCCACGAACCACAAAAAGATAGAATCTTAGTTCAGGAGGTGATTGCAAAAGGAATTGGAATGTTGGCCTTTATTTCAGAGGGAATGGAGTAATAAAGTAAGGAGATTCTGTTAAAACTTTACAAGGTACTAGTTTCAATTGCTTAAATACTGTGAACAGTTTTGGACGCCTTATCTAAAGGAAGATATCCTGGCACTGGAGGCAGTCCAAAGAAGGTTCAGTCAGTTGATCCTGCATGTGAAAGGACTGTCTTATCAGGACAGCTTGTGTAGGTTGGCCCTGCACTGCATTTAGAAGAATGAGTTGCAACCTTATTAAAACATACAAGATTCTTATGGGACTTTACAATGTAGATGCAGAGAAGTTGTTTCTCTTTGTGGGAGAGTCTAGGACCAGAAGCCATAATTTCAGAGTAAGAAGTTGCCCATTTAAGACAGAGATGAGGAGGAACATTTTCTGAGTGTGGTGAATCTGTAGAATGCTTACCCCAGAGGACTGGGTCAATAATTACTTCCAAGACTGAAACAGACAGATATTTAATCATTAAGACAGTCAAGTGTCATAGAGAAAAGGAAGGTGGATTTGAAGACTATCAGATCAGACAAGATCTTGTAGCATGGTGGAGCAGACTTGATGGGCTGAAAGGCATACTTCTGCTCCTATGCCTTATGGTTGTGTTCATGACAGGCAGTGTAAACACATTAAGGTAATTTGTTTTGATTTCAGTTCAGAAAAAAGGATATTTTATTTTAGAGTGGGAACCAAGGTTTTTTGTCCAGTTCAGTTTGGGGAAACCAGTCACTTCAACATAAGTGGGCTGCTGTCTGTTAAGCTTCCAGTCTTCAAGTAATTAGAGCTGAGAAGGTTTAGGTCATCAGAATTGTCGAAGGTTCATAACCAACAGACGTGGAAAGGAATCGTAAAATTGGGCCCGCAATTTCAAGAAAAATACATTGCACAGTGTCAGTTAAGTAAAGAGACTTAAAAAAAAGTGAGAGGAATGATTTTTCTTCCCGACTGACAGTCTGCATCGGACGATGTTGGGGAACAATCTGAAACTTAGTTTTGAGGTTTGTGTTAAGATCTTTCTAACTTTGTCTATTTATCATTTTGTGTAATAGACCTGTTGTCAAAGAACATCTGCAGCCTTTTGTGAATATATTTCAGTACCGAACCACCACATTAATCATTTACATAAAAAAAAAATGATCTAACAAGCCAGGGGATCTGACTTGTTCAATAGCACCATCAGCTGGTATCATAAAGGAACAGAACAGCCAATTTGTACACAGCAAGCTTCTACAATTAACAGTGTAATAATGACCAAGTAATGTTTATTTTTCATATTAAAGGATAAACATTGATTAAAATACTGGTGATATACACCCCTGATATTCTTCAAAATTATGCTACAAAATATTTTATATCAACCTGAGGGGACAGATAAGGCCTTAGTTTAATGTCTCATCTAAAAGACAGAAGTCCAAGAGTACAGGACTTTCTCAGTACTAAACCAGAATGTCAACCTTGATATTTGTGCTCAGTCCTGCATCTGGATTTGAATACCACTGAAGGTTTGGGATTCTTCTGGATTTGAATACAGAATCTTTTAAGTCACCAGTACCTGAGGCACAGCTGATAAAGGTTAAGGAAAACATAAACCAGACGGAAATCTGTGTACAACCTGCATTTATATAATGTGTAATTCATTCCTTTTATTTTGTGTTCCTTTGATCATTGTAGGATCTAGCAATCTGTGAACTGTAATATACATAGGGAGCACACAATTCCAAGGAGTTGTTACATTTGACCATTGAGTTGTTAAATTTGATCATGCCCAGAAACAGGGGCAGAGTTTGTTGCAAGCTTTTCATAGGTCATTTAGAATAGTTCAAAGATTACGGTTAAGTCAATTTTAGTGAGTTGTACAGAGGCAGTCAGAAGAGAAGACTGCTACCTATCTGTTGTTAGACATTTAGGTTCATAGGAGCATGAAAAAAAGGCACCAAGTCAAAAAAGTGCTGATATAGCAGGCTGCAAGCATTGAGGACTCAGCAGAAGTCTGGACAGCCAGTATGTGCAGCTGAGTGTTGGCAAATAAGGCTCCAGAGAAGCACTGAAAGCTTTCAGGACTCAGAAGGAGGTGTGCCATTAACAGTTCAGTGCAGCTAAACTGGAGGGTGAAAGGAATTCACGGTGGTATTTGCACTGTGCAGCCGAGCAAGGTTTAAGCTGTAGAAATGTGAAGCTTGTGAAGCTTGCTGACTGCAGAAAAGTTGAAGCTGCTGGAGAGCAGTTTCCAGAATCCAAGAGAATGCAGTCCAGACTGAGAGAGTGAAGAACCACAAGGTGAGCAGTTGTTCAGCAAGTTTGTGATGGAGGGGCTTTTGTAGCAGTTTCATGGCCAAATTGTCAAAAATGAATAACTGGAATCCTTTACTAAGTTTTAGAGAGACTCGGTGACCCACTGTGCCACTAACTGAAGTGGCTGAGAAATCTGTGGGGTATGCCTTGACAGTATTAGCTATTCAATATGCTCTGTGGAATATTCATCCACAGTTTATCTGTTACCTATGTTTATTTCAGGTTATTTCTGGATGTTAGAAAATAACTTCTATGTACGTACAAAATATAAATATAGCATATTGTGTTACTGTTCTAACATTTAACAGCAAACTTTATTGTTCAAAACTATGGATCTTGTGGCTTAATTTTCTTTGTAAATACCTGTGATCTCACACTTCTACATTTTTAAAAACAGTGTTACTGATCCCTAGCCAGATTGTAATACATATTTGGCAGAATGGTCCGAGATCATAACAAATACTACTAAAAGAATGAACATTCAAATACACATAAAAGAGATAGCTATTTTGTAAAGGAATAGTGAGGAGTAAGGAGACATTAGGAGACATTTCCACTACCATTCCCACTTTGTCCCAAGACAATGTTATCTATTTCTGCTTTCACATGTGAATTTGTACAAATGTTATCATTCTAATAGTTAAAAAACTATATCACTTTTTAAACCATAGACCTTTTAAAAGGGATGCTAATGTGGAAATTACATGCAGTTAATCCTGTCAGCAGCATACATCTTTCCCTCCTCTGGCACTTTGCTTTCTTTATCTCCATCACTCTTGCCTGACCTTTAACCCAATGATGACGAAGCAAATTACTGTCAGGACCTAATGGTCTGGTCACAATGTAGATGAGTAAAAATGCAAATTGTATATTGGCCCTCTTTGCAAAATGAATTAATATAGATATTTGCTGAATATTCAGAAAGGAGTTGTCTGATTTGACAGAGTCAACATGGATTTATGAAAGGAAAGTCATGTTTAACAAATTTGAGACTTTGTTTGAGGATGGTACCATAAGGGTCAATCAGGGTGAATCAACATATGTGCTGTATTTGGATTTGGTGAGAGATTGAAAGTGCTGATGTCCTTGTTCACAAATCACTGAAAGCTAGCATGTAGATGCAGCAAGAAATTCTGAAGGCAAATTGTATATTGGCCTTCTTTACAAAATGATTTGCTGACAAGAATGAATAAGTTTTGTTTTAATTATTTAGAACACTGGAGTGTGAAGTGTCGCTTGCAGTCCTGGTTCCATTACCTAAAGGAGGATATACTTGCCATTAGTCAAGCCTATTGTCAGTATGCAGTGCGGCCATTATGAAGGAGACTTTACCTGAGTGAGCCACAGGCTGCGTGAGTACATCTAGGAATTTGGTTCTAAAGGAGGGGCACAGAGGTGCTTTAAGTTAGATTTAATGCAAGAAATAAAGTGTCAAGAGCAAAAGGGGAGCGGCATAGGATATAGGGGCATATCAAGAGACCTGCCTGAAGTGAAATCAGGAACAGAGTGACACCACAAACCACAGCATGAAGCCAATGCAGAGAAGGCAGCTGAGTAGTGAATAGAATTAGTGTGTATTTCTCATATTTAAAGTAAGAGTAAGGTTGTTAATTCGTGTTAATGTCTCTAGTCTTTACTTTTCCTCTTTTTCTCAAAAAGACATTAAGTATAAGATTGATATTGGTATAAAAAATAAAAATAGAATGTAAAAAAAATGTTAAAAAAAGCAGAGACACTACAGTAATAAATTAATTAAATTCAGTAATGATGGCAGTATAGGTGGTATGTTCCTGCTGCAGCATGTGGAAGCTACTGGACACCAAGCTGATGCAAGGCACATATATCTGCAGTAAGTGTTTGCAGCTCGAGGAACTTTGGATCCGAGTTGAGAAACTGGAGTCCAAGCTGCTGCCATTATTCAACAGGGAAGGGGTAAATTACTTGGACACTTTGCTCCAGAGGACAGTCACAAACCTCAGTCTAGGTTATTCAAATTTGGTCTGTGATCAGGAACTAGAAGGTGTTACTGTAGGTGAGGCAGGTATGAGGACCCAAGGGGTAGTGTTCGAGAAGCCTCAACCCCTGAAATTGTTTAACAGTTATGTGGAACTTGCAAGCAGAATGGATAAAAGTAGGGACTGCAGGGAAGATGAGCAAATTAATCACAGCATCTTGATACAGGGAGCCATTGAGGTGACAAGAGAAAACAGGAATATAACAGTGGTAGTGGGAAGCATATTTAGAGGGAAAAGTAATGTTCTCTGAAGCTCTGAATGTCCTGAGGATTGTGTTGTCTGCCCAGTGCCAGAGATAAAGACATCTCCCCCCGGCTGGAGAGGAACCTGGATGTGGGAGGGGAGGAATCAAATTTTCATCATCCACATTGCCACTAATGGCATTTGACAGGACCAGAAAGTAGATTCTGCAGAAAGAATTTGAACAGTCAGGAGCTAAGCAAAAAGTAGAATCTCCAAGGTGATAATATTGTGACTACAATCTAAGCCATGGGCAAACCGGTATTGGATAAATAAAACCAGGTAGTTAAATGCATGACTCAAAAGATTGGGGTGAGTGGAATTAGTTTCAGCTCATGGGCACTGACACCAGGGCTGGCATGGAAGGGAGCTGTTCTGCTGGGATGGGTTTCACTTGAACTGTACTGGTACCAGTATCCTGGTCAGTCCAAATGGCTTGGGCTTTAGAGAGGGTTTTGAACTAAATAGGGGAGCGGGAGGTCGTGAGGGCACTGGAAAAGGAATACATAGGGAATAGCTTAAAATGCACAAGGAATTAGCAACCTTACAGGGCAACTATTTAGGTAATGATACCCAGAGCAGGACTGGAAGGGGGAGTGTGCAAACATTACAAAAAAAAAGCAAGTATGGTCAAAGAGAGAAAAATTGTAAAATGGCAATATAATAGCTCTTTATTTACATGTACAGAATTCCTGGAATAAAATAAATTAATTAACAATGCAAATAGAGGTTAATGTTATTATCTTATAGCCATTATGGAGGCTGGGAAAATAATAATGGGGAACAAGGAGGTGGCAGAGGAGTTGAATAAATACTTTGAATCAGTCTTCATGGCAGAAGGTACTCATACATTCTAAAAATATTAAACAACCAAGTGTCAGAAGAGGGGGTTGTGAGGTGGGGGGAGGAAGTAAATAAGAAAAGGTACTAGGAAACTAATGAGACTAAAGGCTAATATATGCAGAGACCTGATAGGATGGATCCTAGGATTTTAAAGGAAGTAGATGCAGAGATTGTAGATGCATTGGTAGTGCTATTTCAATAATTCTCAGATTTTAGAAAAGTGCATGATGATTGAAAAACTGCCAATGTAATACTCCTATTCAAAACGGGAAGGAAAACAAAAAAGAGGTAACTGTAAGCCAGTTATTGGGAAAATGGACATAATAGCAGAGCTTTATATATATAGTATATACATGTATTTAATATATATACACATACACATAACGATAAATATATAATCTACTCAGTGTCAGCATGGTTTCATGAAGGAGAAATCTTGCTTGACAAATTTGTTAGAATTCTTGAGGAGGTCACAAGCAGGATAGCAGGTAATAAAAAGACAAATAGAATGTTGACTTTTGTTTAAAAAGGAATAGAGTAAAACAAAGAGAAGTTTTGCTGGAACTGTACAAGGCACTACTAGTCAGACTACATCTGGACTACTCTAAACGACTTTGGTTCCCTTACCCCATGATATACTGGCATTGGAGGTCATTCAGAGAATGTTCATTCAATTGATCATTGGCATTGAAGGATTTCTTATGAGAACACGCTGAGTCAGTTTGGCCTGTGCTCATTTTTTCGTTTAGAAAAATGAGAAGTACCTTTATTGAAACATATAAGCTTGACAGGGTAAATACAGAGCGGTTGTCTCCCCTTGTAAAGAATTCCAAGACCAGAGGACATGGGCAACAACAAAATCAGAAATTACTGGAAAAACTCAAGAGGTCTGGCAGCATCAATGGAGAGAAAGCAGAAGTAACATTTCAGGTCCAGTGTCCCTTCTGCTGAACACCCTGAAAGTGCATAGTCTCAGAAAACGGGGTAATCCATTTAAATTAGAAATGAGGCTGAATTTTTTCTCTGAGAGGATTGTGAATCTGTGGAATTCTTTGTCACAGAGGGCTGTACAGATTGGGTCATTATTTACATTCAAGGCTGAGGTAGATTTTTAATCAGTAAGAGAATTAAGCATTATGAGAAAAAGGCAAACAAGTGGGGTTTAGGATTATTAGATCAGTCATGATCTCATGGACTGGTGGAGCAGACTTGAAGAGCCTTCTCCACCTCCTACATCTTATAGCCTTATGACAATTGAGAGAGTGCAACGAAAGTTCATCTGACCGATTACAGGGATAATGGGTCTGTCCAATGAAGAGAAATTAAGGAGACTGGTCCTGCATGCTTTGAAATTTAGATAAATGATAGGCAATCTCACAGAAACATTCAAAAATCTTAAATGGGTAGACAGAGTAGATGCAAGAAGAATGATTTTCCTGATTGTGGTCTAGAACCAGGGGACACAATAAAAGACAAGCCATTTAGGACAGAAATGAGGAGGAACACCTTCACTTATAAGGTGAGGAATCATTTGTCATTAGGTAAGTTCAAGACAGAGATTGTTGATTTCTAATTCGTAATGGTAGCAAGGGATATGAGGTTAGTGTGGGAATACAGCATTGAGATAGATGACCAGCCATGGTCTAGACTGGTTGAGTAAGTCCCAGGAGCTGTAAAGTCAACAATCCCACCAAACATAATAATCATAAATAACATAATAAGGAAACAATCTTTTCATTATCATACTCTAGTTAGCTTATGCATTTTTGCATTTGTAACAATGGTGGAATTAGATCATAGTTTTGCCAATTTATTGTTACTGTAGTTTGATCAAAACAGTTAAAACTATATTTCATATGTGATTTTGGCCAAATAGTGAGCTCTATATATCAGTTACTTGTTTGTCAATGGCAGCTTCCAGTTGTGGATACCCTGCTTTGTCCAGCTGAATTCCAGGAAACAGATCCTCAATTAGACTTAGGAAAAGTGGTTCATCTTCATCAATCTAGGAAATATTGAATATTTTGACATAGTAATCACATTTGGACAACATTATGAAGTGTTTAACAGTTCAAATTTTAGTTTGAATTTTACATCGTAATATTTTCAGCAGCAACTCACTACTCAACATACAAATACTTTCACAAATATTTCTGGAAAAAAAGGAGTAAATTCATTATTTCAAAAGCAAAATATTGCAGATGCTGGAAATCTGGGAAAAGAACAAAAGATGCTGGAAAGACTCAGCAGGTCACACAACATCTGTGGGGAGAGAAACAGAGTTAATGTTTCAGGCCAATGACCTTTCATCACAATTCAATCTATTTAATTACTGTCAACTTTGCTTCTTGCTCCTGATGAACTGTAAAAATACTGACCACAAAGCATGATTTTTGTACTACAATGATATCTTTTATTTTTATGAATGAACAGATTCAAGATATTTACGTTCACATCTTTAAATGTAAGAAAATGTCAATGTTTATCCACATTTTACAATGTTTTTGCTCTGGCATTTACAGAAATCAATTAAACTCTAACAAACACAAACATAGTGAAGGTCAGGTTTGGACTGTGTTTAAATGTTTTCTTTGCTGTATTTTGTAACATGCCAAACAGACAGACAACATGACTTACCAGCTTAGAGAGGTTCATATCACGAAGTACACGCATTACAATGGTAGACTCTGAATCATTAGGGTTGGCTCGTTTTGCAGCTCCAAGTGTCCGTAGGACTGACAGGATGTTACGTAGGCCAAAATCATAATGCACCTAGTAAGGGTACATGATGCAGTCTTTTACTTAGTGTGTGCATTTTGGGGTTAATTCACCTGTAATGAACTCAAAGGGGAACTGCGCTCCTCTGGAAGAGATGCCCAAATCAGAATTACAATGCTGTATTAGCAATTCCTCAATCTACACTTCATTTAGATGCAGTTCCCTGCTGCGTGAAATAAATACGCACACAGGACCTAGGGACATTTGGCCCTTTGAGCCAGCTCCTCCATTCTGTGATGAGACTGAGCCCTTTAAGAGATGTGTTCTGTCCTGTTTCTCTTGCAGAGAGGTGTTGCCACCCTGGTTTCAAGATGTTTGCTCCATGGTAAGCAAAGTAAATAGCTTTGGTTTTTTTTCCAAAAGGTTAGACCAAAGAAGCATGAGTGGACAATCAGTGCTCACACAGACCCAGGAAGACTTTTTTAGTTTTGCTTTCAGTTAGTGAGAAGGTTTCTGCCGGTTGACTTCTGGAACTAACAGCTAGAGCTCCCTCTCTGCTGCTACAGTGAGAAGACAGCACGTGAGAATAAAACTGTTTTGCAAAATTGCCTTGCAAGGATGTGTTTATGGAATTCTCCCTATATTGGAACAGTTGATGATTAGTGGTTAAATCAAATATTATCTTGTTAAGTATGTCAATAGAGTTAAAGTTATGCCAATCCTTCCTTTGGTTTGTATTTAAATGTTGTAAAAATAAAGTGTCGTTTACTTAAAGTCTAGTGGTGGACTAATCAAGTCACATCTGGAACACAACACCTTACACTTGCCTTTAAATAAATATAAAAGTTAGGGACCAGGCTATCTCCTTACTAGATTTTGGAGGCAGGGGTAGGGGATTTCTGTCCGCCATCCTCTCAATTGAAGTTTTCAAAGTAGCAGTTTTTTTTCCCTCCTGTAAGCATCAGACATATTTTCTGCAGTTTTTAAATTGTAGATAGGACTGAACTGACTGGCGCTCTTTTCTCCGCAAAACAGAAAATTCAAGAGTGAATCAATAGAAGTACGTTTAAAAACAAAAGGATTTGATTAGGTAGCAAATACGAGTGGAATTTTGCATTGCCCCAGGGTTCAAACTCCTGTAGCGGAAATGCTGGCGCAAACCAGGTTCCCCCTCACTCCCACCAGCAGTTTGCCCTGCAGCAATTTAACAAGTAGTGGACTGTTAGGGAGCCCCAGCTGTGCCTTCTGTCCCCCATTGGGTGGAGGAAGTCCCACCAACAAGTGGAGCTAGTCAATCAAATAGCTGGCAGCTCTCTGGTCCGAGCAGGACACTGATTGCACTGGCCATCACTGTATCTGCATCCAAGTAGATGTTGGGGGTGGGGGTGATATCTTTGGGACATGGCTGGCAGACCCTTGACAGTGGAGAAAAGGGATCTGGGTGGACAAGCCAGAGGTTAGGAGTGGATCATCAAGATTATGGAGAAGGAGGTATAGTTCCTGTTTGAACGCTACCAGCCCACACGGTGGATATTGCTGCATGTAGTGGAAATGCCACCGGACCAGTAATCCAGTGCACACGCTAATGTTATGAGGACATGGATTTGAATCCCACCATGGTGAAAAGATGGTGAAATTTAAATTCTGTAATGATTTGGAATAAATTGTTTGACTAATGGTAACTATGTTATCATTGTTGATCGTTGCAAAAATCTATTTGCTTGACAAATGTCCTTTAACAAAGGAAATCTGCCATCCTTACCTGGTCTGTTCTACTCGTGACTCCCAGACCACAGAATTGTGGTAGGTTCTTAACTGTCCTCTGAGCAATCAGTGCAGGCAACAAATATTAGCCTAGCCAGAGATGCCCTTATCCGGTGAACAAATAAATTTTTGAAAGCATAGCTGGAATGCTTAAAAACAGGGCATACATATACAATAGAAGATGCTTCTCCAACATGGAGGTAAAAAAATGAGTAATAAATTAGGAAATGATACATGTATACCCATAGTACAATGCAATAAACTGCAATGTAACCTTTTTGTTTTGATTAAAGCTGCAATAAACAATTAGATTGAGCAGGTTAGATTTGCAGTGCACGAACCTGTTTAGAGAGCTGTTCCTCACACAATTTGTACAGGGTGAAAAACTTCCTGGCCAGTGTTATGTTGTCAATAAATCCACAACTGGCAAGCTTAACACGAATGATGATCTGACGATCCGGAACCATCATAGCAACAGAACGGAAGTTGATTTTCAGATTCTCAGGTAGCTCTTGACGTCCAGCATAGCCAGGGTTCTATAGATTTACAGACACAAACTTAGGAGTATTTCTTAAAAATCTGATAATATATCTATGAAAGACTTTCTATTTAGTATTTAAATGACCAAACCACGAATATCAGGCAACTTATATGAATTTGGTGAACGACAGCAAAAAATATATAAACTCCATTCAATATTTAAAGGGAAGAATCCATCTCAAACTACTCCCTTCAAACCATGGATATCTGTTGCCTATGGACAACCCTCCAAGGTATTTGCAATCCCCTATTGGGGATTGTCAAGTATAACCGTTCTGCCATTTGTAGCTATGTCATCAGCTGCCCACTCTCTAAACTTTACAATTATCTCACTAAATCTCTTTCCCTTTCTTCCTCTCTTTCCTTCTTCATGAAGTTCCTTAAAACCCACCTTTTCCACACTAATGCATTCTTACGCTGTTCAGTTTCAAATCTTGCTTTGTAATGTTCCTGTGGAGCCCTTGGACATTTTATTATGTTAAAGGTGTTTGGTAAAAACAAGTTGTTGGTGGTGCTTTGTTAGGTAAAGCGACAGAAACAGTACTCCAGAGTGGTCTCACCTAGGGCCAATACAAATGCACTAAGACTTCTTGACTTTTCTAAGCCAATTTATTTGTACTAAAGGCTAACGTAATATGTCTTCTCAATTGCTTGCTGTATGTGCACATTAATATTGTCATTCACTTACAAGGACACCTGGATCCCTTTGAATGTCAATGTGTCCCACACTTGTACCATTTAAAAATATTCTGCTTTTCTATTTTACTTATTAAAGTGGATAACTTCAATTCCTCCACATTATACCTGCCACATTTTTTTCCCACTCACTTGATCTGTCAATATCCTTTCACAGCCACTTTTCAGCCTTCTCATAGCTTAATTCCCACCCAAATGTGATTCATCAGAAAACCTGGATAGATTACACATAGTGTCTTTATCTAAGTCATTTTACGACATTTTCAACCCTGGTTATGTAATTAAATCAATTGTAGTAAGGAATCCAGGTGTGTAGTGCTACACTTTTGCTGCTGACCTCCTCTGCTACCTCCAGCCACACTGCCTTTGTTTCACTGGTTAATAGCTGCATTTCTTTAATCGTGAGCCTAACCCTCCCTCCACAGACCCTTTCTCCCGCCTCTATCACACCCCATCCTCCTGGACACCACCCCAAGGCGTTGTACCCTCCCTCGACCTCTTCATCTCCCACTGCCGTCGCGACATCAATCGCCTCAACCTCTCCACCCCTCACATTCACTCCAGCCTCTCCCCCACAGAACATGCAGCCCTCTGCTCCCTCCACTCTAACCCTAACCTCACTATCAAACCCACAGATAAAGTGAGGCACAGTAGCGGTATGGCGCACTGACATTTACATAGCCGAGGCCTGGCACCAACTCTGCGGCACCTCCTCCTACTACCCTCTCAATCATGACCCCACCCCTGACCACCAAAACATCATCTCTCAAACCATTCATAACCTTATCACCTCAGGTGACCTCCCACTCACAGCCTCCAACATTATTGTTCCCCAACCCCGAACCGTCCGTTTCTATCTTCTTCCCAAAATCCACAAACCTGACTGCTCCTGCCAACCCATTGTCTCTGCCTGCTCCTACCCCACTGAGCTCATCTCCGCTTACCTTGGCTCTTTTTTCTCCCCTCTGGTCCACAAACTCCCCACCTATGTCCAGGACACCACTCACGCCCTCCACCTCCTCAAAGACTTCCAATTCTCTGACCCCCAACACCTCATCATCACTATGGATATCCAATTCCTGTACACCTGTATTCCCCATGCAGATGGCCTAAAAACCCTCTGCTTCTTCCTCTCCCGCAGGCCCAACCAGCCGCTCTCCACCGACACCCTCATCCACTAAACTGAACTCACCCTAACCCTTAACAACTTCTCCTTTAACTCCTTCCACTTCCTACAGACTAAGGGGATGGCCATGGGAACCCGCATGGGCCCAAGCTACTGCCTTTCTCTTTGTTGGATACGTGGAACAGTCCCTCTTCTGCAGCTACACTGGAACTATCACCCACCTCTTCCTCCGTTACATCAATGACTGTATCGGCGCCGCCTCATGCTCCCATGAGGAGCTCGAACAGTTCGTCAACTTTACTAACACCTTTCCCCCCAACCTCAAGTTCACCTGGACCATCTCTGATACCTCTCTCTCCTTCCTGGACCACTCTGTCTCCACCTCTGGTGATCACCTCGAAACCGACATCTATTTCAAGCCCACCAACTCCCACAGCTACCTAGACTACACATCCTCTCACCCACCTTCCTGCAAGAATGCAATCCCCTACTCCCAATTCCTCCACTGTGTCTTCTCCCAAGATAGGGCGTTCCACTCCCAAACATCCAGATGTCGTCCTATTTCAAGGACCGCAACATCGTCCCCTTCGGTGGTCAAAAATGCTCTCGACCACATCTCTTGCATTTCCCGCACCTCTGCCCTCACATCCCCTCCCCCCAACAAAAACAAGGACAGAATCCCCCTTGTCCTCACATATCACCCCACCAATCTCTGCATCCAGCGTATCATTCTCCACCACTTCCTCCACCTACAATCCAACCCCACAACCCAAGATATATTTTGCTCAACACCCCTATCTGCCTTGATCTGATACGACCTGTCCATCTTCTCTCCCACCTGTCCGCTCCTCCCACCTCATTGACCAATCCCCACCACTCCCTACCTGCACTGACCTATCACCATCCCACCTACTTTCCCAGCCCCACCCCTCCTCTCTCTATTTATTTCTGAGCTCACATCCCCCCTGCCCATTTCTGAAGAAGGTTCCCAACACAAAACATCAACTTTCCTGCTCCTCTGATGCTGCCTATTCTGCTGCGCTCCTCCAGCTCCACACTGTGTTACCTCCGACTCCAGCATTGGCAGTTCTTACTATCTTTAGGTGGAGGGATAGGTAATGTTGAGGAGGCAGAAAGACTGCAGAAGAATTAAACAGGCTATGAGAGTAGGCAAAGAAGTGTCAGATAGAATACATTATGGGAACGTTTGAGGGTATGCGTTTTGGTAGGAAGAATAGGGGAAAAATGGAAAAACGCTTCAGAAATCTGAAGCACAGGGGAGTCAGGAGTCCTAGTTCAGGATTCTCTTAAGGTTAACTTGCAGGTTCAGTTGGCAGTCAGGTACGTAAATGCAATGTTAGCATTCATTTCAAGAGGGCTAGAATACAAGAGCAAGGATGTACTGCTGAGGCTGCATAAGGCTCCTCAGACTACATTTGGAATATTGTGAGCAGTTATAGGCTCCATATCTAAGGAAGACTGCAGGGGGTCCAGTGGTCTACAAGAATGATCCCAGGAATGAAGGGCTTGTCATATGAAGAGCAACTGAGGACTCTTGGATCTGTACTCGGTGGATTTTAGAAGGATGAGGACAGGTCTGATTGAAATTTATAGAATACTGACAGGCCTGGGTAGAGTGGATGTGAAGATGTTCTCACTAGCCAGAGAGACTAGGGCCAAAAGGCACAGTCTCAGAGAGAGGGAATAATCTTTAGAACTGAGAGGAAGAGGAATTTCTTCAGCCAGAAGGTGGTGAATCTGTTAAACTCACTGCCACAGAGGGCTGTGGAGGCCAAGTCATCGAAGTGTCTTTAAGACAGAAATAGATATGTTCATGATTAGGAAGGGCATCAAAGATTACAGGGAGAAGGTGGGAGAATGGGGTTGAGAAACATGTCAGACATGATCGAATGGCAGGGCATACTCGGATGGGATGATTGACCCAATTCTGCTCCTATATCTTACAGTCTTATAGAACCATTTTGAAAATGGATCTGGTCAATATTATTCTTAAGTGCTGCAAATGTTCTTAGAAGTCTGTATGAAGGCCTGAGTTATTGGTTATTTTCCGGTTAGCACCCTACAGTATAATGAACAGCAGATGTGAAGTGGTACCCCAGCTAACTACATCAGATATTAAAATGAACAAGTTGTGTTTTCATAAATTGCATTAGCACAGCTTTCTTCCTTTTACATTTTTGTTAACTGGATTTACCATAGTGAGGAAAATTCCGAATTCAGCGTTCATTTCTACAGAATCTCCATCTGTGAAGATGAAATTCTTTTTACGTTCCTTTTTGCATGTCAGTACTACAGCAATCTGCTGTGCAGCAACTGAGAGAACGGGTAGATCAATACGATTGAATTCATCAAAGCAACCCCAGGATCCAGACTGTGCTAGGCCTATTAAAGGTAAATAATAAATGATTATATTTTCTAACAGATGTTGAACAAAGCTGACAGAAACTGTGAATACACTGAGGATATTCACTTCCTTTCATATTAAAAGCCACCTATGGCTAATTGTCTGAGTGGAGGTGCAGCAAACATTCTGCTAACCTTTTATGTCATAAATATAAATTAAAATTCTTTATTTACAAATTAGTTACAGTATGTACATAACAAAATTGCTGCAGGTTCATAAAGGCAAGCTGCAGGCTCCATGAAAATGTATAAACTATACATATATTAACACTAATTATGTTGTACCTTATCTTCTATACAGGACTAATATACTGGAAACTGAATGTTTTCTACTTATTTTGTAAAGATTGTTAGAATATGCATTTGACCATTTGCAAATTGCTGCAATACTTTATGCTAAAATACAAGCAGATCGCACATCTTAACATATCAGAGAATGTACCTGAACAAAATGTCCTTTAAAATATGAATTAGGAGCAGTTACAGGCTACTGTTCTGCCAGTTGACAATTCTTATCTTTAACTCCACTTTCCTGCTATCCTAATATCTTTTCACTCCTGCATCTGTATTCATAATTAAACCTTTATAATTGAAACCTTTACAAAACAAAACCAAATCAATCCCTAAATGTAAACAAAAATATGGGCTTACACATAAAAAGATAAAAAAAGAAAGCTAGATTGAGTTGCTAAAATAAGTATATATAATAGACTGATTTTTGTGAAGGCAATGCTCAAAAACATTCAACTTAGCCACATTTACAAAATAAATATTGTGCAATTTAGTTTTTTAAAAACACAATACTCAAAAGTGATGTACTTAATGGCTGTCACATGACCAAAACAAAAAGTGCATGCACATTTTTGGTGTACAATGTTAATCATTTATATTCTATTAAAAGACCATACTTTAAGAAATACAAACAAAACAAGGTTTCATCGGTCATAAAAGAAGTTAGTTGCTTGTTAGTGGCCATCTGGTGGGCAATGTGAGAAAAAAATGAGCAGAGGCTGGCAGATGTTATTCACTCGCATTCTTCACCGTGTGTAGTGCATGATACAGGGAGGCAAAGAACTCATTAAGGAGAAAAATGTATTCTAATTCTTTTAAAAAGCCAGCAGAAAAATAGTGGTATTTGACAATGCTACCTTAAATTTTAGTAGACAAATCTAAGCAAAGCTGGTATCAATAGAGCATGGTAACAATTCTCTGAACTGAATGGTTACCTTTAAAAATTCTCCCAAGTCCTCTAAAGTCCATTTGATCTGAGCAGTTGAAAACCACCACATACTTCCCAAGGCACCTGCCCATATCTTTGGTAGTTTCTGTCTTGCCTGTCCCTGCAGGCCCAGCAGGAGCTCCTCCCATGTTCATTCCAAGTGCCTGAGCTAAAGTAATGTAACATCTGAAATAAACAGAATAATACATGTGGTCATAACTTGTTTAGACTAATAAGCATTTTGGTGAATGCTAAGCGTTCAATCTATGAATCAGAAACCGGAAAGCTATCAAGTGAGTGACTTGCCAATTTCTCCTGAGTCAGAAAGTTGTGGGATCTGGCCCCACATTTCATGAAATTATACGAAGTGTGCTCATAGTGACTGTGCTCTCACAACGGCCTATAGAAAGACTAAGGTGATTCCAAGCAGTTCACAAAAAAATCACAGACCAGTTTCTGTATGCAACGGGGGACATTTCAGCGGTCAAGGACATTCAGCCTCTGATCTTTGGGTAAGTGTCCTTCAAGGCGGTCTTCGAGATACGCAGGATCGCTGAGCAATAACTGATAGCCAAGTTCCGTACCCATGAAGACGGTCTCAAACGTGATTTTGGGTTCATGTCACGCTATATGTAACCCCAGCATACTGTTCTGTACTTGTAAAATCTTCCTTACTGTCCTATTTTAACACCAGCACCTGGATAACTTGTTATGATCTTTCTACCTTGATTAGTTTGTACAGCTTTGGATTACTTGTTACTTTGGTTAGACCCTTGGCATGTGACTGTTATACCTAACATGTTATTCCAGCCGTTTGATTTGTCATCAGCACCATCTTATTTTTAATTTTTTGTAATTATCTCTCTGCCTCAATTAATTGGATTATAGGCCACCCCCTCCACTTACTATTCAGCTGTTGACATTTTACTCATATCATCTGACACTTTTGATTGCCTGCAGAGATTTATTATTTGACACTCCAATGACACCATTTACTTCACCTGATGAAGGGACAGCACTTTGAAAACTTGCGATTTCAAATAATCCTGTTGAGGTTGGTTGACTCGCCGAGCTGGTTTGTTGTTTTGCAGACGTTTCGTTACCATGCTTGGCAACATCCTCAGTGCAGCCTCCGATGAAGCGTCGGTGTGTTTTCCCACCTGGTTTTTAAACTCTGGGGTCCGTTGAGATGGATTGCCTCACTTCCGGGTTTCCTTCGAAGTGGAATGTATATGGGGTCGAGTTCAATGTGTTTATTAATAGCATGCTTCGTGGAGTGCCTTGCTTCCAGGAATTCTCACGCTTGTCTCTGCCTAGCCTGTCCCAGGATCTTGGTGTTGTCCCAGTCGAAGTCGTGGTTCTCCTTGTCCATGTGGATTGAGATGAGTGAGTATTGGTCATGCCTTTTTGTAGCCAGTTGGTGTTCATGAACTTTGACTGGGACAACACCAAGATCCTGGGACAGGCTAGGCAGAGACAAGCACGAGAATTCCTGGAAACATGGCACTCCACGAAGCATGCTATTAATAAACACATTGAACTCGACCCCGTATACATTCCACTATGGAGGAAACCCGGAAGTAAGACCATCCATCTCAACGGACCCCAGAGTTTAAAAACCAGGCGGGAAAACACACCGACGCTTCAACGGAGGCTGCACTGAGGATGTTACCAAGCATGGTAATGAAACGTCTGCAAAACAACAAGCCAGCTCAGCGAGCCAACCAACCTCAACACCACAACCCGAGCTACAGATCTACTCCAAAACCTTCAAATAAACCTGTTGGACTATAACCTGGTGTCACGTGGCTTCTGACCATATCCCCCGCCGCAGTCCAACACCGGCACCTCCACATCACGGTTTCGGTGCTGTTCAAGAATTACATTTATTATGGATACATAGATTCAAGAAACAGGTAAACAATAATGAGCTGCTGACATGTAACTCTACTAGTTAAATCTCTAACTCCCTTATAAAACTTTCCCTACACACATATACAGACAAATATACAGACAAACACAAAAAAAGGGTGTCATGGGTGGAGGGAAAGATGGAAAAGGCACTTCAACAGTCCCTAGTCACAGGGTTTGCAGAGATGATCCTTTATGCTTGTCAGGACTTGCTGCTCCTCAATCTTCCTTCCACTTGCTTGCAGGAGGCACAGGGTGACTGGTTCACCCTAACACTGTCTCTTATTGGTTAAAAGCAATAGCTTACAGCAAATGATGTGGGAAATAAGCTGGCTTTCTTCAAGTTTTGAGGTGTTTTATTTACTGAAGTGGAAAAGTCAACTCATTCCTTTTTGAATATCTATTGCTTCTGTCTAACCATTCACACCCACAAGCTGTTCAACTACCTGGAAGCCAATCACTCAGTCATCGGCAGGCAGAAGGCCTTTGTCATTGACAATGGGTCACCATTCCACAGAACTATCAGCTACTTGTTGCCAGGCAAATCTCCATTCATACACATCCCTTGGCTCCAGCTCATCTGCATCCAGACTTTGCCCACTGCTTGAATGAACAGCATTGTAAATTCCACTTACAATAAGTGTCAAAAAGTAATCTTATCACAATCCATAGTTTTTAAAACCCAGACATTTTTCATTTCAGTCCACAATCAAAAATGTAGAAAAATAACAAGTTACAGTCCTTTAAATGTGGTGCACAATTCCCGACAACAAAACCAGAGAATGATGTAATTTCACTTTTTGGTCAGGAGCCAAGGCCTACTTGATTCATGTCATTGATGAGGGTAGGGCAGTGGGTATTCATCTACATGGACTTTACTAAAGCGTTTGACACAGTCACCCATGGTGGATTTGTCCAGAAGATTAAATCACATGGGATTCATGGTAAATTGGAAAATTGGATACAAAATTGGCTTGGGCATAGAACACAGAGGGTAGTTGTGGAGGGGTGTTTTTCTGCCTGTGGGTCTGTGAACACCAGTGGTGTTCTTCAAGGATCAGTACTGGGACTTCTTTTTGTAATATATGTGAATGACTTAGATGAAAATATAGTTTGATATGATCAGTAAGTTTGCAGATGACATGAAAATTGGTGGAGTTGTGGATAATAAGGAAGGTTGTCAAAGGGTATAGGAGGATGTAATTCAGTTGGAAAGTTGAGCAAAGAAATGGCAGATGGAATTTAATCAGGACAATTGAGAGGTGATGCATTTTGGGAGGTCAAATGCAAGAGGAAAGAATACAGTTAATGGTAGGTCCCTTAGGAGCATTGATATACAGAGGGGTGTTAGGGTACAAGTTCATAGTTCCCTGAAAGTGGCAACACAAGTGAATAAGGTGGTAAAGAAGGTGTATTGCATGCTTATTTTCATCATCTGGGGCATTGAGTATAAAAGTTAGCAAGTCATGATGCATGCGTATTAGACATTAGTTAGGCCACATTTGGAGTACTGATTGTGGTTCTGGTCCCCACACTAAAAGAAGGATGTAGACGCTTTGGAGAATCTGCAAATGAGGTTTATCAGGATGTTGCCTCGAATGAAGTGTATTAGTTATAAGAAGAGATTGGACAAAGTTGCATTTTTTTTTTGTCAGAATATCAGAGGCTGAGACACGACCTGATAGAAGTACATAAAATTGAGAGAGGCATAGAAATGGTAGCTAGTCAGAATCTTTGTCCCAGGGTGGAAATGTCAAATACTAGGGGGCATAGGTTTAAGGTAAGAACAGAAAAGTTTAAGGGAGATGTGCAAGGCACACTTTTGACACAGAGGGTGGTAGGTGCCTGGAATGCACTACCAGGGAGGTGGTAGAAGCAGATACGTTAGAAAAGTTCAAAAGGCATTTAGACAGACACATGAACAGGCAGGGAATAGAGGGATATGGACCATGTGTAGGAGGATGGGATAAGTTTCAAATAAAATCATGGTCAGCACAGACCTGGTGGGCTGAAGGGTCTGTTCTTGTGCTGTACTGTTCTAGGTTCTATGATAATTGACAGGGCCAGTGGCAGGCACAGGTTTTCAGAGGAGGATCATGCCCTCACATGACAGTTTTGGAGTTTTAAGTGGGCCATTAAAAAGCCATAGGCAAGCAGGGCAGCTCTGTCTCATAGCCTGAAATTACGTTATGCCCCATTAGTTCCGATCGAATTGTTTTTGAAACCCTTCATAACCTTCAGCCCCCATTCAAATGCATCTCCCCTATCCTCCCTAACTCAGTAAAATCTATCGACTTGGGATACGCCCAATATGACCAAGCCTTTTACAAATATAATTCAAGATGTCAATGCAAAGATATTATATCATGGTTCAGTGAAGCTCCCTGCAGATTCTCCTCCAGGCGATCAGTAAATGGTGAGAGGTACTCTTCTCGATCAGTGACAACAGAAGGATGACCAATGTCTCTGTTGGGATGATGACTTCCAAAGTATGAAGAGCTGCTGTTTCACTATGAATCTGGAAGATTTCACACCCTGTCAGAGCATCCTCTACTTTCTTCATACAGCATATTATTTTCAACAGCATTTCAGTGATGTAAATCTGTTTCCTTTGCTTATGTGCCACATCCAGATGGCATCTCTGTACTCAGAGTAAAAAGGTTCAAAGGAGCAGATAGTAGCAAGTTGAGAAAAATGTTTTGAAGTGACTTGCAGTCAGACTCTACAGGCAATTCATCTCTTCCAAGTAAGTATTGATGAAAATGAACACAGAGAAGGGCCAGGCGCTCTTTTTTGATAAAAGAGCATTGTTCTGTCCATGTTAATGTTTTGGATACAAATGGAACTGGTTTTCATTGCTGCATTAAGATGGCCTCAACTCCATCTCGCTATTATCACACAGCAGGGTAACTTCATAATTAACACTGTAGTATTTAAGCACTGACATTATCATCACGAGTGGTGTGATTTTAATGAATACTATTTCTTGTTCTGTGCTCCTGTACCACTCCACATCCTTGGTTGTGAGTTGACATTATGGTTTACAGTCCGACAGAAAATAGGCAAGAATTTTGCTCAGTGGTTCAGAAAACCAACAAATCATTGCACTGCTTTTACACCTGTTGGCTGCTGCATCGCTGTTGGAGCACTCATTTTTCCAGAATATAGCCAAAATCTTTTGCTGTGAGCATCTGGACTACATATTTTGCTTTGAGCATTGTGAAGACATGCGTTGCTCCATCAATATTCTTCTCCCATGCTTTCCCTGGATGACTACCTTTTGACCACTCTCCACTCTGTTGCTGCCCATTTATGGCCTTAGCTGTTGACCTATGAGATGTCTCTTTTGTCACATTCTCCCTCTCTTGAGGTTTTAGAAATATTAGTACATGAGACCCATAAATATTCTACCAAGTGAACTGTGCGGCAAAGCAAACAACGATAATGATACATGTATCCAGGAGATTTTTCTGTACATCTGCTGAACATGAGGTTTTCTACTCTTCCCATTGTCCACATCCAAAACTCCACCTAGCCCTTAACAGCTCCTCCCGTTTCAATCTGTGCTCTTGGCAGCCACAAGTGAGCTTTTAAAGTGACTGGCTATGAGAGACCTGAATGAGTTCATTGTTATTTAAGAGCTTCCATACTCTTCCAGACATTTTTGACTTGTTCCCACCATACTTGATCATCCTAAAAACGCTATGTGCCTTCTATCTATTCCGATAATAGAATCATATAGCACAGAAACAGACTCTTCATTCTAACTCGTCCACTCTGACCAGACATCCCAATCTGACCTAGTCCTATTTGCCAGCATTTAGCCCATTTCCCTCTAAACCCTTCCTATTCATATACCCATCCAGATGCCTTTTATATATTGTAATTATACTCGTCTTCACCACTTCCTCTGTAGCTCAGTCCATTTTCGCACCACCCTCTGCGTGAAAATGTTACCCATCAGGTGCTTTTTAAATCTTTCCCCCCTCACCTTAAACAGGTGCTCTCTAGTTTTACACCCCGTTTAGTGTGTCACTGAGTGTCTGCATGGATTATTTACTCAAGTCACTGACTTAGATCTTGAAACCACAACCATCAAACCTGGATCGTCTCAGAGTGTTATCAATGCATCAAGTAACTAAAAGCCTGGATTATTTCATTCTCTCTCACAAGTTAACACATCCACGTGACTCCATTGCAATAACACAGAAACAAGCTTAATTAGTTGTGTCCCTGTCTTCAACATTCACTTGGTCCTAAGCACAACCACTTGTCATGTTCCTGTTTTCTTTTAACACCTCTTCCTACTCCTCCTTATCTATTCTCTTCTTGAATTTTATCATTTCTTTCTCAACTCTGGAAGAGAATTCCAAAGCCTCACTACAAAAAATTTCTGGACCATATAGTCACGGACGTAGACGTGTCATCTCTCCGCTGTGTGCCCTATCCAACCCTGTCAAGATTCTTCTTACAACTCCTAGATCCTCCCCAATTCATCCTTAACATTTTCAATACACCTCATAACCGAGCCACCAGTTCCTTGAATATCTCTACCTTAGACAGACAGCCTATTAAATTAAATTCCCTATGTGTCTACCAGCCTGCAACCTGAGTTTGATCCGCACAACATACATGTGGACAGTACTACTCCTACCTTTTTGGCTTTTGCTTATCTACACTGATTGCACCCACCACTTCACCTTACTCTAAATATTTGGTCCTTCCCAATACAGATTTTCATGCAAACACTCCACACAACTATTGCTTGGCTTTGCCATCTTCCACCCGGTATCCCAACACTGACCATTCCCCACTCCTCACCTCACTTGCGTTTGTCAGTCCAAGTCTCAATACAAGCTGTCATTCTCCTGCTCCCATCCTTTGTGCCACAGAGTTCAACAAAGACAACCTCACAACCTCATACACACCAAAACAAAGCCAATTTATGCATGCCACCTTTAAAAGAAGGTTCTCACTCAGCACTGTAGTTTTGTTGAAGGTGAAACATAATTTCCAAACGTGCTAGCATGATGAGTACTCATGAAATGTAAATAAAGTGCAATTAGGAATATGGCACAGAATGAAGTGTGGCCTGACCCACCTCAATCATGCTGCATTTGAACCCACTGTCACAAGACAACAAGAACCTGCTGCTTCCTTGCATTAAAGTATGTGAACTGCATGTTTGCTATTTAAACCCAGGAGAGGGGAGGAACGTGCCTATGTGTGTGCACGTGTGTGTATGTGTATGCGTGTATGTGTGTGTGCATGTGTATGTGTGTGTGAAATTATTGAAGCTTTTTACCTTTGATATCTATTTCCAAGCTGTCAATTTTATGCTTGTCTGTTGACGAGGAACTACAGAAAGCAGCAGCAGTAACACCAGCAGCGAGAGCTGGGTGTAAACTACAGTATGTATCAAATCAAGTTAATATCTATCCAATCAGCCTACTATCAAACACCAGGAAAGTGAAGAAATGTGTTATTGACAGTGTTTGTAAACGGTGATATTTATTCCCCAAAGAACTTCACATTGATACTCAGTTTGGATATTGCCATAAGTACTCAGTTCTCAACTTCATTATAGTCACAATGTAGACATGAACAAAACAAATGAATTCCAAAGGTGAGATGACAGTGGCAGCCAAGATGACATGACTAAGCATCACACCAAAGAATCCCAGTTAAATTGAAGTCAATGGGAATCAAGCGGAACAACTCTCCACAGCTTACAGTCACACTTTGCACATAAGAAGATGGTTGTAGTTTTTGGTTATCAATCATCTCTATCCCAGGAAATCACTGCCAGAGTTCTTCACAGTAATGCCCTAGACTCAACCATTTTCAACTGCTTCATCGAAGATCTTATCTCCAACATAAGGACAAAACTAGGGATGCTTACTGATGATTGTAATGTTCAGCACCATTCATGATGCATCAGTTATTGAAGATATCTTTGTCCATATGCAGCTTAACTTCAAATGGCATTACTGCCCACTGAATCTCCCCTTATCAAAACCAGAAACTGAATCATACCAGCATATAAATACCATGGCTCCAGATCAGGTTGGAGGCTCAAAATTCTGTAGACAGTACTGTCTCCTCAATATCTGCCCACCGGGTATGAGTCAAGAGTTTGATAGAATACTGTCCACTTACCTGGCTCCAACAACATTCAAGAAGTTCAACCTTTCCAGGACAGAACAGATCACTTGACTGGGACCCCACCTAACACCTTGAACATTCACTTCCACCACCACTGATACACAGTGACCGCAGTATGTACCACCTTGTAATGAAATACAATACCTCACCAAGGCTCCTTCAATAACACCTTCTAACACTGTGACCTCTACCACCTAGGACAAAGGTAGATGATGCATGGGAACATCTCTACCATGCAAGCTCTGCTTCAAGCCACATATCAGTCTGACTTGGAGCTGCATCACTGTTCCTTCACATTTGCTGGATCAGAATGCTGAAAATTCCCTTCCTAACAGCACTGTTAAAGTTCAACACCACCTCCTCAAGGACATTTAGACATGGGCAATAATTGGGGCCTAGCCTGCAACACCCACATCCCATGAATGAAAAAATAATTCTCAAGGTAATGCCATGCGCCAATCATCTCAAGAGAGAGCCTAAGAACCTCCCTACAACAAAAAATCAATGTTGAATTCTGGATCTTCAACATCCTGTTCCTCACCATTGACCAGAAAAGTTACTGGATTAGTCACAAATATACTGCGGATCCAAGAGTAATTGAAGGTTGGGAATTCTGCATGAGTAACTCACCTCTTGAATCACCAAAGTCTTTCCTACTTTCCGCAAGGCACAACTGAATACAGTGGAATGCTGTCTACTCACCTGGATGAGTGTAGCTCTAACAATACTCAACAAGTTCCACATCATTGAGGACAAAGCAGACCACTTGACTAGGACCCCATCCAGTTTTTCAAATATTCACATTCAACCCATGCCTGTACTGTGTGCCATTCAGAAGACTGTATTAAATTGCCAAGGTTTATATAACACCATTTGCCAAAAATATGATCACTACTACAAGGACAAAGACAACAGAAGCACAGGAACACCACTACCTCTAGGTTTCCCTGCAAGTCACATTTCAACTGACTAAAAAATATGTAACCATTCTTCATCATGGACGGGTGAAAATCTCTACCTAACTGGACTTTGGGACTGCAGCAATTCAAGAAGACATCTCATCACCGTCTCAAAGGTCTTGCCAGCAACACACATCTTCTGAATGAATGAATGCATTTTACAAAAATGAAATGAGGAACACTTGCGCATTAAGCTGTTCAATTTCCTCACCTGTCAGTTAGGGGTGTTATGACCAATCTATCCGTACAACCGAGAAACTCGTTCTGATATGTGAATCCAACATCTGTAATTTTGATTAGCATCTTATCTGAATCCTCATTGAAATAAAACCTGCATTGTTTGAGCCACTCAAAATCTGTATGACTTTTGATGTGCAAGCGACACTGCGAAACAAAGTGTTAACATCAGTTACAAGCCACAATACATCAGCCCAGTTTCCAAAACATCTGCCTTAAACTGAAAAGACGAACTAATACCTTTGTACAGAAACAAAAATAGAGATTGCTGGAAAAGCTCAACAGGTCTGGCAGCACCTGTGGAGAGAAATCAGTGTTAACATACACTCTGATTTCGCTCCACAGAAGCTGCCAGACCTGCTGAGCTTTTCCAGCAATCTCTATTTTTGTTTCTGATTTACAGCATCTGCCGTTCATTCAGTTTTCATTTAATACCTTTGTACATCTAGTTTAACATGAATGAATAGTCAGAATGCACAGCAATCAACTTCTCGTTGTTCACAAGAGATGCATCAGTATATTTCCTTGGCTTCAGACCATCTGCAATCTGAAAGTTAATTACTGCTTGCTCAAACAGTTGTTTACAGTGCCTACCTTGGGTTATTTGCTTTCAAACCTGTAGCCACTTTTTCAATTTTTTTTTAAACTGTTCTTTCTCATTTCCACTCCCAGTTTACAAAAACACAGAAAAAGAAGTCTTCATAGCTTAACTTGAAGCCAATGCAGTTCAGCAAAAAACAACAGTTAATGAACTGGCGTGACTTAGGAGTTTTGGATGGCATCAACTTTATGGGGCTAGCAAGTGGGAAAGCTGGCCAGAATGTGCTTGAGGTAGCAAAGGCATGGATGGGAGTTGCAGCAACATGAGAGTGTAGAAAGTGACATAAGGGTTGTGAACAGAGTTTTCACATCAGACAGGAATGGAGTCAGTGATTTGAGAATAGAATTTGCATTGAGGATAGAAGGTAATTGAGGATAGAAGGTAATGGTTTTGGTCTGACAATATATTTTCATAATTTTCAAAATCTAGAACTCGCTTGCCCAAAAGGTTATATTTGTTGGCTCAATTTATATTTTTAAAACTGAGATTACTAGATAATTACTAAGTAAGGTTACCTGGGGTGTGGGCAAAAGACAGGCAAATTGAATTGGGGTAAAGATTAACTACATTCTGACTGAACAGTAGAACAGGTTTAAGGGACTGAATTATCTGTTCCCACTCCTATAATATTCCCATAGATAACACGATGGAACTGTATGAGCTTTGGAAGTATTAAAATGAAAATAATAATCACTTTTAAAAAATCTTATATAATATTTAACCAAATTTATCACAATGGTGAAAAATTAGATATTGGAATTATTGAATAATCCTAACGACAGACTAAACATACATAGCAGTGGTAAAAACATACAACGACAGGAATGTCTTGCATTCCATCAAATTTTGATTTTATATGTTAAAAATTGTGCCAAAGAGTTCTCACTATTAGTTTAGCTCTAAATTTTCTATGACCAATTTTTTTTGACAGCTGTGTCCAGTTTTTTGTTTTGTTAACCAAATAAAGACGTCTTTCCATATTACATTTTGCTTTTGCTAAAACAAAACAATAAGAGTAAGATTATACTGGGTATCATTGTTGCTTTATTGCTTCATCATTGTCTGTATCTCACCAAAGAATATATTAGGTTTCAAACTTTCTTTTCAGAACCTTTCATCAGTAAAACAATTTTATTATTCTGCTTTCGTCAAAAAAGGATGCTACCCATCTTTAATTCTTACCAGGTCATCAAAGATATCTCGCTGGTGCACATGGATAGTGATAAGGGTCTCATATTTCACACGGTCCATAGCACTTAGGTCTTTTGTTGTCATGTCAATTAGGGTGTTCAGCAAATCTAAGAAAGATTGATTTGTCTTTTGCATGACTTTTCGGTCATATTTGGCATTAGTTAATGCTTCCTCTGAATCTCTTGTCCAGATCATTTGAATTCCAAGCAATCCAACCTGTTGAAGGTAAACTGAAATTTGATATAATCTGAAATAAGAGTACATTTTCAAGGAAAACTATTTAATGCTGAACAGATGTATATAAAGTTCTATAATCTAGCTAAAGAAATGCCATGCTTTTGTAAGTTTACTTCTAATATTTTTTATTTAAGTCTGACCCATTGAACCCATTTAGTTTGAGAAGAAACCTTCTTTAGCTCATAACAGACGGAATTCCAGCATAGCTAGCACCTTAGATCAAACAAGTTTGTAAAGCAACTATATATTAAGAATTTATCTTAAAATATTTCAGACTGTATGTTAATGAAATGATCGTGAAAGAGAAACCAATAATAACTGAAATTCACTGGATCCTCACAATATACAAACGTCCCTAATTGAGTTTTCAGGATAATTTAATAGAGACTGAAATAAGAGGAAATTCTAATAAAACTATCTTTTCAAAGGTTTAATGAGCTTGGTATGAAATTATTACTGGAGTTTGTTCAAATAAATTGAAAATATATTGCGGCCTTTCGATTAGAAAAATACCTGTGCTGGATAAGAGTTAAGAAACTCAACCAGCTGGAAGGTAGTGTCCTGAATACTCATAGATGCAGCACAAATGACCAGATGGAGCGATTTCTGAGATTCCATGAGCAAAGCATTTAGCCAGACTTCTACATTTCCTTCTGCCATGACAGGCTTATCCAATTCAATGGTTTCACCCTCTCGTGAAGAAACAGCCAAAATACGGTCATATACCTGTTAATATATAGCCACATAAATTTTGAGTAGTAACTTAGTAACGTCAACTGGTTGCTAGATGGCCATATGTTAATTTCAACTATTAGAATTAGGATGTTTATCAAAGTGTTATGTCCCAGGACTGTCTCTTTAACTTGGGATAAAATGCAGAAATGAAGGGGAGTCATTGAGCTGTTCTGAATTCTGCCCAATAATAAATTTGAATAACTTGGTTATTAAAGGTTAAAGGGAGACCTGGATTTTGTAATTGGAAGTAAGATGCAAGATATTCATACCTGTAGAAAAAGGCAAGAGTATTTGTAATGACTGCGGACAAACTATTACTCTCCATGAGGTGTCAGGAATGTCAGCTTCTATAAACATGGTTGACTTTAAACTATCTATTGAATTCAACAATAGATGAAATTGAGAGTCGTAGAGGACAGCCAATTAACATTTCTACTTGGTGCAAGTTCACTGTGATTTAAACATGGAAACATAGAAGATAAGAGTAGGAGGAGACTATTTGGCCCTTCGAGCCTGCTCCGCCATTCTTCACAATCATGACTGATCGTCCAACTCAACAGCTTAATCCTGCTTTCTCCCCATAATCTTTGATCCCATTTGCCCCAATTGCTACATCTAGTGCTATATCTAGTTGATACCAAAACATTCAATGTTTTGGCATCAAGTACTTTCTGTGGTAATGAATTCCACAGGCTCACCACTCTTTAGGTGAAGAAATGTCTCATCATCTCTGTCCTAATGGTCGACCCCAAATCCTCAGACTGTGTTCCCTAGTTCTGGACACACCCACCATTGGGAACATCCTCCATGCATCTACTCTGTCTAGTCCTGTTAGAATTTTTAAGTCTCTAATGAGATCCCCTCTCATCCATCTGAACTCTAGCGAAAACAATCCCAACCTAGTCAATCTCTCCTCATACATTAGACCTGCCATCCCTGGAATCAGCCTGGTAAACCTTCGCTGCACTCCCTCGAGAGCAACAGCATCCTTCCTCAGAATAGGAGACCAAAACTGCACACAATATTCTAGGTGTGGCCTCACTAAGATCCTGTATAACTGCAACAACATATGCCTGCTCCTGTACTCAAAACCTCTCGCAATGAAGGCCAACATCACATTTGCCTTCTCTACCGCCTGCTGCACCTGCATGCTTACCTTCAGCAACTGGTGCACAAGGACACCCAAGTTCTGCTGCACACTCCCCTCTCCCAATTTACAGCCATTCAAGTAGTAAATCAACCTTCTTGTTTTTGCTTCCGAAGTGAATAACCTCACATTTATCCAAATTATATTGCATCTGCTATATACCCACTCACCCAACCTGTCCAGATCATGCTGTAGGATCTCTGCATCCTCTTCACAGTTCACCCTCTCACCCAACTTGGTATCATCTGCAAACTTGGAGATGTTGCGTTTTGTTCCCTCATCCAAATCATTAATATATATTGTGAATAGCTGGGGTCCCAGCACCGATCCCTGTGGCACCCCAGTAGTTACTGCCTGCCAATTTGAAAAGGACACATTAATTCCTACTCTTTGTTTCCTCTCTGCCAACCAGTTTCTACTAATTACATCTTCATAGAATTCCAACAGATTTGTCAAGCACGATTTCCCATTCATAAATCCATGCTGACTCTGTCTGATCCTGCCACTGCTTTCTAAATGCTCTGCTATAACATCCTTGACAATGGATTCAAAAATTTTCCCCACTACCCATGTTAGGTTCACCAATCTATAATTCCCTGTTTTCTCTCTACCTCCCTTTTTAAATATTGGAGTGACATTAGCTACCCTCCAATCTGCAGAGGCTGTTCCACAGTCTATAGGATCCTGGAAGATAACCACCAATGCATCCACTATTTCTAGAGCTACTTCCTTAAGTACTCTGGGATATAGATTATCAGGCCCTGGGGATTTATCGGTCTTCAATCCCAACAATTTTCCCGCACCATTTCTGTGTTAATATTGATCTCCCTCAGCTCTTCCTTCTCACTAAATCTTGCATCTTCCAACAATTCTGGTATCTGATTAGTATCCTCTTTTGTGAAGACAGAACCAAAGTACTCAGTTCCTCAGCCATTTCTTTGTGCCCTATTATACATGCCCCTGTTTCTGTCTGTAGGGGACCTACATTTGTCTTTACCAATCTGTTTCTTAAATTGCCTTGGAGATGAGCTTTCAGAGAAGAGTCCACAGCCAGCCAGTGTAGTGTTAGCTCATAGGATGCTCTAAATTATCCATGAAATACCCAAAGTAATGAAATTCTGGAAGATTCTGAGAGAAAGAAAGACAGCATAGGGATAACTACATCTAGTCCTACACCCTGAAACTGAGAAAATGCTGTTTTTATTATATATCATGTCAAAGGCAGGAGGGAGCTCATACTTAGATCGAAGAGATCAAGTATGTGAAGAATTAATCGAGGCTGGAAGATTCAGCGAGCTTTGGCTAGACAAAGGAACGTCCAGGGTAAACATCATAATGAAATTCAGAGATAACAAAGTGTGGAGCTGGAGGAACACAGCAGGCCAGGTAGCATCAGTGGAACAGGAAAGTTCAGAAAACGAAAGGTCCCACCCGAAATGTCAACTTTTCTGCTCCTCTGATGCTGCTGACCTGCTGTGTTCCTCCAGCTCCACACTTTGCTGTCTCTGACTCCAGCATCTGCAGTTCTTACTGTCTCATAGTGAAATTTAGTTTGAGGATTTAAAGTTACCCAGCTCAGAGAGCAAAAAGGAAGCCATTGGGAGCAAGAATTGCCTTTGAGTGATACTGGGAAGATAAAACCAAAGTATCATATGGCTTAGGGCAACTTTCTCTCACAATCGTCCATACCTCACTTCACTAAATATGAAGCCAGGCTTTTGGGCACTTTTCTCAGGAAATCATGTGTTCTGAGAGATGGAAGTACTTGCAGCTGCTGGGACCTTCTGCCATCCATGTCACTGGTATCATATTTAAAACATACTGCACGCCACTTTAGACACTACAAGCTCAAAATGGCCCTTCACACTGTGGCATTCAACCACAACCACAGAAGACATCACCCAGAGGAAAGGAAAGCTCATTCTATGCTTGACAGAAGAAACTCGGAGGTCTTTGTGGATGGGCTAGTGGAAAGGATGTGGACCACCACAGAGGGATAGGATATCCTCATAGGATACTTAACAGCATACCTAACCACAGCACAGTTGTGGGTGCATCATGTCACTGACTGCTGCTTGATTCAAACATAACCTTACACTAAACGGGAGTTGCTTGCCAGATCACTAACAGACAGAGAGCGAGAGCACAAAAGAGACAGAAAGGGAGTGAGTGAGTGATTGATTGTCAACTGCATGAGAATTACGGATAACAGGGATTTTCCTGTCTTTAAATCTGAAAGGACTGCGGATGCTGTAAATCAGAAACAGAAACAGAAGTTGCTGGAAAAGCTTGGCAGGTTTGGCAGCATCTATGAAGAGAAATCAGAGTTAACATTTCAGGACTGGCACGGAAGAGTCACTGGACCCGAAACGTTAACTCTGATTTCTCTTCACAGATGCTGCCGGACCTGCTGAGCTTTTCTATTTTCCTGTATATGGTCTTTTTAAGAAGGTCACTCAAACTAAAATATCTTTCTTAAAGTTATTGGTCTCTACAGGGATTGTAACATTGCTTTAAATTAGTTCTCAATGACCCGATAAGTAATTTAGAGATTATGAATTTCAAATTGATCACTGTAGTTTAGATCCTGTCCTGGTGCAGATTTCCCATCTCTCTGTATGCGATGTCTTGTTTAATTTTCTGAGGCACCAGCAGCACATATTTGATGTATCCTGTTCATTTTTAAGTTCATTTAAATAAATGGTCATAAATTTGTCAGGTTTCATTAAACACCAGTTATCCCCCAGGCTTGATTTTCCTCTATGCGCTACACCAGGTGAATCCTTATGTCCTAGCACAATAATTGACTATCTACCCTCTAATGTCCTAATTCAAGAAAAATCGCAGAATTAATATCAATTTTCTTTTAACATGAAACAATAGAAAAGAAGAATCTATTTCATTTAATTCATTTGTTCTTTGCCTTACCCTATCATGGAAATGGGCAGTTTTGATGTTATCAAAAACATTTAATAGGTGTGCTTGGATAGTGTGGGAGTCCGAAGCCTGACCAAGAATTTCAAGAAGTGCTGGATCAGATACAAAAAAGAACCGTGGAAACAGCAGTCGTTTCTTTTCAAGGTACCTGTAACAAAACAAGATAACCAAAGTGAAAATATCAAAAATCCACATCATAATTCTTATAAAGTCAAGTAACATGTAACCACCCAAGAGTGATCCTCCCAAGGATGGTTGTAGGTTTTGAAAACTTTGCAGTATTTGGACTTCTGCGGGCATCCCACCTATCACAGTGAGCAAGGTGTGATTTGTCAGAAGACTGTAGCAAAGTTACAATAAATATAAAGTGTGAAACTCCAGGCTATTTACAAATGTCAAATCTCATTAAAAAATGACAGTTCTATCAAAATCAAATAACATGGGAATGGAAGAGTGGAAATTAGTCTTTGCCACCAGCCCAAAACAGATGGTAGCTCATCAGGTGTGTGTTACACATCCAGCCTGATGCTCAAAATAGTCAATACAATTGGACTGACTATCACGCCAAGGTTGTAGATTTTGGTTTGTATTATTGCTTAGGGAAATATCCATCCTAACATCCTGGTTCTCACAAGCTAGACGCTCACAACTAGACACAGCACATCTTTTTTTCAATTGAAATGCAGGGCCTAATGGTAGAACATTTCAAGATTTCAAAAGCACAAAAGAAGAATTTTAAGTTACGGAGATAATTAAAGTTGGCAATAGGAAGAAGGGCAGACTAGGGAAGGACTGGAAAACAAAACTAACCATCACATTTAACTTCTGCTTCTAACAAGGTGAAGATTAAAGTTTGATCATTAAGAGGCTTTCATTCAACTAGAGATAACTAATTGAAATATGTTGCACAGAAAAGAATTCTATTATTTAACATTTCAAATTTAAATGAACTAATATTACATATAATAATTTTAAAAGCTGAACAATGAACTAAACAAAATTAAACTACATTCACTTGATAATGGACAATAATTGAACGACATCATCTTCAGTCCATTTCAAACAATTGAGTCAGATATCAAACTTCGAAATCTGGCTCAAATCATTTGACTGGAACACACCTACCTACATCAGTGTAGCTAACAGAAGGATATGGATTGAAGCTTACCCAGTCAAAGACTTCTGACAGATTTCCAGCTGCTCCAATAAATGTGGTAAAAGTTGTCCCATGGTTTCATCACCTACACAGCACTGCACTACACTTGGAGTCTCATGTGCCCGAGTCATGATCTTCACCCAAGATTTGTCAATGTTGGAAAAACGTTTGGCTTCCTTTAATCAGGGTGGAATGAAATTGAAAAAAATTGAAAAATACAATTTTAGCAATTGTGTCATTTTCACATCCCTATATAATATTCACACTATTAGAGGTTAACCATCCAATGTTCCTTGACATCCTTCTCTTGTTTTCATTAGGATGGTTATCCTTAGAGGAGAAGATACTAAGAGAGGACATGATTATGATACATAAAATTATAAGGGGCATTGGTACGGTAAATGTGAAGAAACCTATCCCCTTGATGGAGGAATCAATAACTAAATGGCAGAGATTTAAGGTAAGGGGCAAAGGTTTACAGGAGGTGTGAGGAAAATCTTCTTTCACCCAGTGGATGATGGGAATCTGGAACTCACTGCCTGAAAGTATCGTAGACGCTGCAACCTCAAAACATTTTGGAAGTATTTAGATGAACACTTGTGATGCCAAGGCATACAATCCTATGGGCCAAGCGCTGGCTAATGGAATTAGAATAATTAGGCAGTTGTTTTTGATTGGTGTGTACACACTGGGGTGAAGGGTATTTTTCTGAGCTATAGACCTCTATAAATCCTGCTGTTGAAGTACATAAACTTTGCAATTGACTTTTATAGTTCATCTTATATTTCCTTTCTTTTCTCTTTTGTAACTCTGAAGATACTTGGTCTTCTTCTGCTTGATTTTATTTTTTTCAAATCTTGTTGGTCATGTGATTTTCAGAACAATCTCTACCTATTATTTTTATCTATGATTGGTGATCAGAGAAGTTAAAGAATCCTATCTGGAATTCTTACAAAAATAGTTTTTCATTTACCTGTGTAATTAATAAGTACATATCTTGGCCACAAGCCAGTAGCAAACAGCACTAATCTGATGCATTGTGCAAAAAGGCTCATTCAAAATTGTTTCCTACCCAAAGTAATTTCTCACCAAGCACAATAAGAGGAAGAAGGCACACTCAACCATATGAAAATAATAAACACTATTAACATATCAACACCTCCATAAAACAATGGTATGTACTTCAAAACACTTGGTACAGTACAATGTTATAGAAATTAGCACATAAAATAGAGTAGCTTCGCTTACAATGGTACACTCCTGTGATAACTAATCTCCCAGGAATGGGTCTGCAGAACTGAAGCTAGCCTATGTATTCCAAGAGTAGTGGCTCTATTTTGGTGTTCAACAATAAACAACGTTCCTTTCCAGTAGGGCTTCCTGAGTTATTACAATTTTTTAATATAGAATTTCTTTTTTATAGTATCCCCAGAGTGTGGAATCAGGCCATTACCAATCCTCCGAACAGCAACCCACCCAGACCCACCTCCCTACCCTATCCCTCTAACCCTGCATTTCCCACCTGACCTACACATCCCTGAACACTATGGGTAATTTAGCATGGCCAATCCACCTACCCTGCACATCTTTGGACTGTGGGAGGAAACCAGAGCACCCACTGGAAACCCACGCAGACACAGAGAGAATGTGCAAACTCCACACAGATAGTTGCCTGAGGCTGGAATTGAACCCAGACCCCTGGTGCTTGAGGCAGCAGCGCTAACTACTGAGCCACTGTGCCACCCCTGTCACCACACTTCAGCTGAGGACAGGAGTTGAGAAGGGGAGTTCTCTATGGTAACCTCAGCCAGTGCAGGAATTGAATTCATGCTGTTGGTTCAATCTGCATTGCAAACTAGTTGTCAGGCAACCGAGTTAACCAATTCCCAGATATATACAATACCACTAGGCCATTGCCTCCTCCTACCCAGACACAGCCCCTCCCTATCCTAGTGACCCCATATTTAGCGTGGCCAACATGCACATCTTTGGACTGTGGGAGGGAACTGGATCACCCGGAGGAAACACATGCTGACACGGGGAGAACGTGCAAACTCCACACAGACAGTCGTCCAAGGCTGGAACCGTTCCAGGCACTGTGAGGCAGCAGTGCTAACCACTGAGCTACCATGCTACCCTTAATTATTAGTTTTGTCCACTGCATTTTTTCATTTCCATTGGTAAATTTGTATGCCATGGATTTTGATGGCTTCCACAGAAAGTGGAATTTCATCTCAACAAGAAAAAGTCTGGTAATTTAGGGGATGCGATGGATTTCATTTAAGTAAAACTCCATATAATCACTTCCATACCTTTGGAAGTTGCTTAGCAATATCTCCACCTACAAATACAGCTTCCAAATAAATCCACAAGTTCTGCACAGTCATCCAGTTCTCAATAATATCTGTTGTGTTAGATAGATTGTGGACCCATTTCTGAATCTGTGCCTTGAAAGGTGTATTGTACCTGCCATAAAATAAAGCACAACACAAGCAAATAACATGTATCAAAAGGAACTACATTTGCAGAATTCCTTGGCTACCCCATCCATGTTATCAATAATTTTTAAATACGTGCATATATGTTGAAAGGACTAACATACATTGGGCCAAATCTTCCAATCTCTGGAATATCAGAAGAGATCAAACATACTCTAACACTGAGAAGCACTTCAGGACCCTTCGGAAGTCTAGATGCAGAGGCATCACCGGGAATTGGCCAGACTGTTTCAATACCAATGGGCAAATCATCTGCACCCCAGGGCTCCCCATCAATGTCTTGTACACCAAACTAGAGTTGGAGACTTGGGACATATCTGATGCACTTACCTGAATATATACCCAGTAAACGTTAGGCAGAGTAAAACCAAGTCCATTTCCTACGCAATTGCATCCACCCACACACACAATTGCCCACCCAGATCCCCGACAAACCTCTTTCCCTGATCATTTGACCACACTCATGACCTCCTGACCATGTCTCCAACATCACCAGCTACCTTCCTGACCATCCCCGCTGTCCACTCAACTGCCATCCTGAGCTCCTGATTAACACGCCCCAACCATGCTATTATCAAGACAACCCCACAATCACCAATTCCCCTTACCTAACCAATGACCCTGCCTAAACTGAATACAACTTCATGCACCTATTACCTACCCACTTACCCACTTCACCCACCAACTTCATCTTTTTAACCACCTCACTCACCTACCCACTTCACCCACCTACTTCCACACCTCCCCATTCATTCATACACATCCATTCATTTAGATACATTAATTCATTCACACGCAGGCTGGATATTTAAAATAATACGGTAGCCTGTGCCAATAAAAAGGGGCATGTCTTGTCCTCCCACAACTCCGTTACAATCCGACAGAGTTCCCTGAGGATGCTGACTCCACATTTCTAGAACAGCCAGGATTGGAAGATCCCAGTAGAAACTCAGAGCAGCATCAGTTTGGGGAAATCTACGGATTCAGCAGAAATCCAACAATTTCCGCTCTCTGGGCAATATGGGCTGTTATTTAATGATTTGATAAAAGTATCTAAATCAAGCCATAAAAATCTGTTTTTATGGTTGCCAGAGACAAAGTTATGCATAAGGCGTCTATGCACTGCTTACCTGTTGCTCAACAGTGAACCCAAGATCATCAGACTGTCATCCATATTAGCAATGAGCTCTGCTGTACTGTCTCCCCTCAGCAAAAGCTCGCCACGTGTTTTGAAGCTCGCAAAAGTGAATGTTTTGCTATCCCATTCTGCTATAACCTGCTTCAATTTCTGCTCAATGTCTTTTTCCTTCACTGCACTAATGCAAATGTCCTACAAGGAAAAAAACTGACAGCTGCCATAATGATGCTTCAACTGAAAGGTCTTGCCAGTTTGTGAGAAATTTTAAGTCCAAACAAAATGCAAACATGAAACGACTGTTATGCAATTAAATATTATTCAAATATGCATAATTACATTTTCCAGTCCTACTTTCAATTTTAAAGAGCTTACATTTTAAAAAAATGGCAATTATGTGGACATTGGACATGACATATGCAAACGGTTAATAGTATAAACTTTATTCTAGAAGGAACTGAAGTGTTTATGTATTTGTCAAATATATTTTCAAGTTAGCACCTGGTCTTTACTGACCACAAACTAAACTGTGGTTACTTGAGAAATTGTTTACATATTCCCGAGCTTCACTGATGCTACTGTGAACCAAGCTTAGTCCACATACACCAGCACTGTGGAAACACCCTTCCAAATATATCCCTGGAGAGATTTTCCTGGCTTCCATAAGCCCAACTACAACACAATAAAAGTTAGTAATTCTATAGAGGGAGAAAGCAAACCTGCATTTTCCTTATCCCTGTTCACCAGTAATAACGTAAAGCAGTGAATATCTAATGCCAATGTCACTATCCCACTTGCACATTAATCTTTTCTTCTACAAAAAATACTTTAAAATAAATTAGTAGATTAGGTCAGAAACATCTGACATGTGTCTTCATTCTTCTATTACATTTTAGGCTTTGGTGTTTTCATGCCAATAAAACATGGAGTAAATTTGGTCAATCTAAGTCACTCATGGCCACAACAGAGTTAAGTGCATTATGGAAAATTTAATGTTTAAGCATTATGATCATAGTACAATCCAATATTCAGAATACGTTTTTAGATCCTTTACTAAATTTTGTCAGATACTTCACCTTCTTTCACAAAAATGTAAGGGTCTAATTATTTATATTTTTTCGTGTTTTAATTAACCCTGACAATAGAACTTCTTCCAAGGTCATTCTGTTTTTTGTAAATATCTGGATAACTTCATGGTAAGGAGGTCCAGTAAGGATAATTAGGAAAATTAATGGATATAGTGTACATCATTTGTAAAATACGATAAAGGTATTATGCCAGAAAACTGTGTATTCAAATCTTGAAAAGATATCTCTAACAGACGATCTTAAAAGTGGGTGAACTGCCCATGATCTTTACTTTTGATTTTTATTTTTATCCAATGCCAAAATTAAAATATTCATATTCTTCTCTTAAAGATATGCATCTTACAAAAGTAATCCACTTTTTAAACATACAACTAATACCTCAATTTCCTCTTTATATTTCAGTATTGAGGCTTCCATTATGTTTCTGAGCTTGAAAGTTTCACTTTCTACATCAAAATTGTGTCCTGTGGTTTCTGAAATTCGCTTCCAATGCCGTAACATCATAGCCTTGTTTGACATATGCTCCAAGAGTGGACAACACTCATTGAAATCATCAATAGTTTGCTTGAGATCCAGGAACGCCTTCCATTCTTTCAAAGCCCGAGGAAGCTTACGACATCTGAAGTACAAAAAAGAAAACTGAGCCATAAGTAGTAGACAGTCAGAAACACTCAGAAATATGTTTATAATTTTAGATTGCTACTTATAATATTACAGGTATAAAAAATATTTGCTTGAGATTATAGTAGTGTTGAATAAGCGAATAATCTTGTTTTGGTTCAAGTGCTGTTATTAAACACTTTGCTGTCATATTTTGTGTAGCATAAAAGGCAGAATGCTTGCAGATTCCCATTTATCGAAAATCTGGATTTCTGGCCATTTGATTATCCAACAGGGCATTCACCCCAAATATGGAGAGGCGAAGCATCATGCCCGGAACTCAAATAAAGCTTGCTCTCAACAATATCATCAACGTGTCTTTTGGGAATTTATTGTAAAACAAGCTAAAAGATTTTCTAACTGACATAATAATTGAAATGATAACCCTCGAAAATCTGGATTTCCGGCCATTTGATTATCCAACAGGGCATTCACCCCAAATATGGAGAGGCGAAGCATTATGCCCGGAACTCAAATAAAGCTTGCTCTCAACAATATCATCAATGTGTCTTTTGGGAATTTATTGTAAAACAAGCTAAAAGATTTTCTAACTGAAATAATAATTCAAATGATAACCCTTGCATTTTCTAAGAGAAAGTGACTATTTTGTTTTACAATATATTGGAAGTTAATGAAACTGAGCCATAACGTAAAACATGGCAATACTGGCCTGATTAATCAGAATGGCCATGGCAGTAACTTGACATTTTAGTCAAAGGTGTGTTTATATTTCTTGCAGCAACAGCAACAGCCTAAAAATCATGTCATAAGGAAGAAAAAAATTCTAACAGCACAGGGATGAAGCAGCAAGATTTTAAAAATATTGAACTTCTGAGATCGTCCATTAAAATAGTATCATTTAATTGTTCTGTATATAACCAGTAACCCATCCCCCATAGTTCTCATTGATCAGAAACTGAAAGACAAACAGAGCCAGCAGGTTCCATTGTTTAACTATACTGTTAGATTTGTAGGAGTCTTATTCTTTACTGTGCTACAAATTTTTAAAAAATCAAACAATCACTACTATGGTTAGCCACTAGAGGACAAGATATACCTGTCATTAAAGTATTGTGCTTCACATTATAAATACAGTTTCATTTTCAATACAAATTATATCATGAAGATTTGCAGGAGACATGCTCATGTAGTAATGTGGCATTTAATTGCAACACCAGCCATCTTTATGATCTTTCAATAATGACACCTTTCATTTTTATAGTCCTTTTAATGTAATCTATGTGCCAATGTGCTTCATGGAAACACAGGGAAAAATGGATACCAAGCCAATAAAATTTAACTAGGAGAGATCAAACACTTATTTAAGAAAGAAGACTTGACAGCATAAAAGGAGTTTATAGGGAATTCCAGTGAGTATCATGTACACTGCTGAAAACCACAAGCAACTGCAGGACAAAGTGTAATTTGGATGCAAAATAGGATTGATTAGGACAGGAATGGAGACACAAGCAGCTAGAACTTATGAATAGTGGAAGATTACAGATATTGAAACACCACTGGAGTATTCATTGTTAAAGTGATAAAAGCCTGTATAAGGACTAGAGTAGCAAACCACCTGAGGTAAGGGCAGATATAAGCAAAATTATGCAGACAGAATTAAGCAGTCCATGTGATGTAAAGTATATTGAGGTCAGAAGCAAAATACAGGTAATTTAGTTCCTGAAGGTTTTTAACAATGAAAGAAGCAGAATATCTGTAGCTAAATGAATAACTTATTTAACAATATGTTAGAAAGCCTTATATGCATGAGCAAAAACCTGCATACTTAAAATAACAAGGGACAAAACATCAGTTCTTCCAAAAGCTAATATTTACCTGGCCTGAAATTCCATAAGTTTATTGTTGATTTTTTCAATGTTGACCTCTGACCACAGGTTGTCATAATAACTGCTGACTGTATTGATCACATTGTTGTACAACCCATATAGCTTTTGAAGTAAAGTCAACTGTTTCCTTATTTCCAGCAGTTGAGGATACTCGGTGACAGACAAGCCAAACAGCTCCTCACCACCTGTATAAGTGATGTACTTACGAAACAGGTTGTCAAATTGATTCTGGTAGCAAAACAAAGTACACAAGTCCTAAATATTAATAATTCGATGGTCAATACATGTGGTAAAAAAATAATTCCCTTCTATGAGTCAGCAATACGACATTACAAACAAAGGCCATTACTACAACATTCAGTTATGTCCGTGAGCAAATTTGTTACCAAAATAGCATCGATGCTGCGTATGGACCTTTCTGGTGCAGATTATACTCAAAGTCATTTCTGGTAGTTACTAGCACAGATGCAGGGAGCATGCAGAGAAGAAAATTGTGACATAATTCAGCTGATTTCACATCAGCAGTGCCATTTTAAGTTCAATGCTCCAGCCAATAATTTTTCTTAACCTTGCATTCATGCATTCAATTACAGGATGGACTAGTGTTACTCAAATGCATTACAAACTGCTTTCAGGTTAGATGCTGAATGATTTCCTCAGACTGTTGCTAAGCAGCAAGCGGTGGTTGACAATCTTATTTAGAGTTGCTGAAGATGACAGAATGTGGGGTGGAACATGATGAAGCCTTGGGCTCTGACTTCAAGTGTTCTGCATGGACAACTTGGTCCCAGTCAAAGGTGCTGTAACTTCCATCCCCACCCTGGCCTGTTGCATGACCAGGAGACTGACTGGAGGCGGCACAGAGGACAGTAAGCTATTAATAGAGAAAGGAGATGGAAAGAGAGAATGGCTCTCTGTAAGAGGCTGTATTCTCCTAATCCCCTCTGGAAGTACTTTGTTTTTGTTAAACTTAGTGAGTAATAATGTGAGACATTTCTGTTTCACTATGGGTGCTAGCTGGAAGCTTCTATCTCCTACAACAGATATACTGCCTCAGAGCAGGGTAAGGACAACTCATAAGTTGTGAGAGTGACTGAGACCATGAGGTTATTTGCACCAAGTTACCTCCTGGCTCAAGTGGGTGATATTTCCATCTCCAGTTTGTCTTCCACCATTGCCTGAGGAAACTCAATGAACAGCTGGATGCAAAGAGGTAGCAGTGTGGAGCAAGCATACATCTCAGCCAGGACAGCAGGCAGGATACCACAGTGAAGAATGCCTTTAATTGCATACACCGCAACACGTAGGTGAGCATTAAGTAGTGCTAGCCTTGCAAAAACCTGTTGAGTTGTGAAGGCATTCAATGGTACATTTGGCATTGACTGCACAAAGAACATGACAATAAACAGGCAGCATTAAGTTTGCCTACTCTCTGCATTGGAAGGATCCAACACAGTTCGACCATACATTGTGATTTCCCGAAACTATATTTGGGATGGATCAAATATTTTCCCCTTGCATTTCTGCAGAACAATGAAATGAACATTGTAAAAATGTATTGTTCCCTAGCATCTGCTGTCCATTTATTTATCTACAGGGTCAACAGTCAGTATAACAAATACATGACTGATCTAGCAAATAAGGGTTTGAGAGTTTAAAATACGCTACAATGATTTATGAAATTAAGTTCAACAAAAGTTTGGAAGCAGGGGCCTATTTTTAGTAAAACATTCATAAAAGCTATAACCATAACAAAGAGAACATACCTGAAAAATTACGAGTCTGTCACTAGCATCCTGTGGTGCCAGGCCTATAACCATTGGTCCTTCCTATAGTAAATAGAAATAAGGCTTAGTCATTTATAGTTAAGTAATTATGAAATGTTCGAATAGGTATGGTATCAAAGTGCTAATCAACAAGTGATTACCATATAACATTTATACCTTTGGAGCTATGTTCAGAGAATAACGGTTTTAAATAAATCATTCCATATTTCTAAAACTTGGAAAATCAGCAACTATTTTATGGTTTTAAAGTAGATTTCTTGGAAAGGAAATCCTAAACAAATTTTATATGAAGAATATATTTACATTTATTTCAGTCTGCAGAACATAAACATTGACTCACTCATTCTAATTGTTGTTTCAGCGTACCTTTTCATAATCTCCATAAAACTCATTGCAGTCATCAATGAATATCTGCACATTGTTGATCAATTCTCCTCTGAAATTTGGCTGTAGGGCAACTAGTTCATTCTGAATCTCACTTGCACGCACCAGCAGTTTTTCCCAAGTGTAGCGAAGCGTGTCTACCTTCTCTATCTCTTCCTGAGCCACAAGCAATTCATATTTGTTTAACATTGCATAGGATTCCTATTAAAATAGCAGAAATAGTTTCACAGGATAATTCAATCTTATATAATGGCTGTGGATAGCCAGAGGATACAAAAAAATTGAAAATAGTAATACATGAAGAACTACATAGGGAAAAATTGAATCGTGGAGTTATTTTAATAATTGTTATAGTCCACTAAAAATTGTACTTCAAAAATGCCCAGCAATAGTGTGAGCAGAGAACAACAAATTGCAACTTGTAGTTCACATGCATTAATTCATTTTGTTCCCAATTAAAAAGAATTATACTAACAATTTGCTCTTTCTAAATCATGCAAAAAGGGAGGATGAAATTATGATTTATACCAGCCATTGAAACAAACGAAAAGCTTTCTCTTTTACTTTTGTGGCACTAAAATCACAGTATGGCACTTTAAATTGTACAATATAAAGCATCTAATAAAGAAAATTAAACATAGGTGCTACACATTTTCAGGTGACACTAGTAAAGAAATCTATTTTGCACAGTCCTTAAGAACTATCAGCATTCAACAACATCATATATAGAACGTTTTTCTCATATAAGCATCATGTTAAGGGAATTAAGAATTTCTAAACTGAAACAAAGGTTTACCTCAATGGGTCCTACTTGAAAGTCAATGGAAATTTGTTGTTCTCTTATTTCTTTAAGTGCAGCCATGGCAATTCTAATATCATCCAAATCCTTGATAGGCCGATTCAATTTTTTGCTGACTTCATCTATAAATGTAAAAATGTTCTCCATCTCCGTTTGATACTTTTTATTGCAATGTCGACCCAAATCAATCATCCAAACTTTGGTTTCCGAAGTTAGTGCCATCTTGAGATCAGCTGAAAAATGCAACAACTTTTAACATTCTGCTTATAAGGAGCAAATTACATTACAGGCCTCAGATGATTTGGAAAACATGCTAACCGATTACATGCACCCAGACCTCCTATATTCAGATCTGCATTTAGATTATCTTTAACGAAGACTGAAATTTGCATTATGTCTGAATCTGACTCATGCAAAGACACAAGTCAAACTGATAAAGTTTATTGACAATACTACTTGGGTTAGATTATTTTGTTTTTTGGTGTCTCGGCCAAAGTGCTGAGAAATCAATTAGAAATCAAAACTGGATTATTTCTCAAAAGAACAGATGATCCAAATACCGGTTTAATACACAGGCAAAAGGTTACTGAACAGGATTTCTGCTCCTTACAAAACTACTGTGCAGTATCATTTTCTCAGAAGAACATATAAAGATTGCAAACTTCTAACAGTGTCTTATTTAAAAAACAACTTTGTTATGATTTTTATATTTATCCCCTAACTGCATCTTCATAGAGTTTAATCATTATTTTACTTTTTATATAGTGATTTAGATATGATTTATATTTTATTTCATTTTTTTGCTGTCAAAATTCCACAATCTGATCGGCTGTTCAATCTACGTGCTGCTTACTCTGTTGCTGGATACTACAGACCCTCTATGGAAGGCACCAAAGTAAAGAAGTTGAAAATGAAGAAGTCTTAGTTTCAGGTACTAATATTTTCATGGGAAACTTTATGGGATCAATACAAAGTGCAATTCTTTCACTACTCATTGCAAAATCTGGTTATTGTTGCTCTAAACATAATGCTAAGAACTCATTAAAAATATTTGTAAGTGAATGTTTTTTAATCACAGCAAAAAATTATATTTGTAAACCAGATCCCATCAATTTCAAAAGCCATAACTGTCTACATTGGGATCCACTTCATCATTAAAGTTTTCTCCTACTTGTCCAGAATTCTATGCAATGCATGGACCATGCAGAAACTCAAAATTTCCCGCACAGATGGTATACACGTTACCCTTTTTAAGTTATCAAACATGCATAGCTGCACAAAAAAAAGTCCCAAGCACTTAAACAAATCACTTGTGCACTACTGAAAAGATTAGGAAGTGTGTTGATACTATGTAAGCTTTTACAAAAGGAATATGTGACTCCCAAGAACAAGAAAAGTCAAATTATGGTACTTTCCATGTGTATCCTTTGTCAAAATTGAGGACAGATTTTGTTTTTCATTTTGTAGCTCCAAGAGTTCAGAATGCCAATATGATTACACAATACCTGGCATAATCTTTAAGGAAAATACAAAGGGGAGACTTATTTGTAAAAGTCCTTGCTCACAGAATTCTGAGAAGAAACTGCCATAAAAATATGAATGAACTGTACTCTTTCTTGGGATGTGGGCATTTCTGGCAAAGCTGGCATTTACCATCTAATCCTAATTACCATTGTTGCCGTCCATCTGACCAAGGAAGGACTTCTCGGATTTCCACCCAGTAACACAGAAGGAAATAACAACACAGACTCAAGTGTAATGGTGACATAAAATGATCTATTGATTGTTAAATCCATTATCCAATTTAATACATGGGATTTGTGTGGACTAAACAGTTTTAAAAAGAACCAAAGTTATGGAGTTAAAATGGCCAAGGGTATCACTTGACACACACAGGTTGGCCATTTTAAAAACAACATGGATCAAAGAAAAGAGTGACCTGAAATTAACATTTTATTCCAAAGGCAACAAAACCAGTCAGCCCCTCCTCCATCTCCCATTTGATTAATTCCATTAAAAGAACACTCACATTTTGGAGATGGAAATTCATCTATGATTATCAAGCCTGAAAACATAACTTCTACAGCATGGAATGCACAACCAGCTTATATTTCAAGGAGTTTTCTGAGGGAGAGCAGGGGAGGTGGATTACAGACTGCATACTGAACACAGGCTGGAAAATGTTCTCCCTCTCTCTCTTGCCCTCTTTCCCCCTTCCTCTATTCGTGTGCCAAAACTGACTGGAAAGAAACGTTAGGAAGCCAAAGACATTATTATTATTCACTACTGCCAACAGTCCAAGAAACCAGCTATCCCATTGAATATTGTTGGAGCTTCATTCATCCGGGCAATTAAAGGATATTCTATCGCACTCCTGATTTGCGTCTGCTGGGAGTCAGGAAATGAATTACTCATTGCAGAATTCCCAAACCTCTGAGTTGCTCTTATAGCCAAAATACTTATATGGTTCTTTTTTGTATTCGTTCATCGGATATAGCATAACTGGCTAGACCAGCATTTATTGCCCATCACTATTTGCCATAGTGAAGTGGTGGTGAGCTGCTTTCTTCAACCACTGCAATCCATTTGCAGTAACAGTATCTACGAGGTTATTAAAGAGGCAGTTCCAGGACTTTGACCCAGCAACCCTGAAGACAATTATCTTTCATTTAAGGATGGTTTGCGGCTTGGAAGGGAACAGCTAATACCTTCCAAATGCTAGAAGTCAGATGACACCAGGTTATAGTGCAACAGGTTTATTTGAAATCACAAGCTTTCAGAGCATTGCCCCTTCGTCAGGTGAAGTGAGAGAGAAGCATGCAGGCACAGAATTTATAGGCAGAGAGATCAAGGGAGTGAGATCAAAAGATCATACAAATGGTGTAAGTGGAGTGTCAACAGGCCAAATAGTAGGTCTCTGCAGGTGATCAGAGCTGACGATTGATGAGTTGAGCATCGTATCCTGTTCTTATGAAGGTATCCTTCAAAATCTTTAGATGTGTGTCACCTTCCTCCTCATCTGAGCAAATCCTGTGTACGCGCAGGGCTTGTCAACAAGTTTCATCCCACCATCAGACTTACTATGGACTACTCTTCAGAATCAATCTCATTCTTAGACACACACATCTCCATCAGGGACAGACACCTCAGTGCCTCACTCTACCGCAAGCCCACGGCTAACCTCACGATGTTGCACTTCTTTAGCTTCCACCCTAAACATGTTAAAGAAGCCACCCACTATGGACAAGCCCTATGCATACACAGATCTGCTCAGATGAGGAGAAACATGATGGACACCTAAAGATTTTGAAAGATGCCTTCATAAGAACGGGATACGATGCTCAACTCATCGATCTCCAGCTCTACCATGCCACAGCGAAAAACCGCAATGACCTCCTCCAAAGACAGACATGGGATATGACTGGTAGAGCACCCTTCACTGTCCAGTACTTCCACAGAGCGGAGAAACTATGCCATCTTCTTTGCGGCCTTCAACATGTCATCAATGACGATGGGCATCTCGCCAGGATCATTCCTACAACTCCAATTCTTGCCTTCAAACAACTACAAAACCTTAAACAGACCATCATTCACAGCAAACTACCCAGCTTTCAGAACAACATCGACCACAACACCACACAAACCTGCTAAGGCAACCACTGCAAGACATGTCAGATCATCGACATGAATGCTACCATCACACGGGAACACCACCCACCACAGATACAGCAGATACTCATGTGACTTGGTCAGTGTTGTCTATCTCATACAGGCAGGCAAGGATGTCCCAAGGCAGTGGTATGTTGGCGAGACCATGCAGACGCTATAACAATGGATGAATGGACACCGTACAACAATTGCCAGACAGTAATGTTCCCTCCTGGTCAGGGAACACTTCAGGAGTGAAGGACATTCAGCCTCCGATCTCAAAGGCAGACTTTGAGGTACACAACAATGCAGAATCGTCAAGCAGAAACTGATATCCAAGTTCTGTACCCATGAAGACGGCCTCAACAATAATCTTAGGTTCATGAAGCGTTACATGTAACCCCACCACACTGTTCTGTATTTGTAAAATGTTCCTTATTGACCTGTTTTGACACCTCATCTTAATAAATTGTTACGACCTCTCTACCTTAATTGGTTTGTACACTTTTGGATTACTTATTCCTTTGGTTAGACCCTCGGCATGCGACTTTTATACCAATTGTTTTATTCTAGTCATTTGGTTTGACTCCAGCACCACCTTATTTTTAATTTTTCATAATTATCTCTCCGCCTCATTTAATCAGATAGTAGGTTATCCCAGAGATAGCAGGAACTGCAGATGCTGGAGAATCTGAGATAACAAGGTGCAGAAGCTGGATGAACACAGCAGGCCAAGCAGCATCACAGGAGCAGGAAGGCTGACGTTTCGGGCCTAGACCCTTCTTCAGAAAAGTAGGTTATTATTCAGCTGTTGACACTTTAATCCCTCCATCTGACACTCCTGATCACCTGCAAAGACCTACTATTCGGCCTGTTGACACTCCACGCTCACATCATTGTATGATCATTTGATCTCTTTGCCTATTGATCTCTTTGCCTATAAATTCTGTGCCTGTGTGCTTCCCTCTTACTTCACCTGACGAAGGGGCAATGCTATGAAAGCTTGTGATTTCAAATAAACCTGTTAGACTACAAACTGGTGTTGTCTGATTTCTGATTTTGTCCACTCTAGTCCAACAATGGCACCTCCACATCTTCTAGATGCTAGTGATCATGGTTTTAAAAGTTCTGCCTAAGGAACTTTGGAGAATTTCTGTAGTGCATCTTGCAGATGTTACAAGCTACTTGCTGCTACTGAGTATCAGTGATGGAATGCATGACTGTAGAGATGCTGCTAATCAAGTGGGTTGTTTTGTCCCTTGTCCAGTTAAATGACTGCTTAATGATAACCCTCAGGATGCAAATGGTTGCAGAATTCAATGATGGTAACTGCACGGATATTGAATTAAAAATATCATATTTCATACCCGAAAACAGCCCTACTAGCTTGAGCCTCTTCGCTACTGAACAATGTGGATGAAGTTTCAAACTGAAAAGAACACCTTAATATCCAATAAAAGCACACCAGTAATAGAAAAAAACTGCCAGGAATAGTGTCTCAAAAATGGTACACTTACAAATGTCTGTTCCCAGTAGCTACTCACGCATGAAGTAAGTAAAACATCTCAAATTTATCATGAGAACCAAATCAAAGAAAATACCCATTTTCAAGCCTTTTCCTTTAGAAAAAATATATAATTTGTTTCAATAAAACAGACTGCTTTACCAGTGTAAAGTGCCAATGCTCCAACGCAAATATATTCCAGCTCAGAATTTATCTTTGATTCCAAGTCCCGAAAATAAAGAATCTGTGATTCAAACTCAGATAGCAGAGGACTCCGTTTCATAAAGTCTTGAACGGCCTCTTCCTTCTCTCTCTGCCAGATATGGTGATAACATTTGAACTGATCCAGAGCAGTAAAAACCTCCTTAAAATAAAGTGAGAAATACAGTTTAGCATATGGGACTGAGAAAATATTGTTATGCTTGCGAGATACCTGATGCATCATGAAGTTCATTTTAAAATGGTTCAAGACCATTTGACTTGTTCAGGTGGATACTGAAGATACATGGCACTATTCAAAGTTGAGCTGCTAAGCCCCCCTGATGTCCTAGCCAATGTTTATTCCTCAAGCATCAACATTTTAAATAGTTCTTCGACTCTATTATTTGTTAGAAGTTGCTGGATAGAAATTGGGTCATTTCCTTGATCAACAACTGAGACTGCTTCAAATAATTACTATTTGCAAAGTGCTTTGGAACATCCTAAAGAAAGGACATAGAGATGTTCCTTAATCCTCTCTTTCTATGAGTAAGCTTAGCTGCTCACTTTATAAAAACATATGAAAAACACCTTAATCTTATCTACCTATTATTCTTCAAACATTTCAGGCTACTGCAGTGATCTAATGTATCAAATTATTAAATCATAAGACCGTAAGAAGTATAAACAGGAGTAGGTAATTTAGACCCTCAAGCCTGCTCCACCATTCAATGAAATCAAGGTTGATCTGACAGCCCTCCTTTCCACTTTCCTGCATTTTCTCCATAACCTTTAATTCCTGCACTGATCAAGGACCTATCTATCCCCGCCTTAAATATACACAAGGAATCTGTCCCCACAGCCTCTCTGTGGAAAGGAAATCCAAAGAGTCACAACCTTGGAGAAGAAATGAATTCTCATTTCTGTCTTAATTTGGCACCCCATTATTCCGAGACTATGCCCTCCGGTCCTGGACTCTCTCATGAGGGGAAGATTCCTCTCAGAGTGTATCTTGTCAAGGCCTTTGTGAATCTTATTTGTTTCAATGAAATCACCTCTCATTTTTCTAAACTCCTGTGAGTAGTCCCAATCTGTTTGGCCTTAGCTCATAAGACAATCCCTCCATACTACTGATCATCCTAGTGAACCTCCTTTGAATGGCCTCCAATGAATTGATATCTTTCCTTAAATAAGGGGACCAAAACCACCTCCAGGACTTCAGACATGGTCTCACCAGCACCTTGTACAGTTGCAGTAAGACTTCCCTATACTTACATTCCAACCTCCTTGAAATAAGGGCCATAATTCCATTAACCTTCCTGACTATCTGCTGCACTTGTGTGCTAGATTTCTGTGTTTCATACACAAGTACCCCCGTCTGCCTTTGTGATGCAGCTTTCTGCAGTTTTTCTCTCGTAAAATAATATTCTGTTCGCTCGTTCTCTTTTCCAAAATGAACAACTTCACATTTTCCTACATCATACTCCATTTGCCAACTTATTAGCCACTTACTCAACTGATCAACATCACTCTATAAACTGTTTGTACCCCTCTCGGAACCTGCCTTTCCAGCTATTTTTGCATCGTCTGCAAATTTAGCTACAGTACATTCACTTGCTTCCTCCAAGTCATGAATATATATTGTAAACAGTTGTGATCCCATCACTGGTTCCTTTGGAATCCCAATGGCCATGGGTCACCAATCTGAAAAAGAACTCCCTACTAGCCCCCCTGCTGATTCCTTCCCCTTAGCCAATTCTCTATCCATGCCAATACACTACCTCCAATATTGTTGGCTCTCACCATGACAACCGTTTGTGAGGTACCTTGTCGAACGCCTTACAAATACAACACATTTACTGGGTTCTTCTGTATCCACTCTAGTTGACACTTCATCCAAAAACTCTAATAAAGTTTTCAGAAACAATTTCCCTTTCATGAAGCCATGCTGACTCTGCTTGAATAGATTATGATTTTCCAAATATTCTGCTATTTATTCCTTTATGATTGATTCTAATACTTTTCCAAAAATTAACGTTAGGCTATTCGGCCTACAGTTACCCACTTTCTGCCTCCCTCCCTTTTTGAATAGGGGTGTCACATTGGTAGTTTTCCAATTCTCTGGTACTTGTCCAGGATCCAATGACTTTTGAAACATCACAATTAATGCATCCACTATGTCTGTAGCTACATCTTTTAGGATCCTAGAATGCAAGGCAACAGGGCTAAGCCACTTACTTGCCTTTAGCCCCATTAGTTTACCTACTCCTACTTCTTTCGTAATGGTGATGATATTTAATTCTTATATTCTTTAGAATTAATCTTAGCTATACAGAAGATTGTGGAGTTGGAGGGGATTACAGAAATGGAGTGGCCAGGCAATAATGGAATTTGAATTTTAAAATTGAGGTGTAACAGCCTTGCATCTGTGTAGGTCAGGGGGCACAAGGGTGATGGGTGAAATGGACTAAATGCATGCAAGGACATTGATAGTTCAGTTTTTAAGAGTTCATCAAGCTTGTAGGAGCAGTAAAGTCAAACACTGGGACCAGCATCAATGAAGGTTTCTGCAGCAGACCAGCTGGAGAGAGAGGATGGAATCAAGCCATGTTATGAATGTGGAAAAATGTGTCTTGTCTTTACCACTCAGCCTCTAGGCTCACAGTCTGCTTATTGCCTTAATATTTGGCACAGACATAAAGCTAGGAAACTTGTCATGGTTTACAGCAGTCCTCAGTCAAATCAAGGAGGGTTGCCTTCAGTCAGAGGTTCTTGGGACAGTTAGTCAACGGCATCCTCCAATACCAGACAACAGGCTTGGACACAGTCAGTCACACACTTGGGGCAGTCAAAGTCAGTATCCTCTCCTCATCAAGAATGAGGAGCCAAAGTTCGGGCAGCCCACCATTCACTCTATCTGCTCTATTGTGGGCTGTTGTCCTCCTGGAATGAGATAGGAGCTGGTATTAAATAAAATGAAAGTTGGTGGCACAGCTGTTACTATTGGTACAGGTGGGAGCTAACCTGAGCGAGTCAGTAGGCACGGCAGAGGGCATGCATGGTTAGTGCAGTCAGGAGTTGGGGCGGATAACAGCAAGTGAGGGAAGATGTTGCTGATAATAGTGAGAGTGTTAGAGCATGAGTCTTACTGGGAAGTGGGTACTGTAGTAGAGATAGAACAACTTTGAAGTACCGGAGGGAAGACTGGAGAATGGCACTGGCCTTTTTCCTACATGCTATGCATTCCTTAAGACAGCTGAGACTTCACTGAGAGAGATAGTAGGAACTGCAGATGCTGGAGAATCC